TGACCTGGCCTGTGAGAAGAAGCATTTTTTAAAAATATACCTTGGAGAGTGAATCGACGCCATAGACGAACCCATAAATTCCCTGGGCAACTTCTATGCTGGTGGCAAGGGAGGTGAAGCCTCTCTGCAGCTCAAGAGGAGCCTATTGTTTGAGCAAAGGGCTCATTCCATCCCAGTCTTGAGATCAGTCAGTAAACACCACTAAAACCCTAAAGGGACTACACCTGGGAGACAACAAGGCTCAGGTGTGTCACTCTGTCTGCTTCCATGCTAAGCCCTGCACACTCCTCCTTTGTGTGTGTGTTTTTGGGGCCTTTGAGCCATCTCCGACTCAGAAACTTCCAAAGAAGGAAACTCCACGGGACTCCCATCGCGAGATTTTTCCTAATATTTTGGTTGTATTTCTTTTCCTATCATTTGCAACCATTGCTCCATGTCCTGGTCTCCAGAGCAGCAAACAACAAGCTCCCCCCCTCCTTGGTATGACATCCTTCCAAGGCTCTCACCACCCTTTCTCTCCGTCTTCTTTTCTCCAGGCTAAACATACCAAGCTCAGGGTTGTTGTGAGTTTTCCAGATGTTCCAGAAGCATTCTCTCCTGACGTTTCACCCAAATCTATGGCAGGCATCCTCAGAGGTTGAGGGGTCTGTTGGAAACTAGGAAAATGGGGTTTATATATCTGTGGAATAATACCCAGGGTGGGAGAAAGAACTCTTGTCTGTTGGAGGCAAGTGTGAATGTTGCAAATGGCCACCTTGATTAGCATTGAATGGACCTGCAGCTTCAAAGCCTGGCTGCTGGAATGTCCAGAGTGGGAGAAAGAACTCTTGTCTGTTGGAGGCAAGTGTGAATGTTGTCATCAGCCACCTTGGTTAGCACTGAATGGACTTGCAGCTTCAAAGCCTGGCTGCTGGAATGTCCACGGTGGGAGAAAGAACTCTTGTCTGTTGAAGGCAAGTGTGAATGCTTCCAGTGGCCACCTTGATTAGCAATGAATGGCCTTGCAGCTTCAAAACCTGGCTGCTGGAATGTCCAGGGTGGGTGAAAGAACTCTTGTCTGTTGGAGGCAAGTGTGAATGCTGCCGGTGGCCACCTTGACTAGCATTGAATGGCCTTGCAGCTTCAAAGCCTGACTGCTTCCTACCTGGGGGAATCCTTTGTTGGGAGGTATTAGTTGGCCCTGACTGAGCCTGGGTTTGTCCATACCTGCTCTAGACAGGTATGGGCAAATCCATCTAAAACACAGACATGTGCTTTTCACCTCAAGAACAGACAAGCATGTTGAGCTCTGAGGATGACCTGGGAAGGAATCCCACGGGAGCATTGCAGCGCACCGAAATACCTGGGAGTCAGTCACTCTGGACCATGCTCTGACCTACAAGAAGCACTGCCTGAACATCAAGAAAAAAAGTGGGCGCTAGAAACAATATAATACGAAAGCTGACTGGCACAACCTGGGGATCACAACCAGACACAGTGAAGACATCTGCTCTTGCGCTATGCTACTCTGCTGCTGAGTATGCATGCCCAGTGTGGAACACATCTCACCACGCTCAAACAGTGGATGTGGCTCTTCATGAGACATGCCGCATTATCACAGGGTGTCTGCGCTCTACACCACCGGAGAAATTACACTGTGTAGCTGGTATTGCACCACCTGACATCCGCTGGGAAGGAGCAGCCAATAGTGAAAGGACCAAGGCAGAGACATCTCCAGCTCATCCCGTTTGGGTATCAGCTAGCATGCCAACGACTTAAATCAAGAAACAGCTTCCTAAGATACTCTCAGGAACATCTCAGCAAGCAAGAGTCCAAAAGTGGCAGGCTAAAACCTGGAACTTCAATCCATGGCTGTTATCAGATGAGAAACTCCATCCTGGGCACATAGAAAAGTAGATAACCTGGTAGGCGCTAGACGGGCTGCACTCTGGCACCACAAGATGCAGAGCCAATCTTCAGAAACAGGTAAGTAATACAAATGAAAACACCAAGCACGCACATGCCCTTGCAGGGCCCAACATTCAAGAGAAATAGCTTTGTGTTATTCAGGTCCAATTGTACATGTGTTGCTTAGATACAGAAGCTGTTTAAATCAAGGTTCGGGTTGCAAAAATCTTTGAGAGAGGTTCTGCAAGGGATGAAATCATTCCTGCATGGTAGTTAAGTTCAATTACTTTTGTCCCAGGAGTCTGTAGGATCGGTATGTGTAGGCACATGTATGTTAGTAGCCCAGCAAAGTCAGCAAAGGATCACGCAATGCATCATCCATCAATACAAGGCCTGGTCCAGGGACGTGGAGTTTTCCAAAAGGCAGGAGGCATCCTATAAGAAGTCCAGTCAATCTTCATCTCTCCTTGGATCGACGAGACAAGTTCAAAGCCATGATACCCATGGGTTGGTGTGAGTTTTCTGGGCTTTATGGCCATGTTCCAGAAGCATTCTCTCCTGATGTTTCGCCTGCATCTATAGCAGGCATCCTCAGAGATTGTGAGGTCTGTTGGAAACTAGGCAAGTGGAGTTTATATATCTGTGGAATGATGTCCAGGGTGGGAGAAAGAACTCTTGTCTGTTGGAGGCAAGTCTGAATGCTGCAATTGGTTACACTGATTAGTATTTAATAGTCTAGCAGTTTCAAGGCCTGGCTTCTTACTGCCTGGGAGAATCCTTTGTTGGGAGGTGATTAGCTGGAGGTAGGTGTGAATATTGCAACTGCCCACCTTGATTAGCATTGAATAGCCTAGCAGTTTCAAGATCTCGCTTCTTACTGCCTGGAGGAATCCTTTGTTGGGAGGTGATTAGATGGAGGTAGGTGTCAATGTTGCAACTGCCCACTTTGATTAGCATTTAATAGCCTAGCAGTTTCAAAGTCTGGCTTCTTACTGCCTGGGGGAATCCTTTGTTGGGAGGTGATTAGCTGGAGGTAGGTGTGAACGTTGCAATTGCCCACAACCTCTGAGGATGCTGGCCATAGATGTCAGCGAAACGTCAGGAGAGAATATTTCTCAATCAGTGCCAGCTAACCCCTCCCAACAAAGGATTCCCCCAGGAAGGAAGCAGTCAGACTTTGAAGCTGCAAGGCCATTCAATGCTAATCAAGGTGGCCAATTGCAACATTCACACTTGCTTCAAACAGACAAGAGTTTTTTCTCCCACCCTGGACATTATTCCACGGATATATAAACCCAAATTTCCTAGTTTCCAACAGATTTCACAACCTTTGAGGATGCCTACCATAGATGCTGGTGAAATGTCAGGAGAGAATGCTTCAACACCTCCCAACAAAGGATCCCAGGCAGCAACCAGCCAGGCTTTGAAGCTGCAAGGCCATAAATGCTAATCCTGTGTGATCTGTTGGAAACTAGGCAAGTGGGGTTTATATATCTGTGGAATTCCAGGGCCATCTAACACCTCCCAACAAAGGATTCCCCCAGGCAGCAACCAGCCAGGCTTTGAAGCTGCAAGGCCATTAAATGCTAATCCTCAGAAGTTGTGAGGACTGTTGGAAACTAGACAAGTGGGGTTTATATATCTGGAATGTCCAGTGCCATCTAACACCTCCCAACAAAGGATTCCCCCAGGCAGCAAGCAGCCATGCTTTGAAGCTGCAAGGCCATTAAATGCTAATCCTTAAAGGTTGTGAGGTCTGTTGGAAACTAGGCAAGTGGGGTTTATATATCTGTGGAACGTCCAGGGCCATCTAACACCTCCCAACAAAGGATCCCCCAGGCAGCAAGCAGCCATGCTTTGAAGCTACAAGGCCAATAAATGCTAATCCTTAGAGGTTGTGAGGTCTGTTGGAAACTAGGCAAGTGGGGTTTATATATCTGGAATGTCCAGCGCCACCTAACACCTCCCAACAAAGGATTCCCCCAGGCAGCAAGCAGCCTTGCTTTGAAGCTGCAAGGCCATTAAATGCTAATCCTTAAAGGTTGTGAGGTCTGTTGGAAACTAGGCAAGTGGGGTCTATATATCTTTGGAACGTTCAGGGCCATCTAACACCTCCCAACAAAGGATTCCCCCAGGCAGCAAGCAGCCAGGCTTTGAAGCTGCAAGGCCATTAAATGCTAATCCTTAAAGGTTGTGAGGTCTGTTGGAAACTAGGCAAGTGGGGTCTATATATCTTTGGAACGTTCAGGGCCATCTAACACCTCCCAACAAAGGATCCCTCCAGGCAGCAACCAGCCAGGCTTTGAAGCTACAAGGCCAATAAATGCTAATCCTTAAAGGTTGTGAGGTCTGTTGGAAACTAGGCAAGTGGGGTCTATATATCTTTGGAACGTTCAGGGCCATCTAACACCTCCCAACAAAGGATTCCCCCAGGCAGCAAGCAGCCAGGCTTTGAAGCTGCAAGGCCATTAAATGCTAATCCTTAAAGGTTGTGAGGTCTGTTGGAAACTAGGCAAGTGGGGTCTATATATCTTTGGAACGTTCAGGGCCATCTAACACCTCCCAACAAAGGATTCCCCCAGGCATCAAGCAGCCATGCTTTGAAGCTGCAAGGCCATTAAATGATAATCCTTAAAGGTTGTGAGGTCTGTTGGAAACTAGGCAAGTGGGATCTATATATCTTTGGAACGTTCAGGGCCATCTAACACCTCCCAACAAAGGATCCCTCCAGGCAGCAACCAGCCAGGCTTTGAAGCTGCAAGGCCATTAAATGATAATCCTCAGAGAAACTAGGCAAGTGGGGTTTATATATCTTTGGAACATTCAGGGCCATCTAACACCTCCCAACGAAGGATTCCCCCAGACAGTGAGAAGCCAGACCTTGAAACTGCAAGGCCATTAAATGGTAATCAAGGTGTCCAATTGAAACATTTACACCTACCTCAAACAGACAAGAGTTCTTTCCCCAACCCTGGACATTCCATTTGTTTAGTTTCCAACAGACCTCCCAGCCTCTGAGGATCCCTGCCAAAGATGCAAGTGAAACGTCAGGAGAGAATGCTTCCAGAACGTGGCCAGACAAACGCACAGCAACCCAGTGACTCCGGATACGATATACTCCATTATTTATTTGTCAAGCAGAAATTTAGATGGAGCAGCTGCATAAAACCCTGGGAACAGCCGTACGATCAGTCCGGGGTAAGAGTCCACTTGTCATGGAAAGTCGTGTAAATAATGGGGGGAAATGGGAAATATTGGACAAGAGCAATAATAAAAGTGAGGCCAAGAGAAGGAACGGAAGAGAAGGAAGGGAGAGCTGCAGGTAAGGCTTTGCTGCCCAGAACGCAAGGACCAAGGCTGCTGCTGACACGGTCTCCTCTTCCTGCAACTTGACTCTAGACCTTCCAGGAAATATACGGATTCCTTCTCCGCTGGGTGTGCAAGACGTCACACGGGGGCAACGTAATTGCCAGGGAAAGTGCCAAATTTTTGTGTTCTTCTAGAGACACCTGCAAGAGAAACCAACAACAAGAGGAGACGCGCATGTCTAGCCATTCATTTTGCTCCTTTCAACGAAGTCAATAATTTGTGGGTTGGTATAGGTTTTTTTGGGCTACATGGCCATGTTCTAGAGGCATTCTCTCCTGACGTTTCGCCTGCATCTATGGCAAGCATCCTCAGAGGTAGTGAGTAGGCCTGGTTGATCAAGAAAAAATTTGTTTCTAAAATCGATTTGTATTTGGGGTTTTTTTTTTTGTTTCGATATTTAAAAGAATTACAAAATTTTCCTTTTAAAAAGTTCGATATTTACGAAATTTCGTAAATGGTAAAAATTTAACGAATCGATTTCCGAAACAATAACGAATCGATTCGTTAATGGCGGACGCGACCGCGAAATACGCTAAAAAACCTCCAAAACCTTCTGAAGCTTCCCTCTCCCTCTGTTGTTGACTGTTGGTGTGATATTATAATTTTTTTTCACTAATTAAACCATAAAACTGGCCCAGACATGCGGAAATAATAACGAAACGACCGCAAAACAATAACGAAACGAATACAGTATCGAAATACGAAGCATTTACAAAACGTTTTTGAAAATTCGTTTTTTTTTAATAATTGCTCCAGAATGGTTTGTTATCGTTTTGTAATTGAAAAAATTAACGAATTATTAACGAATTACGAATTAACGAAACGAAACCGCCCAGCCCTAGTAGTGAGGTCTGTTGGAACGAGGAAAAAGGGTTTATATTAGGCTTGGGTAACAACGGAAAAATTTGTTTCTAAACTCGTTTTGTTTTTAGGGGTCCATCGCGTTTCGTTTTTTAAAAGAATTCCGAAATTTTCCTTTTAAAAATTTCGAAATTTATGAAATTTCGTATAATTACGAATCGATTCGTTAATGGCGGACGCGATTGCGCAATATGCTAAAAAAAACCTCCAAATGGGAGAGGGGGAACTTCTGAAGCTTCCCTCTCCCTCTGTTGTTGACTGTTGGTGTGATAAAACAAACAACAACAACTATAAAACTTGCACCAGACATGCGAAAATAATTACGAAATAATTACGAAATAATTTCGAAATAATTACGAAAGAATAACGAAATAATTACGAAATAAATTGAAAAAATAGTTTCGAATCTAATTTACTCCTCACACAATTCCTGCATGGCTCAATATTGGATCGTAAGCTAATTTAAATACGAATTAATAACGAATTACGAAATTAACGAACGAAACCGCCCAAGCCTAGTTTATATATCTGTGGAAAGACCAGAGTGGGACAAAGGACTCTTGTCTGCTGGAGCTAGAGGTGAATGTTTCAACTGACCACCTTGATTAGCATATAATGGCCTGACAGTGCCTGGGGGTAATATTTTGTTGAGAGGTGCTTAGATGTCCTTGTTAGTTTCCTCTCTGTTGTTGTGCTGTTGTAATTTTAGAGTTTTTTAATACCGGTAGCCAGATTGTGTTCATTTTCATGGTTTCCTCCTTTCTGTTGACATTGCACACATGCTTCTTGTGGATTTCAATGGCTTCTCTGTGTCGTTGACATGGTAGTTGTGAGAGTGGTCCAGCATTTCTGTGTTCTCAAATAAAATGATGTGGACAAGAGGCCTTTGTCCCACCCTGGTCATTCCACAAATATATGAACCCTTTTTCCTAGTTCCAGGTGATTAGATGTCCTTGTTTGTTTCCTCTCTGTTGTTGTGCTGTTGTAATTTTAGAGTTTTTTAATACTGGTGGCCAGAAGGACATCTAATCACCTCTCAACAAAAGTTTGCTCCAGGCATTGCCAGGCCATCAAATGCTAATCAAGGTGGTCAGTTGAAACATTCACACCTAGCTCCAGCAGACAAGAGTCCTTTGTCCCACCCTGGACATTATTCCACGGATATATAAACCCTTTTTCCAAGTTCCAACAGACCTCACTCCCTCTGAGGATGCTTGCCATAGATGCAGGCGAAACGTCAGGAGAGAATGCCTCTAGACCATGGCCATATAGCCCGGAAAAACCTACAACAACCCAATGATTCCGGCCATGAAAGCCTTCGACAATACAGTCAATAATTTATTGATTTATTTGTTATAAGTAGCAAATAAATCAAGCATTAAACCTCCATGGACTTTGGATGAAAGTATATATGACCGTATAATTAATGTTATTGTTTATGGTTGTATATTGTTATTGGTTTTGTTTGTTTGTTTTTTTGTATTGAATAATATGTATCTGCTGTAAAATAAACAATGTATAACAAATGTATTAAACCATGATAAAATAATACAAAAATATTTTTTTTAAATTGTTTTTTATTGTTATTGTGATACTGTGGCATCAAATTGTTGCCAGTGTTAGCCCCCCCGAGTCCTCCCCCCACCCCTTGGGGGTAGAAATGTTGTCAATAAATAAATAATTCATCCTGCTCATTTGGCTTCAAGGTCATAACATAAAAGTCCCAAAAGAAGCAACTTTTCCAAGTTCTGTTTTTTATCCTGCTTCAGGGGTGCTCTAGGAACACTTGTGAAATGGGGTTGCTGTGAGTTTTCCGGGCAGTCTGGCCATGTTCCAGAAGCATGATCTCCTGACATTTCGCCCACATCTCTGGCAGGCATCCTTCAGGGATTGTGAAGTCTGTAGGAAACTAGGGAAATGGTTTCCAACAGGCCCCACAAGCTCTGAGGATGCCTGCCTGCCATAGATGTGGGCGAAATGTCAGGAGAGAATGCTTTTGGAACATGGCCAGACAGTTTGGAAAACTCACAGCAACCCACTGATTTCAGCAATGAAATTCTTCGACAACACACCTATTATTATTATTATTATTATTATTATTATTATTATTATTATTAATCTGTTGTGAGTTTTTCAGGTTGTATTTCGCCCACATCTCTGGCAGGCATCCTCAGGGATTGTGAAGTCTGTAGGAAACTAGGGAAATGGTTTCCAACAGACCTCACAAGCTCTGAGGATGCCTGCCATAGATGTGGGTGAAACTTCAGGAGAGAATGCTTCTTAAACACGGCCAGACAGTTCAGAAAACTCACAGGAACCCAGTGATTTCAGCCACGAAAGTCTTCGACAACACACCTATTATTATTATTATTATTATTATTATTATTATTATTATTATTATTATTTGTTGTGAGTTTTCCGGGCTGTCTGGCCATGTCCCAGAAGCATTCTCTCCTGACATTTCGCCCACATCTATGGCAGGCATGCTCAGAGGTTGTGAGGTCTGTTGGAAACTAGGCAAGTGGGGTTGATATATCTGTGGAATGCCCAGGGCCATCCAACACCTCCCAACAAAGGATTCCCCCTGGCAGCAACCAGCCAGGCTTTGAAGCTGCAAGGCCATTGAATGCTAATCCTCAGGGGTTGGGAGGTCTGTTGGAAACTAGGCAAGTGGGGTTGATATATCTGTGGAATGCCCAGGGCCATCCAACACCTCCCAACAAAGGATTCCCCCTGGCAGCAACCAGCCAGGCTTTGAAGCTGCAAGGCCATTGAATGCTAATCCTCAGGGGTTGGGAGGTCTGTTGGAAACTAGGAAAGTGGGGTTGATATATCTGTGGAATGCCCAGGGCCATCCAACACCTCCCAACAAAGGATTCCCCCTGGCAGCAACCAGCCAGGCTTTGAAGCTGCAAGGCCATTGAATGCTAATCCTCAGGGGTTGGGAGGTCTGTTGGAAACTAGGAAAGTGGGGTTGATATATCTGTGGAATGCCCAGGGCCATCCAACACCTCCCAACAAAGGATTCCCCCTGGCAGCAACCAGCCAGGCTTTGAAGCTGCAAGGCCATTGAATGCTAATCCTCAGGGGTTGGGAGGTCTGTTGGAAACTAGGAAAGTGGGGTTGATATATCTGTGGAATGCCCAGGGCCATCCAACACCTCCCAACAAAGGATTCCCCCTGGCAGCAACCAGCCAGGCTTTGAAGCTGCAAGGCCATTGAATGCTAATCCTCAGGGGTTGGGAGGTCTGTTGGAAACTAGGCAAGTGGGGTTTATATATCTGTGGAATGCCCAGGTCTGTAGGAAACTAGGAAAATAGTTTCCAACAGACCTCACAAGCTCTGAGGATGCCTGCCATAGATGTAGGCGAAACGTCAGGAGAGAATGCTTCTGGGACATGGCCATTCAGCCCGGGAAACTCACAGCAACCCTATGTTCCTTTTATTTGCACATTTCCACTACTGTAGAAGTTCTGCATCCCTAAACCCAGAAAATGTGGAGGCCTCAAATCTCATGTTGGTTTGGTAACCTGTATTATGGTCCTCCTTCCTTAAGCCTACAGAGAAAACCTAAAGATTGATGGGCCTTGCAAACCCTAAGCCCAGTTTTTGGTCCTGGGATGGCAATGTGGGTGCCCAGCTCCCCCCATTCTCCAGTGGGGCAGGCATACCTACAAACCATCCGTCATCGCACTGCTGCATCACGTCCACGCGGTCTCCTTCGTGGAGCTCAAGCTCGTCTTCATTCTGGGGCCGATACTGATAGAGAGCCAGGTACCTGCAACACCAGAGACACAAGGGACTCCACTGAACACAGTGCTTCTCAACCTTCTCATGCCGCGACCCCTTAATACGGTTCCTCGTATTGTGGTGACCCCTCAACCATCACATTATTTTCGTTGCTACTTCACAACTGTGACTTTCCTCCTGTTATGAATCATCATGTAAACATCTGAGATGCAGGGTGTATTTTCATTTACTGGACCACATTTGGCACTGTAGAGAAGTGTTCATTAAACTGTGTTTTAAACTGTGTTTATGCTTTACATTGTAGCCATGACCTAGCTGAGAGAGATAGGTTGCCATGGTGACAGGCCAGAGGAGGTGGGCGGAGCTTAAGTAGGAAAGGTTTGAAAACGACAGTTTAAAATCAGTCAGGCGGATGAGACCCTGAAGGACAGAGTCAAAGGGGACTCTGGGATAATAGTTCAGTCAGGGGAATGAAACCCTGAGGGGCAGAGTCAACTGGGACTCTGGCATAATTTCAGTCAGGCGGATGAGACCCTGAAGGACAGAGTCAGTTGAGGCTCTGTGGTGTAGTGTAAATTCAGCCAGTTCTTAGGATTTGTGAATATTATTCCAGCTAGGAAGCTGGAGGTGAAACCTCGTTAGATTGCTTGAGTAAAGAAAGAATCTAACAAGAAAGAGGTTTAGGGATCCCAGTGGTGAATGGCTGGTGATCGCTAGTTTGATCCTGTGTAGGACAAACAGTTGTAAATATTCACAATAGGGAACTGAAATATTAAAGCACCTCATTGTAGAAGAAGTCAAAGAATTGTAACATCACCTGAATGTATCTCAACTAAGCCATATTTGTATCCATCAAGCTTGTGCCAAGTTCAACAGTTAATATTGCAACAGTTACGCTCCGACAATAAATCTGTTCTCTTTGTGTTTTAAAACCTGCCTCATCCATTGATTTCAACGTTTTGCACAATCCACACTACCAAAGTGGCCTCACAACCCAGATAAGAAGAAACAGAGATTATATTACCAATATCTCTTTATATTAGGGTGGCAGCTTAACCTAGAAGTCTCAAATTCTCATTACATTTGTGTGGTGATCCTATTTAGTTGGGATTTCTCGCCATTATTTTATTTTTGGAGACTACTTCACATATTTTGGTGGCAGCAAGTGAACGGCTTCGAATTGTAGTAACGAGCGGTGGGGACGCGGCTTCGCAGGCACAAACACCAGATATGCCCAAATTTGAATATTGGTGGGGTTGGAAGGGTTGACTGTACCATTTGGGATTTATTGGGATTGTGTTCATTTTCATGGTTTCCTCCTTTCATCAGCAGAGCACCTGATGAACTAACCTGGACACAGCATACTATTTGAGAACACAGAAATGCTGGACCACACCAGCAACCACCATCTCAGGCTACACAGGGAAGCCACTGAAATCCACAAGAAGCATGTGGACAATCTCAACAGAAAGGAGGAAACCGTGAAAATGAACACAATCTGGCTACCAATGTAAAAAAAAAAACCTCTAAAATTGCAACAGCACAACAACAGAGAGGAAACAAACAAGGACATCTAATCACCTCTCAACAAAAGATTTCCCCAGGCACTGCCAGGCCATCAAATGCTAATCAAGGTGAAACATTCACACCTAGCTCCAGCAGACAAGAGTCCTTTGTCCCACCCCGGTCATTCCACAGATATATAAACCCTTTTTCCTAGTTCCAACAGACCTCACTACCTCTGAGGATTTTTTTTTGTTGTGTCAGGAGTGACTGCAAGTTGCTCCTGGTGTGAGAGAATTGGCCGTCTGCAAGGACGTTGCCCAGGGGACACCCGGAGGATTTGATGTTTTTATCATCCTTGTGGGGGACTTCTCTCATGTCCCCGCTTGGGGAGCTGGAGCTGACAGAGGGAGCTCATCCGCCTCTCCTCGGATTCGAACCTGCGACCTATCAGTCTTCAGTCCTGCCAGCACAGGGGTTTAACCCACTACGCCACCGGGGGCTCCTACCTCTGAGGATGCTTGCCATAGATGCAGGCGAAATGTCAGGAGAGAATGCCTCTAGACCATGGCCATATAGCCCGAAAAAACCTACAACAATCCAGTGATTCCGGCCAGGAAAGCCTTCGACAATACATTACTTTTTATTTATATAGATTGTTTTTATGTTTCTAAATGCATTGTAATGTTTCTTTTTTGCTTTTTTATCAATGTATGTATTTTATTTATGGCATCGAATTGTGCCGACTTTGTGTGCCGCCCTGAGTCGCCTTTGGGCTGATATGGGCGGGATAGAAATAGCATAAATAAATGAATAAATAAAAATCTCCAGGTTGAGAAACACTGTGTTTGAGACTCCAAGCATTGCCATTTCCATTGTGGAAAGCATTCTCCAAACAGCAAACCCTTGTATAGTATCCAGATCAAAGCATTTTTTCGGAGAGAGAGCGGCCTTTTGTTCCATGCTTCCTCTCCAAAGGCCTCGCGGATGAGAAAAGGAGGGTTGTTGTAGGTTTCTTTGGGCTATATGGCCATGTTCTGGAGGCATTCTCTCCTGACGTTTCGCCTGCATCTATGGCAAGCATCCTCAGAAGTAGTGAGGTCTGTTGGAAGTAGGAAAATGGGTTTATATATCTGTGGAATGACCAGGGTGAGACAAAGGACTCTTGTCTGCTGGAGCTAGGTGGGAATGTTTCAACTGACCACCTTGATTAGCATTTAATGGCTTGGAAGTGCCTGGGGGGAATCTTTGGTTGAGAGTGATTTGATGTCCCTGATTGTTTCCTCTCTCTGTTGTTTTGCTGTTGTAATTTTAGAGTTTTTTAATACTGGTAGCCAGATTTTGTTCATTTTCAGGGTTTCTTCCTTTCTGTTGAAATTGTCCACGTACTTGTGGATTTTAATGGCTTCTCTGTGTAGTCTGACATGGTGGTTGTGAGAGTGGTCAGAGGGGAAACAATCAGGCACATCAAATCACTCTCAACAAAAGATTCCCCCCAGGCGCTGCCAAGCCATTGAATGCAAATCAAGGTGACCAGCTGAAACATTCACACCTAGCTCCAGCAGACAAGAGTCCTTTGTCCCACCCTGGTCATTATTCCACAGATATATAAGCCCGACTGCTCACTGGAGGGAAGGAGACGAGAGACAAAGTTGAAGTACTTTGGCCACATCATGAGGAGACAGGAAAGCCTAGAGAAGACAATTATGCTGGGGAAAGTGGAAGGCAAAAGGAAGAGGGGCCGACCAAGGGCAAGATGGATGGATGGCATCCTTGAAGGGACTGGACTGACCTTGAGGGAGCTGGGGGTGGTAACGGCCGACAGGGAGCTCTGGCGTGGACTGGTCCATGAGGTCACGAAGAGTCGGAGACGACTGAACGAATGAACAACAAAATATAAACCCATTTTTCCCAGTTCCAACAGACCTCACTACCTCTGAGGATGCTTGCCACAGATGCAGGCGAAACGTCAGGAGAGAATGCCTCTAGAACATGGCCATATAGCCCGAAAAAACTTACAACAACCCAGTAATTCCGGCCATGAAAGCCTTCGACAATACTGTGTTTGAGACTCCAAGCACTGCCATTTCCATTGCGAAAAGCATTCTCCAAACAGCAAACCCTGGTAAAGGATGCAGATCAAAGCATTTTTTCGGAGAGAGAGCGGCCTTTTGTTCCATGCTTCGTCTCCAAAGACCTCGCGGATGAGAAAAGGAGGCTTTGCGGAGGGGAGAGGAACGTGCCGAGGCCAACACTCTTGCGGGCAACCTTTCCCACTCCTAACTTGTTTGGAGGAAGGGAGCAAGGCTCGGAAAAGATGGATTGTCTCGCCTTTGGGGAGTGCCAAAGGGTCGGGCAAGGGACAGGTAGGGCAGCCGGCGTTTTCCGCTTCCTCGGGCGCTCTGGGAGCCGCTCTGAAGAAGCCCTTGTTCTGAGCACAATGCGAGCCCTGTCTTGGCGTGGCACCCCAGGCAGCCGTCTGCGGCCAGACCGCCCTACGGGTCACTTCCAGGCACCAGCCGGAGTCAAGGGTTTCCCTTCGCAAGACGGCCACAGTAGCCTCACTTACGGGGTCCACTGTATGCTGGAAGGGGCCGCTTCGGAGGTCTGCCCGGGGCTGCGTGGCTGCGGAGATCGAGGCGCCGCCGTCTCCAGGGCCGGATTCTGTGGACAGAGCAGAGGGAAGGCATGAGGAGAATGCACACAAAGAGTTCGGTTCAATGTCTTCTCAAAGGCTTTCAGTGGACCCTGGAATCACTGGGTTGCTATGAGTTTTCCAGGCTGTCTGGACATTTTCCAGAAGCACTCTCTCCTGACGTTTCGCCCACATCTAGGGCAGGCATCCTCAGAGGTTGTGAGGTCTGTTGGAAACTAGGCAAGTGGAGTTTATTAGGCTTGGGCAATCCATGGTTCTAAATGGTTCTAAAGTACTTACAAAACTAAAGTTCGGGTGGTGAAGATTTCAGAACTCTACCAAAACTCTCAAAATTTCATAATAAATGGCGGTTCCTAATTGGTTCTGTCATTAAAATCACCAATAATGAAATAATAATTAAATTTTGAAAGTTTTGTTAGAGTTCTGAAATTTTCACCACCAGAACTTTAGTTTTGTAAGTACTTTAGAACCATTTAGAACCATGGATTGCCCAAGCCTAGAGTTTATATATTTGTGGAATGTCCAGGGCAATCTAACACTTCCCAACAAAGGATCTCCCCAGGCAGCAACCAACCAGGCTTTGAAGCTGAAAGGCCACTAAATGCTAATCCTCAGAGGCTGTGAGGTCTGTTATTAATCTGCTTTTTTATCCGACCTACTTGGGAACTGCAATTCCCTTCCTTGGGCACCTGTGCCCCTTTCTATAGTGTGCTGGTCAAAGACCGTAATAAATCATTGATTGATTGATTGATTGATTGTGAGGTCTGTTGGAAACTAAGCAAGGGAAATTGATTTATCTGTGGAAGGTCCAGGAGGGGAGAAAGAACTCTTGTCTATTGGGGGCAAGTGTGAATGTTGCAATTGGCTACATCGATTAGCACTGAATAACCTTGCAGCTTCAAAGCCTGGCTGCTTCCTGCCTGGGGGGATCCTTTGTTGGGAAGTGTTATCTGTTGTGGAAGGCTTTCATGGTTGGAATCACTGGGTTGTTGTAGGGTTTTTTTTTTGGCTATATGGCCAAGTTCCAGAAGCATTCTCTCCTGACATTTTGCCCACATCTACGGCAGGCATCCTCAGAGCTTGTGAGGTCTGTTGGAAACTAAGCAAGGGAAATGTATTTATCTGTGGAAGGTCCAGGAGGGGAGAAAGAACTCTTGTCTATTGGGGGCAAGTGTGAATGTTGCAATTGGCTACACTGATTAGCACTGAATAACCTTGCAACTTCAAAGCCTGGCTGCTTCCTGCCTGGGGGGATCCTTTGTTGGGAAGTGTTAGCTGGCCCAGATTCTGTTGTGGAAGGCTTTCATGGCTGGAATCACTGGGTTGTTCTAGGCTTTTTGGCTATATGGCCATGTTCCAGAAGCATTCTCTCCTGACTTTTCGCCCACAACTACGGCAGGCATCCTCAGAGCTTGTGAGGTCTGTTGGAAACTAAGCAAGGGAAATGTATTTATCTGTGGAAGGTCCAGGAGGGGAGAAAGAACTCTTGTCTGTTGGGGGCAACTTCAAAGCCTGGCTGCTTCCTGCCTGGGGGGATCCTTTGTTGGGAAGTGCTAGTTTGACATCTTAGAATCCTAGAATCAAAGAGTGGGAAGAGACCTGGTGGGCCATCATCCAGTCCAACCCCATTCTGTCAAGAAGCAGGAATATTGCATTCAAAGCACCCCCGGCAGATGGCCATCCAGCCTCTGTTTCAAAGCCTCCATAGAAGGAGCCTCCAGCACACTCCCTCCGGGGCAGAGAGTTCCACTGCTGAACGGCTCTCACAGTCAGGAAGTTCTTCCTAATGTTCAGATGGAATCTCCTCTCTTGTAGTTTGAAGCCATTGTTCCCTTGCGTCCTAGTCTCTCCCCAGGGAAGCAGAAAGGAAGCTTGCTCCCTCCTTCCTAGGGCTTCCTCTCACATATTTATCTCATCATATCTCCTCTCAGCCTTCTCATTCTTCGGGCTAAACATGCCCAGCTCTTTAAGCCGCTCCTCATAGGGCATGTTCTCCAGACCTTTGATTATTTTAGTCACCGTACTCTATGCACTTTCCAGCTTGTCAATATCTCCCTTCAATTGTGGTGCCCAGAATTGGACATAGTATTCCAAGTAAAGTGGTCTAACCAAAGCGGAATAGAGCATGGGGAGCAGGACTTCCCTAGATCTAGACCAGGGGTCCTCAAAGTAAGGGCCAGGGGCCGGATGCGGCCCTCCAAGGTCATTTACCCGCCCTCGCTCAGGGTCAACCTAAGTCTATAACAACTCAAAAGCACACAACAACAACAACAACAACAACAACCATCCTATCTCACCAGCCAAAAGCAGGCCCACACTTCCCATTGAAATACTACTAAATTTATATTTGTTAAGGTTGTTCTTCATTTTAATTATTGTATTGTTTTAAAGTGTTTATTGCACTATAAATAAGATCTGTGCAGTGTGCATAGGAATTCTTTCATGTATTTTTTTTCAAATTATAATCCGGCCCTCCAGTTTGAGGCACTGTGGCCTGGCCCTCTGTTTAAACAGTTTGAGGACCCTCTTTTTGCCGCCCCATCCCATTCCTGGCTCATGTTAACCTTCCTCCCCACGAGGACTCCAAGGTCTTTTTCACACGTCCTGGTCTTGAACCAGGTCTCATCGTCCTCCGTTCTGTCTCTTTGCATTTCGTTTTTCCTGCCTAAGTGGAGTCTCTAGCATTTGTTCCTCTTGAACTTCATTTTGTTGGTTTTGACCCATCATCTCTCTCCTACACCACGGGAGTAATTACACTGCTTATCCGGTATTGCACCACCTGACATCTGCCGGGAAGTAGGAGCCAATAGTGAAAGGACCAAGGCAGAGGCATCTCCAGCTCATCCCCTGTTTGGGTATCACCCAGCACGTCAACGACTTAAATCTAGAAATAGTTTTCTAAGATCTACAGAGACACTCCCTGGAACACCTCAGCAAGCGAGAGTCCAAAAGTGGCAGGCTCAAACCCAGAACTTCAACCAATGGCTGATACCAAATGGGAGACTCCCCCCTGGGCACACAGAAGACTGGGCGACTTGGAAGGCGCTGAACAGACTGCGCTCGGGCACCACAATATGCAGAGCCAAACAAAATTGGAGCTCCTGGTACAGTTGTACCTGCACAAGCATAGATGAAGCTCTCACTCTGGACCGTGCTCTGACCTACAAGAAGCACTGCCTGAACATCAAACAAAAATGGGTGCTAGAAACAATATCATACGAAAGCTGACTGGCACAACCTGGGGATCACAACCAGACACAGTGAAGACATCTGCCCTTGTGCTGTGCTACTCTGCAGCTGAGTACGCATGCCCAGTGTGGAACACATCTCAACACACTAAAACAGTGGATGTGGCTCTTAATGAGACATGCCGCATTATCACGGGGTGTCTGCGCCCTACACCACTGGAGAAATTACACTGCTTAGCCGGTATTGCATCACCTGACATCCGCCGGGAAGTGGCAGCCAATAGAGAAAGGACCAAGGCAGAGACATCTCCAGCTCATCCCCTGTTTGGGTATCAGCCAGCACGCCAACGACTTACATCAAGACATAGTTTTCTTAGATCTACAGAGACACTCGCTGGAACACCCCAGCAAGCGAGAGTCCAAAAGTGGCAGGCTCAAACCCAGAACCTCAACCAATGGCTGATACCAAATGAGAGACTCCCCCCTGGGCACACAGAAGACTGGGTGACTTGGAAGGCGCTGAACAGACTGCACTCTGGCACCACAAGATGCAGAGCCAACATTAAGAAATGGGGCCACAAAGTGGAGGGGAGTTCCACAATAGTGAAAGGACCAAGGCAGAGACATCTCCAGCTCATCCCCTGTTTGGGTATCAGCCAACACGTCAACGACTTAAATCAAGAAATAGTTTTCTAAGATCTACAGAGACACTCGCTGGAACACCTCAGCAAGCGAGAGTCCAAAAGTGGCAGGCTCAAACCCAGAACTTCAATCAATGGCTGATACCAAATGAGAGACTCCCCCCTGGGCACACAGAAAACTGGGTGACTTGGAAGGCGCTGAACAGACTGCGCTCTGGCACCACGAGATGCAGAGCCAACCTCAAGAAATGGGGCCACAAAGTGGAATCCGCAACATGCGAGTGCGGAGAAGAGCCAACCACTGACCACCTGCTGCAATGCCCCCTGAGCCCTTCTTCCACATGATGCACCAGGGAGGACCTCCTTGCGGCAACACCAGAGACACTCCAAGGGGACAGAGACTGGGCAAAGGACATTTAATCAACTACCAAACTCGCAAATTTTGTATTTTGTCTGTTTGTTTTGTTCTGTTAGAAATGTAATACAATTGACTGGTTGCCCTGACACGCCAAATAAATAAATCTCTCTCCTCTGTGCATTCTGCTCCTGTCCTCTGGAGTCTTGGTCTCCCTCCCCATTTGGTCCCATCTGCAAACTGGATGATCCTGCCTTCTTGCCCTCCATCTGAGTCATTAATAAAGATGTTGAAGAGCATGAAGCAAGGCACATTAAATAAATGCAAATTATGCTTATCTGTCCATTTGGCATCATTCATTTGCATGCAGAAATGGAATCTTTTTTGCCCCCCAGGAGTTTCCTTCCAAGAGCAGATGTGTCTTTCAAGAAGGACTTCATGTCCTCATCTGCCGCTTCACGGGAGGTCTTGCACCCATCCCCTGAGCTCTTTGGGTGCCCAGTCCCACAGCAGAACCCTATGGCGAAGGTGCATATCTTGGCGTCATAGGTACATTATGCCCTGGTTCTGTTGATCAAGGAATTGGCCTTGGGTCTTCTCCACACTCCCTGCCAAGCTCCACCTGGGAGACATTGGTGGAGAGGCAAGCTGGGAAAAGGGAGTGAAGATGTGCCTGAAGGAAAGAGAGTGGGGAGGAACTCACCTGCTGTGGGAAGGCAGGTCGGGACTGGGGAGTCGAAAGAGGGGGAGCGGCCCTTGGGGGGTCTTGCGTCGGGACGGAAGAGTGGATGCTGGAAGGGCTTTGGTTCGGGAGACTGCCAGAAGCGGCTCTCGGGGAGCTCTGGGGTCTGTGGGGCACGGCCTCAGCATGCTGTAACTTGGGGGACATGGAGAAAGTGAAGCCCAAGTGACCGGAGGCGGCGGATGACAACGACGAGGAGACGTCTGCGGCCGAGGAGCCCAAAGGCGAGGCGTCCGACTGCCACCTGCTGCCGGCGTTGGGCGAATGCAGTTGGGATGGCGAGGTTGAACGCGCCCGGAGGCTTGGAGAAGGGAAGTCGGACTCCGAGTTCTTGACCCTTGGCTCCTTCAACACCTGAACGTAGTTGGCGGGGAAAATGCCCTGGCGGCTAGTGCCCGAGATGCGTCCTTCATACCAGTTTCCATCCACTCTGCGGATAAGGCAGATGTGTTCTCCCTGGAGGCCAAAGAGAGAAGGAAAGGTGAGGAGATCCCGAGGACACAACATCCTTGGAGACAGGTCTGGTGAGCCATTCCCTGCCTCACTGAATCATAGAAGAGTTGGAAGAGACCTCCTGGGCCGTCATCCAGCCCAACCCCATTCTGCCAAGAAGCAGGAATATTGCATTCTAAGCACCCCTGACAGATGGCCACCCAGCCTCATAGAATCCAAGAGTTGGGAAGAGACCTCCTGGGCCATCATCCAGCCCAACCCCATTCTGCCAAGAAGCAGGAATATTGCATTCTAAGCACCCCTGACAGATGGCCACCCAGCCTCATAGAATCCAAGAGTTGGGAGAGACCTCCTGGGCCATCATCCAGCCCAACCCCATTCTGCCAAGAAGCAGGAATATTGCATTCAAAGCACCCCTGACAGATGGCCATCCAGCCTCATAGAATCCTAGAGTGGGAAGAGACCTCCTGGGCCATCATCCAGTCCACCCCATTCTGCCAAGAAGCAGGAATATTGCATTCAAATCACCCCTGACAGATGGCCATCCAGCCTCATAGAATCCAAGAGTTGGAAGAGACCTCCTGGGCCATCATCCAGTCCAACCCCATTCTGCCAAGAAGCAGGAATATTGCATTCAAAGCACCCCTGACAGATGGCCATCCAGCCTCATAGAATCAAGAGTTGGAAGAGACCTCCTGGGCCATCATCCAGCCCAACCCCATTCTGCCAAGAAGCAGGAATATTGCATTCAAAGCACCCCTGACAGATGGCCATCCAGCCTCTGTTTCAAAGCTCCCAAAGAAGGAGCCTCCACCACACTCCAGGGCAGAGAGTTCCACTGCTGAACGGCTCTCACAGTCAGGAAGTTCTTCCTCATGTTCAGATGGAATCTCCTCTCTTGTAGTTTGAAGCCATTGCTTCGCGTCCTAGTCTCCAGGGAAGCAGAAAGCAAGCTTGCTCCCTCCTCCCTATGACCTCCCCTCACATATTTATCCATGGCTATCATGTCTCCTCTCAGCCTTCTCTTCTTCAGGCTAAACATGCCCAGCTCTTAAGCCGCTCCTCATAGGGCTTGTTCTCCAGACCCTTGATCATTTTAGTCGCCCTCCTCTGGACACATTCCAGCTTAGAGTCAATATTTCTCTTCAGTTGTGGTGCCCAGAATTGGGCACAATATTATTTATTTAATTTTTTTTTGTCATGTCAGGAGCAACTTGAGGAACTGCAAGTCGCTACTGGTGTGAGAGAATTGGGCATATGCAAGGACCTTGCCCAGATGTTTTTAATGTTGGAGTCCTCGTGGACAACAAGTTAAACATGAGCCAACAACATGATGAAGCAGCAAAAAAATGGGATTTTGGCCTGCATCAATAGGAATCTAGTGCCTAGATCTAGGGAAGTCATGCTCCCCATGCTCTATTCCACTTTGGTCAGACCACACCTGGAATATTGTGTCCAATTCTGGACACCACAGTTGAAGGGAGATGTTGACTCTAAGCTGGAATGTGTCCAGAGGAGGGCGACTCAAATGATCAAGGGTCTGAAGAACAAGCCCTATGAGGAGCGGCTTAAAGAGCTGGGCATGTTTAGCCTGAAGGAGAGAAGGCTGAGAGGAGACATGATAGCCATGTATAAATATGTGAGAGGAAGTCATATGGAGGAGGGAGAAGACTTGTTTCCTGCTGCCTTGGAGACCAGGATGCAATGGAATAATAATAATAATAATAATAATAATAATAATAATAATAATAATAATAATAATCTTTATTTCTACCCCTCCCCCATCTCCCCGATGGGGACTCGGAGCAGCTTACATGGGGCCAAGCCCAGACAACATAATACAGCAATAAAATCAAAACATATACAGCAAACAACAACAACAACATCATCAAAATAACATTAAAAGAAAAGAAATCATAAGATAAACATTCCAATAAACACAATCACAGTAAGGATGACAATGGAGCAATGGCTTCAAACTACAAGAGAGAAAGGAGATTCCATCTGAACCTGAGGAAGAACTTCCTGACTGTGAGAGCTGTTCAGCAGTGGAACTCTCTGCCCCAGAGTGTGGTGGAGGCTCCTTCTTTGGAAGCTTTTAAATGGAGGCTGGATGGCACAAGGTAAAGAGTAAAGGTAAAGAGATCCCATGAACAAAAGATCCTTGAAAGCTGGGATACAAGCCCAGTGAGCCATTCCCTGTGTTGGGTTTCACCCCTGGACTGCACAACTTTCGTGGGCCATCAAGTTTCCAGACCTCAATGAGGAGCTAGAGTAGAGATAGGATTAAATTGAGGGATTCTCCCCTTGCCCCACATTCCTATGCATGTTTCCCAAAAAGGGCTTTGTCTTTCCTCTTCCTCTTGGCCACTCTCTCCTCCTCTTTGATGACGTACGAATGGAATTATGTAAGGGAACTTCCTTTTAAAATGCATTTTTATTACTCGGAGCTGGCCATGCATTTTGCCTCTCTCGAGGCCAGTGTTTCTCAACCTTCCGAATGCCGCGACCCCTTAAGACAGGTCCTCATGGGGTGCTGACCCCCAACCATAATATTATTTTCATTGCTACTTCATAACTGTAATTTTGCTCCTGTTATGGATCCTAACGTAAATATCTGATATGCAGGATGTATTTTCACTCAATGGATCAAATTTGGCACAAATACCTGATACACCCAAATCTGAGTATTGGTGGGGTTGTTGGGTAGGAATTGATTTTGTCATTTGGGAGTTGTAGTTGCTGGGATTTACAGTTCACCTACAATCAAAGAGCATTCTGAACCCCACCAACGATGGAATTGGACCAAACTTGGCACAAAAAACTCCCATGAACAGAAAATTCTGTAAGGGTCTGGTGAGCATTGACCTAGAGTTTTAGAGCTGTAGTTCACTTACATCCAGAGAGCACTGTGGACTCAAACAATGATGGATCTGGGCCAAACTTGGCATGAATATGCCCAAATGTAAACATTGGTGGAGTTTGGGGAAACTAAACCTTGACATTTGAGAGTTTTAGTTGCTAGAATTTATAGTTCATTTGCAATGAAAGAGCATTCTGAACCCCACCAAAGATATAATTGGGCCAAACTTTCCATGCAGAATCCCCATGACCAACAGAAAATACTGTGTTGTTGTAGGTTTTTCCGGGCTATATGGCCATGTTCTAGAGGCATTTTCTCCTGACGTTTTGCCTGCATCTATGGCAAGCATCCTCAGAAGTTGTGTTTTCTGATGGTCTTTGGCAGCCCTTCTGACAACCCCGTGTGACCCCCCCCCCCCCCCGGGGTTGTCAGAGGGGCTGCCAAAGACCATCAGAAAACACAATAGTTTCTCACTACTTCTGAGGATGCTTGCCATAGATGCAGGTGAAATGCAAAATGCAGCTACATTTTGCTCTAGGCAAAATGTAGCTGCATGGATTTGTGTCTCTTTTTGTCCTTTCCCTTCTTTAGAAGACGGGATTTAGTAAGCTCGTGAGCTCCAGGGCCTTTTCTATCAAGAATGTATTTCTTTTACTTCAATAAATACTTTTGCACCTAAAGTTCCAACTCTGCAATCCTGTGACATCCTAGAAGCTTACCCCAACTCACTACTAGTAAGTTTCTGCTTGTTATAAAGTTTACTTCTGGTCCTGTGCTATATTTATGGTGGAATCCGCCCAAGGGAGGGGGATTCCACCATAAATACAGTTCCCCTCCATCCAGGGAGCACTGTGGACTCAAACATTGATGCATCTGGGCCAAACGTGGCACGAACCCTCCATTTCCACCAATCCCCCCCTCCACTCGCGGCACAATTGTGCCACCTGGATGCACCTGCCAAGGTTTTCCTCCCAGCCAACTTTGTCCTGCCTCGCTTGTTTGTCTCGTTCCACCCCTTTGCCAAGTTTGACAACCGCACCCCAAGCTAATCCTTTCCGTGATCAATACAAAAGAGGTGACGTCTTTCTTTCTTTCTTTCTTTCTCTTGCTTCCGAGAAGCGGCCAGTTCGGCTGGTCCAGAGTGACGCAACCAGGCCAGTGACAAAAATCACGAAACTTCCCTTTTGCAATAGTTTCACTGAACGCCAGTCTTTTTCCAGGCACGGTTATTATGACTTGTAATGCCCTCAACAACTCACAATTGGGCCATTTAAAAATTACCATATATACTCAAGTATAAGCCGACCCGAATATAAGCCGAGACACCTAATTTTGCCACAAAAAACTGGGAAAACGTATTGACTCGAGTATAAGCAGAGGGCGAGAAATGCAGCCGCTACGGGTCAATTTCATAATAAAAATAGATACCAATAAAATTATATTAATTGAGGAATCAGCAGGTTAAATGGTTTTGAATATTTACATAAAGTATAATTTAAGGTAAGACTGCCCAACTCTGATTAAACTATTATTCTAACCTTCTTCAATGTGAATGTGCTTACATATCCTTCCAATAATAATAGAGCAAAATAATAAATGTAATAATAATACGGTAAAATACTGTAAATATAATAATAATAATAATAATAACAACACATTAAGTAAAATAATAAATGTAATAATAATAATAGAGCAAAATAATAAATGTAATAATAATAATAGAGCAAAATAATAAATGTAATAATAATAATAGAGCAAAATAATAAATGTAATAATAATAATAGAGTAAAATGGTAAATGTAATAATAATACGGTAAAATACTGTAAATATAATAATAATAATAGAGTAAAATAATAAATGTAATAATAATACAGTAAAATACTGTAAATATAATAATAACAACAACAACAACACATTAAGTAAAATAATAAATGTAATAATAATAATAATAATAATAATAGAGTAAAATAATAAATGTAATAATAATACGGTAAAATACTGTAAATATAATAATAATAATAATAATAATAATAATAATAATAATAATAATAGAAATTTCAAGCATAATCGGCATTTCACAAGAACATGTGGGTCACATTATCGTTTTGCTTTTCTATTGGAAAATCTGTGCACAATGGGTACCCAGGATGCTGATGCCTGAAATGAAAGCACACAGACTTCTTCCGTGACGGCTTCAGAAAACTTGTTCTTCATTGGTAGAAATGTATCCAATTGTCTGGTGATTATGTGAGAAAGGGAATAGTGGTAGTTGAAGAGCACATTCTAAGGATTATTTCTGTGTATTGTCGAAGGCTTTCATGGCCAGAATCACTGGGTTGTTGTAGGTTTTTTTGGGCTATATGGCCATGTTCTAGAGGCATTCTCTCCTGACGTTTCGCCTGCATCTATGGCAAGCATCCTCAGAGGTAGTGAGGTAGTGTCACCTCACTACCTCTGAGGATGCTTGCCATAGATGCAGGCAAAACGTCAGGAGAGAATGCCTCTAGAACATGGCCATATAGCCCAAAAAAACCTACAACAACCCAATTATTTCTGCGTTTGATTTGTTAAAATATTTCCATCTAACACAAATATCGAAGGTGGAGGCATTACTTTTCATTCAACCCTCGTATTTGCATATATTTATTCAGACACATCTTTGGCATGTAAACCTGGTCATGGGTTTTACTAGTTTTACTGACATGTCTTAATTGCTTTTCAGATTTTAGGAGGCTAAGAACCCGGTGAACTATGTCGGAGCGCCTTCTTCACGGGAATTCTGCAACACGTGAAACAGTTCAAAGTGATTCATGTAATTCCAAATCCCAAAGGCAGTCTCCTTTCCTTGGAAAACAGAACCATGTGTGACTGTATTGGGGATGCACTCCTTCACATGGGCAAAAATGAGATAGCATTGCTGGGAGGCTGCAGAGTCCAAGGAGGAGGCGCAAGGAAGTCTGCTGGGAGTCAGAAAGGCACATCTGGAGTTTATCCTGTGCAGAAAACATACTTCTCTCTCCTAACAGATCTGGAGCTGGAAAGTTACTTTTTTAATTTTTAATCCATGTACTAAGCTTTGGTATTCTAGGGTAGGATTAAACTCAGGGTAAAATGCATGGGATGTGTTTTCAATGGATTGAATAATTTATCTGTTTGGCGATGTCATTTTGCACTCTTTATTTTATTACTTTGTGTATTTTGTTGTGATGTAACTTTTCTCTTGTGTTGTATTTTATTTTGCTATTGTGTATGTTTCGGGCTTGTAGGTGAACTACAAATCCCAGCAATTACAACTCCCAAATGTCAAGATTCTATTTTCCCCAAATATCACAAGTGTCCACATTTGGGCATATTTAGTATTCGTGTAGAGTTTGGTCCAGATCCATCATTGAGTCCACAGTGCTCTCTGGATGTAGGTGAACTACAACTCCAAAAACAAAGGACACTGCCCACCAAACCCTTTGGGGAGATGGTGGTGGGACGGAAAGCAGGGCCTCCCCGGAGGATCTTAATCTCCGCGATGATTCATAGGGGGAGATGCGTTCAGACAGGTAATTTGGGCCGGGGCCGTTTAGGGCTTGATAGGCCAAAGTGAGCACTTTGAATGGTGCCAGGTAGCAAACTGGCAGCCAATGGAGCTGGCGTAACATGGGAGTGGTGTGCTCCCTGTATGCCGCCCCAGTTATTAACCTGGCTGCCTCTCCTTGGACTAGTTGAAGCTTCCGAGCAGTCTTCAAAGGCAGTCCCATGTAGAGTGCATTGTAGTAGTCTATTCTAGATGTAATGAGAGTGTGGACCACTGTGGCCAAGTCTGACCTCCCAAGGTATGGGCGCAGCTGGCGCACAAGTCTTAATTGTGCAAAAGCTCCGCTGGCCACCGCTGCAACCTGGGATTCCAGGCTCAGTGATGAGTCTAGGGGAACTCAACTTGTGCCTTCAAGGGGAGTGTGACCCTGTATAGTACAGGTTGTGACCCTATACCCTGTTTGGCCTTGCGACTGACCAGGAGGACCTCTGTCTTGTCTGGATTCAACCTCAATTTGCTCACCCTCATCCAGACCACCACAGCGGCCAGGCACCGGTTCAGGACTTGGACAGCCTCCTCAGCATCTGGTGGAAAGGAGTGATGGAGTTGGACGTCATCTGCGTACAGATGGCATCGGACTCCAAAACTCCGGATGATCTCCCCCGGCGGCTGAGCCAGAATCCCTTCCTGAACTGGAACCAAATGCCTGGCCTCCCTGGCTCTTGGCTTTCCACTTATTTTGGATACCTTCCGAAATGCCAGCTCCACAGGCAGCCCCCCTTTGAAGTTGTACTGTGCCACGGCCTCTCCGTACTCCAGGACCTGGATGGTGGGCGACTTGATAGGCTTGGGGATTTCATTCGGAGACAGGACCTGTTGCAAAAACAAGAAAGAAACAGAGCATGCATTGGAGGTTTCCCCTGACATTACGTCCGGTTGTGTCCGACTCTGGAGGTTGGTGCTCATCTCCATTGCTAAGCCAAAGAGCCGGCGTTGTCCGTAGTCACCTCCCAGGTCATGTGGCTGGCATGAATGCATGGAGCACCCTTACCTTCCATCCAGATTGGTACCTATTGACCTACTCACATTTGCATGTTTTCGAACTGCTACGTTGACAGAAGCTGGGGCTGACAGCAGGAGCTTACCCTGCTCCCCGGCTTTGACTGCATGGAGTACCATTATCTTCCTGTCGGAGCTGAACCTATTGATATACTCATATATGCATGTTTTCGAACTGCTAGGTTGACAGAAGCTGGGGCTGACAGCAGGACCTCACCCCGCTCCCCAGATTCGACTGCATGGAATGCCATTATCTTCCTGTTGGAGCAGTACCTATTGATCTACTCACAATAGAACTACTAGGCTGACAGAAGCTGGGGCTGACACCGGGAGCTCACCCCCTCCCCAGATTTGACTGCATGGAGTGCCGTTATCTTCCTGCCGGAGCGGTACCTATTGATCTACTCACATTTGCATGTTTTCGAACTGCTAGGTTGACAGAAGCTGGGGCTGACAGCGGGAGCTCACCCCGCTCCCCAGATCTGGCTGCATGGCATGCCGTTACCTCCATGTTGGAGCAGTACCTATTGATCTACTCACAATTGCATGTTTTCAAACTGCTAGGTTGACAGAAGCTGGGGCTGACAACAGGAGCTCACCCCGCTCCCCAGATCCAACTGCATGGAGTGCCGTTAACTTCGTGTTGGAGCGGCACCTATTGATCTACTCACATTTGCATGTTTTCAAACTGCTAGGTTGGCAGAAGCTGGGGCTGACAGCAGAAGCTCACACTGCTCCCTGGATTTGAACTGCCGACCCTTTTAATAGTTTCAGTCTCATTGTGTTTTGTAATTTGCAGTCTTAATTCAGTTATGTGGGGAGGCTAATTTAACTAATTTACGACACCATAAAACCTTCCAGCAGTGTGCGTAAGAATGAGGAAGTACTCCATCAAATGACTCGGTGTCACAAGTGGACGGTGAAGCGACAACTTCCCCCTGTGGCCGGAATCGAGCATTGCCTCACGAAGCCAGAAAACGCTGGAGTGTTAAATTGCCTCTGTGTGGGTCTATATATATGTTGTATGTCTAAACGCATGTATACGTGCATTGCCATCCGCCCTGAGACCCCTGCGGGGTGAGAAGAAGGGCGGAATAGAAATACTGTCAATAAATAAACAAACAAATAAATTCATTGAATAAGTCAATAAGAATAACGAGGACTCGCAGTTAGCAAAACTACTGGAGCCATGGAATTTATTTATTTATCTATTTATTTATTTACTGTCTCTGTATACGGCCTTTCTCAGCCAATCGGCGACTCAAGGCGGTTTCCAACAAATGAAAACATAATACAGATGAAAACATTAAACAATATAAAACAACACAAAAGCAATCAGCATCTCATTATTCTCCAGCATTGTCCAACTCCATTGTCGGGTCATTCGATTTCCTATATTCGCTACTCTGTATTTGTAAACGCTTGCTCGAACAGCCACGTTGTAACTTGCCTCCGAAACGTCAAGAGGGAGGGAGCAGATCTGAATCTCCCTAGGGAGGCCGTTCCATAGCCGAGGGGCCACCACTGAGAAGGCCCTGTCTCTCATCCCCACCAACTGCGCCTGTGACAATGGCGGGACGGAAAGCAGGGCGTTCCTGGAGGATCTTAATCTCCGCAGTGGTTCATAGGGGGAGATGTGTTCGGACAGGTAATTTTGGCCGGGGCTGTTGAGGGCTTGATAGGCCAAAGCCAGCACTTTGAATGGTGCCCGGTAGCAAACTGGCAGCCAGTGGAGCTGGCGTAACATGGGAGTTGTATGCTCCTTGTATGCCACCCCAGTTATTAACCTGGCTGCTCGTTGGACTAGTTGAAGCTTCCGAGCAGTCTTCAAAGGCAGCCCCATGTAGAGCGCATTGCAGCAGTCTATACGGAATAAGCCAGCACTTTGAATTGTGTCCGGTAGCCAACTGGCAGCCAGTGGAGCTGGCGTAACATGGGAGTTGTGTGCTCCCTGTATGCCGCCCCAGTTATTAACCTGGCTGCCTCTCGTTGGACTAGTTGAAGCTTCCGAGCAGTCTTCAAGGGCAGCCCCACGTAGAGCGCATTGCAGCAGTCTATACGGAATAAGCCAGCACTTTGAATTGTGTCCGGTAGCCAACTGGCAGCCAGTGGAGCTGGCGTAACATGGGAGTTGTGTGCTCCCTGTATGCCGCCCCAGTTATTAACCTGGCTGCCTCTCGTTGGACTAGTTGAAGCTTCCGAGCAGTCTTCAAAGGCAGCCCCACGTAGAGCGCATTGCAGCAGTCTATACGGAATAAGCCAGCACTTTGAATTGTGTCCGGTAGCCAACTGGCAGCCAGTGGAGCTGGCGTAACATGGGAGTTGTGTGCTCCCTGTATGCCGCCCCAGTTATTAACCTGGCTGCCTCTCGTTGGACTAGTTGAAGCTTCCGAGCAGTCTTCAAGGGCAGCCCCACGTAGAGCGCATTGCAGCAGTCTATACGGAATAAGCCAGCACTTTGAATTGTGTCCGGTAGCCAACTGGCAGCCAGTGGAGCTGGCGTAACATGGGAGTTGTGTGCTCCCTGTATGCCGCCCCAGTTATTAACCTGGCTGCCTCTCGTTGGACTAGTTGAAGCTTCCGAGCAGTCTTCAAGGGCAGCCCCACGTAGAGCGCATTGCAGCAGTCTATACGGAATAAGCCAGCACTTTGAATTGTGTCCGGTAGCCAACTGGCAGCCAGTGGAGCTGGCGTAACATGGGAGTTGTGTGCTCCCTGTATGCCGCCCCAGTTATTAACCTGGCTGCCTCTCGTTGGACTAGTTGAAGCTTCCGAGCAGTCTTCAAGGGCAGCCCCACGTAGAGCGCATTGCAGCAGTCTATACGGAATAAGCCAGCACTTTGAATTGTGTCCGGTAGCCAACTGGCAGCCAGTGGAGCTGGCGTAACATGGGAGTTGTGTGCTCCCTGTATGCCGCCCCAGTTATTAACCTGGCTGCCTCTCGTTGGACTAGTTGAAGCTTCTGAGCAGTCTTCAAAGGCAGCCCCACGTAGAGCGCATTGCAGCAGTCTATACGGAATAAGCCAGCACTTTGAATTGTGTCCGGTAGCCAACTGGCAGCCAGTGGAGCTGGCGTAACATGGGAGTTGTATGCTCCCTGTATGCCGCCCCAGTTATTAACCTGGCTGCCTCTTGTTGGACTAGTTGAAGCTTCCGAGCAGTCTTCAAGGGCAGCCCCATGTAGAGCGCATTGCAGTAGTCTATACGGGATGTAACCAGCGCATGGACTACCGTGGCCAAGTCAGACTTCCCAACTTATGGGCGCAGTTGGTGCACAAGTTTTAACTGTGCAAACGCTCCCCTGGTCACCGCCGAAACCTGGGGTTCAAGGCTCAGCGATGAGTCCAGGATCACACCCAAGCTGCGCACCTGTGTCTTCAGGGGGAGTGCGGCCCCATCACTAAACAACAAAACAGAATCACTGACACAGCTGAGCAAAACAAAAGAATGCGTGTGACTAGCTGACACTGGGTGGCATGGGTACATAACACGTGATGTCAATCGCTTGCCCTCTGCGCTCACCCAACATCCTACTTGCTAGCAACGTCCGCACAGCAACACATTAATTAACATATTTTACAATGTTACATGTTTCGCTCCAACTGGTCCAACGTGCGGCAGCCATGATTCTAACAGGAGCGGGGCGCAGGGAGCATACCACCCCCCTGTTGCGCCAGCTCCATTGGCTGCCAATCTGCTACCGTGCTCAATTCAAGGTGCTGGCATTGGCCTATAAAGCCCTAAACGGTTCCGGCCCAAGATACCTAACTGACCGCCTCTCGGCCTATGAGCCCACGAGGACTTTGAGATCTTCCGGGAAGGCCCTGCTCTCGATCCCACCTGCATCGCAGGCACAGCTGGCGGGGACGAGAGATAGGGCCTTCTCGGTGGTGGCTCCTCGGCTGTGGAACGCCCTTCCCGTGGACATCAGGCTAGCCCCCTCCCTGTTGATCTTCCGCAGGAAGTTAAAGACCTGGCTCTTTGAGAAGGCATTTGATCAAGAAGTGCAATGACTGGAGATTTGACCATAGGAATGGAACAACGGAAATGAGATCGGATTGTGAACTTGACGATGAGATGACTCGGAATGTAGTAGTCATTTTGTAATAATGTGGTTGTTTTGATAAGATGTTTTTTATGATTGTGATGAATTGTGGACTATTTTGCACTATGTTTTGTAAATTGCACTTGTTTTTTCATGTTGTACACCACAATGAGTCGCCCTTAAAGGGCTGAGAATTGCGGTATATAAGCGAAGTAAGTAAGTAAGTAAATAAATAAATATTTGAGTTTTTGCGGACCACTGGTTGGGAGCCACGGCTAGGATAGGAATGAAGGCTTTTGGGCTGCCCTGTCTTGAGCCTTGCAAACTCCAAGCAGGAAGCCAAGCATGCTCACCTCAATGTAGTTTGCCGGGAAAATGCCCACCCGGCCATGGTGCTCTCCTTCCAGCCAGTTCTTGTCCACTTCCTTGTGGATGTACACAATGTCACCTTTCTGCAAGGTCAGCTCCCTGAAAAGTCAAAGGACGGAATGTCATCGGCACGAAGGCCCAATATGCCCAAATGTGAACACTGGTGGAGTTTTGGGAAAATAGACCTTGACATTTGGGAGTTGTAGTTGCTGGGATTTATAGTTCACCTACACTCAAAGAGCATTCTGAACTCCACCAATGATGGAATTGAGCCAATATTGGCACACCAAACTCCCAAGTCCAACAGAAAATACTGGAAGGGTTTGGTGGGCATTGATCTTGAGTTTTGGAGTTGTAGTTCACCTACATCCAGAAAGCACTGGGGACTCAGACAATGACGGATCTGGACCAAACTTGGCACAAATACTCAATATGGTCAAAAATGAACACTGATGGAGTTTGGGGAAAATAGACCTTGACGTTGGGGAGTTGTAGTTGCTGGGATTTATAGTTCACCTACAATCAAAGAGCATTCTGAACTCCACCAATGATGGAATTGAAACTTGGCACACCAAACTCCCAAGTCCAACAGAAAATACTGGAAGGGTTTGGTGGGCATTGACCTTGAGTTTTGGAGTTGTAGTTCACCTACATCCAGAGAGCACTGTGGACTCAAACAATGAAGGATCTGGACCAAACTTGGCATGAGTACTCTATATGCCCAAATGTTAACAGTGGTGGAGTTATGGGAAAATAGACCTTGACATTTGGGAGTTGTAGTTTCTGGGATTAATAGTTCACCTACAGTCAAAGACCATTCTGAACCCCACCAATGATGGAATTGAACCAATATTAGCACACCAAACTCCCAAGTCCAAGAGAAAATACTGGAAAAGTTTGGTGGGCATTGACCTTGAGTTTGGGAGTTGTAGTTCACCTGCATCCAGAGAGCACTGTGGACTCAAACAATGAAGGATCTGGACCAAACTTGGTATGAGTACTCTATATGCCCAAATGTTAACACTGGTGGAGTTATGGGAAAATAGACCTTGACATTTGGGAGTGGTCATTGCCGGGATTTATAGTTCACCTACAATCAATGAGTATTCTGAACTCCACCAAGGATGGAATTGAACCAAACTTGCATTTTTTAAATTTTAATGATTACACATACTTATACATGGCTATCATATCTCCTCTCAGCCTTCTCTTCTTCAGGCTAAACATGCCCAGCTCTTTAAGCCACTCCTCATAGGGCTTGTTCTCCAGACCCTTGATCCTAATTTACCCTACCTTGTTCATGCCCAGCATTTTTAAATTTTAATTATTACATTTGGCCCGGCCATAGGTTTTAAAAGCTGTATGTTATTGATATTGTTATTGTTTGTTGCTTATTGTGTATTTTCTGTTTTTGAGTTTATTTTAACTGTTTTGTATTGATTATTTGTTGGCACCTTTGTTTATTGATGTGTTGTGGGCTCGGCCTCATGTAAGCCACACCGTGTCCCTTGGGGAGATGGTAGCGGGGTACAAATAAAGTTTATTATTATTATTATTATTATTATTATTATTATTATTATTTATTTTGTTGGGCTTGGCCTCATGTAAGCCGCACCGTGTCCCTTGGGACATCGACACCGAAATACAACATCGCCTGAGCTCTGCGAGTGCAGCATTTTCCCGAATGAAGCAGAGAGTGTTTGAGGACCGGGACATCCGAGGGAGACCAAGGGGCTTGTCTATAAAGCTATTCCCCTCCCAACCCTGCTCTATGCTTGCGAAATGTGGACTGTCTACAGACGTCACATGCAACTCCTGGAACGATTCCATCAGCGCTGCCTCTGGAAAATCCTGCAAATCTCCTGGGAAGACAAGCAGACAAACGTCAGCGTGCTGGAAGAAGCAAAGACCGCCAGCATTGAAGCGATGGTCCTCTGCCATCAACTCCGCTGGACCGGCCATGTTGTCCGGATGCCTGACCACCGTCTCCCAAAGCAGTTGCTCTACTCCGAACTCAAGAACGGAAAACAGAATGTTGGTGGGCAGGAAAAGAGATTGAAAGATGGGCTCAAAGCCAACCTGAAAAACTCTGGCATAGACACTGAGAACTGGGAAGCCCTGGCCCTTGAGCGCTCCAGCTGGAGGTCAGCTGTGACCAGCAGTGCTGTGGAATTTGAAGAGGCACGAATGGAGGGCGAAAGGGAGAAACGTGCCAAGAGGAAGGTGTGTCAAGCCAACTCCGACCGGGACCGCCTTCCACCTGGAAACGAATGCCCACACTGTGGAAGAAGATGCAGAGCAAGAATAGGGCTCCACAGCCACCTACAAACCCACAAAAATAGTCATCAAGGAAGACCATCTTACTCGTCCAATGAGGGATCGCCTAAGTATGTAAGTAAGTAAGGTAGTGGGGTACAAATAAAGATTATTATTATTATTATTATTATTGATGTTTTGTTTGATGTTCTTTGGGCTTGGCCTCATGTAAGCCGCACCGTGTCCCTTGGGGAGATGGTAGCGGGGTACAAATAAAGTTTTATTTATTATTAAATAAATAATGGCCATCTGTCAGGGGTGATTTGAATGCATTATTTCTGCTTCTTGGCAGAATGCGGTTGGACTGGATGGCCCATGAGGTCTCTTCCAACTCTTGGATTCTATGATTCTATTATTATTATTATTATTATTATTATTATTATTATTATTATTATTATCCTTTGAGTCGCCCTCCTCCGGACACATTCCCAAAGCATTGAGTAAAAAGGACAATGAACGTTCCTTACTTTGGCGACTCCGCCTGGAAATCGAATCTGAGCCGAGCTGCTTTCATCTGGGAAAAAGAGGAGAAAACGGGGTTAAAAAACGGGACGTGCCATTACGATATTGAATTCCAAACCTTTTAAAGGGAGTCCCGGGCAAGCGGCCAGAACAGCCCCAGGGACAAAACAAGGCACTCAGCAAAGAACAACAGAAGACTGAAAAGCCTTCGCTCGGATCTCGGGACGCCTTGAAGGAACAAGATCTGCCGGCCTAAGAAAGGAAGCGGGATTCGGATCAACAAGAACAAAGACCTCGAGGCATTTCTTGCGGCTAATTCGCTCCTTTACCTTTGGCACTGTTCATGCGCCAGTTCTGCATGAATATACATTCCCAGTAACGGGAGACTGGCGCTGAACACATTCCGAGGAGAATCATCTGGAATTCTCTTCCACTGAGCCTCACTTCCGGAAAGAAATAATCATACATACAAGGGACTCCGAAGGCGGTTCGGAAAACATTATATATATATCAGGAGAAATGCCTCTAGAACATGGCCCTATAGCCCGAAAAAACCCACAAGAACCTAGTGATTCCAGCCATGAAAGCCTTCGACAATACATTATATATCAGTGTTTCTCAACCTGGGGATTGGCAGACTTCAGGGGGTGGCGATGGGAGTTGCAAAGACCAGCGGGAAACACACATTTCTGATGGCCTTAGGAACCCCTTTGGCAGAGAAGGATGAAGATCTCTCTGCCCGCCCTTCTCTTCCACTTTGGTGTCGGTGAACTACAACTTCCAGAATTCTAAAACAGCCCCCACAACCTCACCAGTATTCAATGTTGGCCATGTAGCTAGTGTGTCAAGTTTGGTGCAGTTCCATTGCGGGCTGGATGCAGAGTGCTCTTTGATTGTAAGGGAACTATAAATCCCAGTAACTACGACTCCCAAATGTCAAGGTCTATTTTCTCCCAACTCCACCAGTGTTCACATTTGGGCATATTGAGTATTTGTGCTAAGTTTGGTCCAGATTCATCGTTCCTTGAGTCCACAGTGCTCTCTGGGTGTAGGTGAACTACAACTCCAACTCCCAAATGTCAAGGTCTATCTTCCCCAAACTCCACCTGTGTACACATTTGGGCATATTGAGTATTTGTGCTAAGTTTGGTCCAGATTCATCATTCCTTGAGTCCACAGTGCTCTCTGGGTGTAGGTGAACTACAACTACAACTCCCAAATGTCAAGGTCTATCTTCCCCAAACTCCACCTGTGTTCACATTTGGGCATATTGAGTATCCATGCCAAGTTTGGTCCAGATCCATCATTGTTTGAGTCCACAATGCTGTCTGGAGGTGGTGAACTACAACTCCAGAACTCAAGGTCAATGCCCACCAAACCCTTCCAGTATTTTCTGTTGGTCATGGGAGAACTGTGTGCTAAGTTTGTTTCAATTCCATACTTGGTGGGGTTCAGAGTGCTCTTTGGTTGTAGGTGAACTATAAATCCCAGCAACTACAACTCCCAAATGACAAAATCAATCCCCTTCCCAACCACACCAGTATTCAAATTTGGGCGTGTCAGGTATTTGTGCCAAATTTGGTCCAGTGCATGAGAATGCATCCTGCATATCAGATATTTATGATACATTATGATACAAAATAGTAGCAAAATTAGTTCCAAAGTAGCAACGAACATAATGTTATGTTTGGGAGAACTGGATTAAGGGGTCGTGGAATTAGGAAGGTGGAGAAACACTGCTGTGGATAATTGGCTCACTTGTTAAGTTAAAGCCAGTTAATGATTTCCTCGCCAAAAGCGTTTGCATGAACCTGATCTATTACACGGCTCAGTAAATATATGCCGCCTTGTAGTAGACTTCAATGTTAAACATATACGGAGGCAGAAGATACACTTCTGCACAATCAAAAGTTTGATTGTGCAAAAGTTTATCTTCTACCTACATATATTGGTTGTGGGGGAGGGGGAGGGATTGATTTTTTGATTTGGGAGTTGTAGTTGCTGGGATTTATAGTTCACCTACAATCAAAGAGCATTCTGAACCCCACCAACAATGGAATTGAACCAATCTTGGCACAAAGAACTCCCATAACCAAAAATACTGGAAGAGTTTGGTGGGTACTGAACTTGTTTTTGGGAGTTGTAGTTCACCTACATCCGGAGAGCACTGTGGACTCAAACCATCATGGATCTGGACAAAACTTGGCACAAATACTCAATATGCCCAAATGTGAACACTAGTGGAGTACGGGGAAGATAGACCTGGATATTTGGGAGTTGAGGTTTCCGGGATTTATAGTTCACCTAAAATCAAGGAGCATTCTGGACCCCACCAATGATGGAATTGATCCAAACTTGGTACAAAGAACTCCCATGACCAAAAATACTGGAAGAGTTTGGTGGTCATTGAACTTGTTTTTGGGAGTTGTAGTTCACCTACATCTGGAGAGCACTGTGGACTCAAACAATGATGGATCTGGACCAAACTTGGGATAAATACTCAATATGCCCAAAGATGAACACAGATGGAGTTTGAGGAAAATAGACCTTGACATTTGGGAGTTGTAGTTGCTGGGATTTATAGTTCACCTACAAACAAAGAGCATTATGAACCCCACCAACGATGGAATTGAACCAATCTTGGCACAAAGAACTCCCATGACCAAAAATACTGGAAGAGTTTGGTGGGCATTGAACTTGTTTTTGGGAGTTGTAGTTCACCTACATCTGGAGAGCACTGTGGACTCCAACAATGATGGATGTGGCTAAAACTTGGCACCAATACCCAATATGCCCAAATGTGAACACTAGTGGAGTATGGGGAAGATAGACCAGGACATTTGGGAGTTGTGATTTCTGGGATTTATAGTTCACCTGCAATCAAGGAGCATTCTGAACCCTACCAATGATGGAATTTAACCAAACTTGGCACAAAGAACTCCCGTGAGCAACAGAAAACACTGGAAGGGTTTGGTGGGCATTGACATTGTGTTTTGGAGTTGTAGTTTACCTATATCCAGAGAGCACTGTGGACACAAAGAGTGATGGATCTGGACCAAACTTGGCACGGATACTCAATATGCCCAAATGTGAACACTGGTGGAGTTTGGGGAAAGTAAAGATTGAGATTTGGGAGTTGTAGTTTCCGGGATGTATAGTTCACCTACAATCAAAGAGCATTCTGAGTGCCACCAATGACAGAACTGAACCAAACTTGGTACACAGATCTGCCATGACCAAGAGATAATACTGGAAGGGTTTGGTGGGCAATGACCTTGAGTTTTGGAGTTGTAGTTCACCTTCATCTAGAGAGCAGAAAGAGGGCTTTTGGTGGGGGGATTGACCGTCTGTTTCCAAAAACAAAGAGAAGGGCAGGCAGAGAGATCTTCAGGCTTCTCTGCCAAAGGGGTTCCTATGACCATCAGAAATATACAGTTTCCGATGGTCTTTGGCGACCCCTCTGAAACCCCCTTGTGACCCCGCAGGTTGAGAAACCCTGTTATGGTGCTATTATTCCACTTTAACTACAGAATCCTGGGACTTGCAGTTTGGATAACTCCCATGACTCCATAGCATTGTCTCATGGGAGTTGTAGTTTTGCAAGGCCTTTAGCCTTCTCTGCCGAAGTGTATTGATTAGTGCTGGTGCCTCGCCAAACTACAACTCCCATGATTCCATTACCAAACTGCATTAATGCTACGGCGTAGACGCACCCCAAGGGGTGTTCTTTGCCTCCTCCTGGGAGGAAGCGACTCCTTACCTTCTTCTCGTCTTTCTTTGGGGAACTCTCCAGGAAAACATCTGCAGACTCAAGAAGGTACTATTCTCGTCCTAACGCTCCGCAGCGGATCTGGGCACAAAGATCATGTGGTGATAGAGACAGTGGAGAGTGGTGTTTGGGATAAGGCATTTCGCAGCTTGGGTGTGACCCTGGACTCATCGCTGAGCCTGGATCCCCAGGTTTCGGCGGTGACCAGGGGAGCATTTGCACAGCTTCGGCTCGTGCGCCAGCTGCGCCCGTATCTTGGGAAGTCTGACTTGGCCACGGTGGTACACGCTCTGGTCACATCCCGCCTTGACTACTGCAACGCTCTCTACGTGGGGCTGCCCTTGAAGACGGCCCGGAAGCTTCAGCTAGTCCAGCGCGCGGCAGCCATGTTACTAACGGGAGCAGGACGCAGGGAGCACACAACGCCCTTGTTGTCCCAGCTCCACTGGCTGCCGATCTGCTACCGGGCCCAATTTAAGGTGCTGGTGCTATCCTACAAAGCCCTAAACGGTTCCGGCCCAAAATACCTTTCGGACCGCATCTCGGCCTATGAGCCCACGAGGGCCTTGAGATCGTCTGGGGAGGCCCTTCTCTCGATCCCGCCTGCCTCACAGGCACGTCTGGCGGGGACGAGAGAGAGGGCCTTCTCAGTGGTGGCCCCCCGGCTGTGGAACACCCTCCCTGTTGACATCAGACAGGCGCCCTCCCTTATGGCTTTTCGTAAGAGCCTAAAGACCTGGCTATTCGACAAGGCATTTAATTGAGACCCACACGAATTTGGTTGTGATATTTGGAACGGACTATGGATTATGAGACTGGCTATGACTCTATGTTGTGATGGCGCGGATCTATTAGTGTAATTTAGATTAATGTGTAATTCGATTGTTGTTATATTGTATGTTTTGTAGATGGTTTTTTACATGTTGTACACCGCCGCGAGTCGCCCCAGGGCTGAGAGCGGCGGTCAACAAATGAAGTAAATAAATAAATAAATAAATAAGGAATGAGTCATGCGGAGAGAAAAGCAGGGCTCAACTTAAGCCAGGACACAATCCCAAAAGCCCGTTTGCAAAGCCAGGATCTCAGAAAGTGGGAAGGAGTGGCTGCCGGTCCTAACAGATTACACACAAACAACGCTCGCAATTGACAAACAGAACGGCAAAATAATAACACAAGCAAAGCACTTCTGCCTCCTTTCGTTGCTACAACACAAAACCCTATAATGCAGTTCGACACCACTTTAACTGCCAAGGCTCAATGCTATGGAATGATGGGAGTTGTAGTTTGGAGAGAACCCAGCAGAGAAGGCCAAAGACCTTATAAAACTGTATTGTCAAAGGCTTTCATGGCTGGAATCACTAGGTTCTTGTGGGTTTTTTCGGGCTATATGGCCATGTTCTAGAGGCATTTCTCCTGACGTTTCGCCTGCATCTGGTTGTTGATCTGGTTGTTGATCTGGTTTGCGGATCACTAGGACATCTAGAAAAGGCAGTCTTCCTTCATTTTCTTTTTCCATTGTGAATTGGAAAATTACAACAGCCAAACAGCAGAGAGGAAACAACCAGGCACATCTTAACACCTCTCAACAAACGATTTTCCCAGGCTCAGCCAGGCCTTCAAATGCTAATGAAGGTGGTCAGTTGAAACATTCCCACCTAGCTCCAGCAGACAAGAGTTCTTTGTCCCACCCTGGTCATTCCACAGATATATAAACCCATTGTCCTAATTCCAACAGACCTCACTCCCTCTGAGGATGCTTGCCATAGATGCAGGCGAAACGTCAGGAAAAATGCCTCTAGAACATGGCCCTATAGCCCGAAAAAACCCACAAGAACCTTATAAAACTACATCTCCCAGGATTCCGTAGCATTGAGCCAAGTTCAAGTGGTGCCAAACTGTATTCATTCCACAGTTCGCAGACAAGGTGACGGTTTAGGAAACAAATCTTGAGCCGCAGTGGTTTCCACATCTGATCGCTTTAATATACCCTAGGACCAATACAGAATATTGCTTTTTGTGCACTCTCTAATTTTCAAAAATACAGCAAAGGAACGAAATGAATACCTCATTAAAGCCATACAAAAACCTTACTAACAAGCTGCACAGTGTGATATATGAGCCAGTAAAGGGAAAGGTTGTCCCCTGACATTAAGTCCAGTCGTGTCCGACTCGGGGGATAGGTGCGCATCTCCATTTCTAAGCCAAAGAGCCGGCGTTGTCCATAGACACCTCCAAGGTCATGTGGCCATGGGCATGACTGCATGGAGTGCTGTTACCTTCCCGCCGGAACGATACCTATTAATCTACTCACATTTGCATGTTTTTGAACTGCTAGGTTGGCAGAAGCTGGGGCTAACAGCGGGAGCTCATGCTGTTCCCCCGATTTGAACCGTCAACCTGTCGGTCAGCAAGTTCAGCAACTCAGCGGTTTAACCGACTACAACACCGGGGGCTCCTTCACTATATGAGCTAGCTGGCAGTTATTGCCTCTGTCATTTAGGTTTTTTGGATTTTTAAATCCTTTCTGCTGTTTTTTGGGAGGGGTTTATGAGTGATGGTCACTCGTTGGTGTGTTAGGGGTGTCGTGTTCAACTTTGGGGTCAATTCGTCCAGTGGTTTTTGAGTTAATCCCACAAACGAACATTGCATTTTTATTTATATAGACTAGCCGTCACCTGCCATGGGTTGCTGTGGCCTGATTTGTGTATATGTGTCTTGTGTGTGTATATAAGTGTTTATGTGTATTTATATATGTGTTTATGTGTATGTATATATGTGTGTTTGCACGCGCACGCGTGTGTGCGTGTATATATATATAGGTGTATATATGTTTGTGTATTTGTGTGTTTGTGTATTTGTGTACATGCATACTGTGTATATGTGTGTGCTTATCTGTATGCATATTTGTGTGTATATATGTGTATATGTATATGTGTGTCCATGTGTATATGTATATATGTATGTGTACATGTATGTGTGCATGCATATATGTATATGTGTGTATATATGTAATTTGTGTGTGCATGTGTATATGCATATATGTGTGTATATGTATTTGTGTATGTTTGTGCATATATACACACACACACACACACAATGTGTGTGGGTGTATGAATGTCTGCATGTGTATATGTATATGAGTGTATTTGTGTATGTATAAAAACTGTATTTTGGGGGGTTTTAAGTCTGTTCCACTGGGGTTTTGTGTGTGTGTGTGGTTCTTTATGTTTGTTTGTTTTAGGGGTGACGGACACTCGTTGGACTGTTAGATGTATTGTGTCCAAATTTCATGTCAATTTGTCCATGGTTTTTGAGTTATGTTAAACCCACTAACGAACATTACATTTTTTATTTATATAGATTAGCTGTACTCGCCATGCTTTAATGTGCCCAATCTTCCCTCCCTCTTTCTCTCTTTTCTTTGCTCCCTCCTTCCTTCCTTCTTTTCATTTCTTTTCCTTTTCTTCTTTCCTTCTCTCCTTCCTTCCTTCTCTACCTCTTTCCTTCCTTCCTTTGCTTTTTGCTTTCATCCTTCCTTCTCTCTTTCTTTCCTTCTCTCCTGTTTTCACTCCTTCTTTCCCTCCTTCCTTAGCTCCCTCCTTCCTTCCTTTCCTTTTTTCTTTCTTTCTCTCCTTCCTTCCTTCTTTACTTCTTTCTTTCCTTCCCCCCTTTTTTCCTTCCACTTTCTCTCCTTCCTTCCTTCTCTACTTCTTTCTTTCCTTCCCCCTTTTTCTTTTTCTTCCACTTTCTCTCCTTCCTTCCTTCTCTACCTCTTTCCTTCCTTCCTTCACTCTTTGCTTCCATGCTTCCTTCTCTTTCTTTCTTTCTTTCCCTCCCTCCCTCTTTCTTTCTCTCCTTCCTTCCCTCCCTCGTCCTTCTCTACCTCTTTCCTTCCTTCCTTCCTTCGCTCTTTGCTTCTATTCTTCCTTCTCTTTCCTTCTTTCTTTCCCTCCCTCCCTCTTTCTTTCTTTCTCTCCTTCCTTCCCTCCCTCGTCCTTCTCTACCTCTTTCCTTCCTTCCTTTGCTCTTTGCTTCCATGCTTCCTTCTCTTTCTTTCTTTCTTTCTTTTTCTCCTTCCTTCCCTCCCTTGTCCTTCTCTACCTCTTTCCTTCCTTCCTTCCCTCTTTCCAAACGAACATTACATTTTTATTTCTATAGATGTAGATCAGGCATGGGCAAACTTCAGCCCCCCAGGTGTTTGGACTCCAACTCCCACAATCCCTAACAGCCAGTATGAATTCCCCTTCATAGAGGGGTTTGGTATGCATAGATTGTCCCTCTGGTGACACGTATGTTGACATCTCATTTCTCTTTTCCCAGGCCCAGAAAGGCCAGAGAGAGGAAACCCTCCTCTGGATGCAGATGGAAATCCGGAGCCATACCATTCCTGGGTGGGGAGCTGCTCCAGTTTCCCCTGGGGGGGCCGGGGCTTCCTTTCTCCATCTTCGGGCTGGACAGGATGTGGGGCTGGCTTCCAGGAAGGCTCTGTCCGGCAGAAGGAGAAGAGGCCCCAAGGCTCACCGACGGGCTGGTCGTTTCGACAACAAGAAAGGACAGAAAGAGAACGCACCATCAGTTGAGCGGATGAGAAGGAGACAAGCCTGCATCGCCCCGTGCATTCCGATACATCCCTATCCAAACACAGATCCTAGTCTGATGGTCAATCTTTGCTACGAGAATCATAGAATCCTAGAGTTGGAAGAGACCTCCTGGGCCATCCAGCCCAACCCTAAAGAAGCAGGAAAATCACATTCAGAGCACCCCTGACAGATGGCCACCCAGCCTCTGTTTCAAAGCTTCCAAAGAAGAAGCCTCCACCACATTCCAGGGCAGAGAGTTCCACTGCTGAACGGCTCTCATATAGAATCCGAGAGTTGGAAGAGACCTCCTGGGCCATCATCCAGCCCAACCCCATTCTGCCAAGAAGCAGGAATATTGCATTCAGAGCACCCCTGACAGATGGCCACCCAGCCTCTGTTTCAAAGCTTCCAAAGAAGGAGCCTCCGCCACACTCCGGGGCAGAGAGTTCCACTGCTGAACGGCTCTCATATAGAATCCTAGAGTTGGAAGAGACCTGCTGGGCCATCATCCAGTCCAACCCCATTCTGCCAAGAAGCAGGAAAATTGCATTCGGAGCACCCCTGACAGATGGCCATCCAGCCTCTGTTTCAAAGCTTCCAAAGAAAGGAGCCTCCACCACATTCTGGGGCAGAGAGTTCCACTGCTGAACAGCTCTCATATAGAATCTTAGAGTTGGAAGAGACCTGGTGGGCCATCATCCAGTCCAACCCCATTCTGCCAAGAAGCAGGAAAATTGCATTCAGAGCACCCCTGACAGATGGCCATCCAACCTCTGTTTCAAAGCTTCCAAAGTAGGAGCCTCTACCACACTCTGGGGCAGAGAGTTCCACTGCTGAACGGCTCTCACAGTCAGGAAGTTCTTCCTAATGTATTGGAGCATTGATGAGAATCACCCTCTGGGTTCGTTCACTTAGCCAATTACAAATCCACCTAACCACGCTTAACCACTCCCAATCTTTGATGCACTTCCACATTTCCAGACCTTCTGATTCCAAGGCTCTTACGTTTTCCAGTTTTTGGGAGGAGGGGAAGCATGCAAAGGACGGAGAAGCAAAGCAAAGGGAGAGGGAAGCCTTGACCTCCAAGACGTTGGCCTCACCTTCTCCCCTTCCAAAGCATCCGCTCCGCATTTCCTTTCCGCAAACCCTCATCCCTGTCCCGGGCCCCTAGGCAGGAACCATGGAGGCGGCAACCAGAAACTGGCAAGCAACAAGCCTTCTTGCAGAAGTTTGACTCTACTTTTTAAAGAGACAGCACCTTCCTTCCCGGAAGAGGCAAGAAGGAGCAGAAGAGGAGAAGTGGCTGCTTCCTGTCTATTTAGGATACATTATTATTGTTGTTATTATTATATACATAACAAGATTAGTACACAATAAAGATCACTCTGCTGGCTGCTGTATTGCATCACATGTCAGACACTTCCACTTGTCTAGGACTGTGTGATGTATCAAAGAATAATGTGAGCAGATCCGAGTAGGGTGGCCTTCTGCAGCTGACTGGTGGTAATTTGGTCAGCGCCGATTGTTTTTAAGTGCAGGCCAAGGTTCTGAGGCACTGCACCCAGTGTGCCAATCACCACTGGGACCCCCTTGACTGGCTTGTGCCAGAGTCTTTGCAGTTCGAGCTTTAAATAATAATAATAATAATTATTATTATTATTATTAGAAACACAACAAGATGAGTACACAGCTTTTGTATTGGATCACACGTCAGACACTTCCCAACTGTCTAGGACTGTGTAATGTATCGGCAAATAATGCGTGCAGATCCAAGTAGGGTGGCCTTTTGCAATTGGCAGATGGTAATCTTGTCAGCGCCAATTGTCTTTAAGTTATTATTATTATGTTTATTTATACTCATTTTTTCTCTCTCTGCAAGGAGACCCAGGGCAGGTATGTATCTATTATTATTATATATTATAGTACTATAATATATTATTATATTTATTTATACCCCACTTTTTCTCTCTGCAAGGAGACTCAAAGCGGCTTGTGTCCCTTATTATTATTATTATTATTATTATTATTATTATTATTATTATTATTATTATTTGAAACACAACAAGATGAGTCCACAGCAAACAAGGTCACTCTGCCGGCTGTTGTATTGGATCACACGTCGGACCCTTCCCAAGTGTCTAGGACTGTGTGATGTATCGGTGAATGATGCGAGCAGATCCGAGTAGGGTGGCCTTCTGCAGCTGACAGGTGGTAATTTGGTCAGCACCGATTGTTTTTAAGTGCAGGCCAAGGTCTTGAGGCACTGCACCCAGTGTGCCAGTCACCACTGGGACCATCTTGACTAGCTTGTGCAGGAGTCTTTACAGTTTGATCTTTAAATAATAATAATTATTATTATTATTTGAAACACAACAAGATGAGTCCACAGCAAACAAGATCACTCTGCCGGCTGTAGTATTGGATCACACATCGGACCCTTCCCAAGTGTCTAGGACTGTGTGATGTATCAGCGAATGATGCGAGCAGATCCAAATAGGGTGGCCTTTTGCAGCTGAAAGATGGTAATTTGGTCAACGCTGATTGTATTTAAGTGCAGGCCAAGGTCTATAGGCGCTGCACCCAGTGTACTGATCACCACTGGGACCAACTTGCTGATCACCACTGGGACCACCTTGACTATCTTGTGCCAGAGTCTTCGCAGTTCGATCTTTAAATAATAATAATAATCATTATTTGAAACACAACAAGATGAGTCCACAGCAAACAAGATCACTCTGCTGGCTGTAGAATTGGATCACACATTGGACACTTCCCAATTGTCTAGGACTGTGTGATGTATCGTCGAATGATGTGTGCAGATCCGAGTAGGGTGGCCTTTTGCAGCTGACAGATGGAAATTTTGTAAGTGCTGATTGTATTTAAGTGCAGGCCAAGGTCTTTAGGCACTGCACCCAGTGTGCCCATCACCACTGGGACCACCTTGACTGGCTTGCCCCAGAGTCTTTGCAGTTTGATCTTTAAATAATAATAATAATAATAATAATATGTAATCACTATGTAATCACACGTACCAGAGACCGCCGTGAGGTGCTCCTCACAAGAGCCATGACAGGTGCTGACGACTGCTGGACTGACCATAGGCTGATCCAATCCACGATGGCTATCAAAATGAACACCCAAGCCCTTCAGGAGCCCTCCAGACGAGCCCATCTCCAAACAGCACTCAAGGACCATCTACCCACAGTACACCCCGAAAATGTTGAGGAACATTGGAACAAACAAACTGAAGACCTCCATTATCCAAGCCTGCGAAGAAACTATTGGATACCAAGCCAAGAAACATCAAGGTTGGTTTGACAAAAATGACATCGAGATCCAACAGCTAATTGACAAGAAAAGGAAAGCCTTCCAAACATGGCAGAGAGACATCAACTGTGCTGCTAAGAAAAAGATCTACGCCAGTGCAAAAGCCGAGGTCCAAAGAAGGACAAGAGAACTCAAGAACATCTGGTGGACAAAGAAGGCTGAAGAAATCCAACACCTGGCAGATACCCATGATGCTCAGGGATTTTTCAAAGCCACAAAGGTCATCTATGGACCAAGAAACCATGGCATACAGTCTCTATGCTCATCAGACGGAACCACACTCCTGAAGGACCAAAACTCAATTGCACTACGTTGGAAAGAACACTACCAAAGCCTCCTGAACCGCAGCTCCAATGTGGCCGAAGAGGTCCTCTCACAAATCCCACAACAACAAAGAACCAAGGATGAGCTTGCAGCACTGCCACTGTTCAAAGCCTTAAAGGGGTTGTGTTGGACTCATTGCTGACGATGGAGGCCCAGATCACTGCCATAAGCAAGCAGGCCTTTTTTCATCTTCGCTAGGCAAGGAAATTGGCATCCGACCTTTCGGTAGAAGCATTGGCAACAGTAATCCACGCAACAGTCACCACGAGGTTGGACTATGGCAACGCCTTCTATGCCGGCCTTCCGAAGTCAACGACCTAGAAGATTCGGATGGTTCAAAATGCAGCAGCCAGGCTGCTAGCGGGATCATCTCGAAGATCCCATATGACACCGATTCTGCAACAACTGCACTGGCTACCAAGAGAACATCGGATCTCTTACAAGAGACTGATCCTGACATTGAGAGCTCAAAATGGCCAAAGACGTTGATATCTTAGGGACCGCCTTGTTCCTTTTCCCCATCAGTGGTCACCTCGATCCACCCAGGAAAATCTCCTCTACATACCGGGCCCTAGGGAGGCACATTTGGAAGCTACAAGGCATCGTAGAGCTTTTTCGACCTATGCTCCAATTCGGTGGAACTCATTGCCTCCATACATTAGAGCAATGTCGGAGTTGCGACCTTTTGGAAAGGCGCTCAAGACTTGGCTGTTTGGTTGTGCATTTAAGTAATCGGATCAAATTTTGCCATAGTCACTGCTGAATGTTTTTATGTTGAATGTTTTTATGTTGAGTGTTTTTATATTGAATGTTTTATATTGTGTATAAGCTATTTTAAATTGTAAGTCGCTCGGAGCACTTTGGTGGAGAGCGACTAATTAAGAAATAAAGTGATGATGATGATGAGTTTGGAAGAAATCAGCAACGCCATCAGCCAACAAAAAAATAACAAAGCCAGCGGACCTGATGGGATCCCTGCTGAAATCTTGAAAGAGGGAGGACCTGAGCTGACACACCAACTCCACCAGCTCATAGAAAAAGTGGGTGATTGAGAAAATCCCAGCAGATTTCAAGGATGCCATCATCCTCACCCTCTTCAAAAAAAGGGGAATAATAATAATAATAATAATAATAATAATAATAATTATTATTATTATTATTATTATTATTATTATTATATCCTGCTTATGTTGAATGTTTTTATGTTGAATGTTTTTATGTTGAATTTTTTATATTGAATGTTTTATATTGTGTATAAGCTATTTTAAATTGTAAGTCGCTCGGAGCACTTTGGTGGAGAGCGACTAATTAAGAAATAAAGTGATGATGATGATGAGTTTGGAAGAAATCAGCAACGCCATCAACAAAAAAAAAAAAACAAAGCCAGCGGACCTGATGGGATCCCTGCTGAAATCTTTAAAGAGGGAGGACCTGAGCTGACACACAACTCCACCAGCTCATAGAAAAAGTGTGGGTGACCGAGAAAATCCCAGCAGATTTCAAGGATGCCACCATCATCACCCTCTTCAAAAAAAGGGGAAAGAACAGACTACAGCAAAAAATGTTGAATGTTTTTATGTTGAATGTTTTTATATTGAATGTTTTATATTGTGTATAAGCTATTTTAAATTGTAAGTCGCTCGGAGCACTTTGGTGGAGAGCGACAAATTAAGAAATAAAGTGATGATGATGATCTCCCAAACCAGTTGCTCTGTTTGGAAGAAGTCAGCAATGCCATCAGCCAACAGAAGAATAACAAAGCCAGCGGACCTGATGGGATCCCTGCTGAAATCTTGAAAGAGGGAGAACCTGAGCTGACACACCACTCCACCAGCTCATTGAAAAAGTGTGGGTGACCGAGAAAATCCCAGCAGATTTCAAGGATGCCATCATCCTCACCCTCTTCAAAAAAAGGGGAATAATAATAATAATAATAATAATTATTATTATTATTATTATTATTATTATTATTATTATAATATCCCTGCTTATGTTGAATGTTTTTATGTTGAACGTTTTATATTGTGTATAAGCTATTTTAAATTGTAAGTTGCTCGGAGCACTTTGGTGGAGAGAGCGACTAATTAAGAAATAAAGTGATGATGATGATGACGATGAGTTTGGAAGAAGTCAGCAATGCCATCAGCCAACAAAAAAAAATAACAAAGCCAGCGGACCTGATGGGATCCCTGCTGAAATCTTAATAATAATAATAATAATAATAATAATAATAATATCCTGCTTTATCTCCCCAAAGGGAACTCAAAGCAGCTAAAGATATATATCCTTCTCTCATGCCAAGCTGCTCGGGGCGAAAAGTGCCGCACTGATTTATGCCAAGCACGTCAGATGATTCTTGCAACGGGGCAAAGGGGTCATGGGATCAGCTTGGCAAAAATCGGATTTTTTCCTCTTCGTTGGGATGCTTAAACTCCCTGCAGACAGAGATTGTTGTTTACCTTTTCCTCCCCCAGACCTAAAGAGAGGAGGGAAGGCGCCTCTACGTTCCCCTCGATCGAAGGGTCCTTTCACCCGCACTATGAATCCCCTCCGAATGCCATGGTGGCATCCTATGGAATGCAAGGATTGCGGATTTCGGGAGAGTTTATTATTTTGCGATGCTCAGCTGGAGAGCTCTAGTGCTGAACGAGAATGCCAAACATTCCACAGAGGGAGCCAAGAACACTCAGGAGACGGAAGCAAACTGGGACTCACAGGGTGCAGCAGCATCGTCACCATCGGCTATCACTCCTCGCATCTACGCCGTAGACTTAATGCAGTTTGACGCCACTTTAACCACCATGGGTCAATGCTATGGAGTTGGGAGTTGTAGTTGGGTGAACAACCAACACTCTTTGGCAAAGAGTGCAACTCTGATGAATCTATTGCAATGAGCCACAATAGTGGTGCCAAACTGCATTAATACTACAGTGTAGACCAGGCATGGGCAAATCTGGGCCCTCCAGGTGTTTTGGACTCCAACTCCCACAACTCCTAACAGCCGGTAGGCTGTTAGGAATTGTGGGAGTTGAAGTCCAAAACACCTGGAGGGCCCATGTTTGCTCATGCCATATCTACCCAGTCTATACTATGGAATCATGGGAGTTGTAGTTTGGTGATGCACCATCCACGCCTGATCCATGTCTTTTGTTAGATGAATATATTAACCTTGAGTTTGGGAGTTGTAGTTCACCTACACCCAGAGAGCACTGTGGATTCAAACAATGATGGATCTGGACCAAACTTGGCAAAAATACTCAACATGCCCACACTGGTGGAGTTTGGGGGAAAAAGACTTTGACACCTTGGGATTTGTAGTTGCTGGGATTTATAGTTCACCTACAATCTAAGAGCATCCTGAACTCCACCAATGAAGGAATTGAACCAATCCTGATACACAGAACTCCAACGACCAATAGAAAATACTGGGAGGGTTTGGTGGGCATTGACCTTCAGTTTGGGAGTTGTAGTTCACCTCAATCTAGAGAGCACTGTGGACTCAAACAATGATGGATCTGGACCAAACTTGGCACGAATACTCAATATGCCCAAATGTGAACACTGGTGGAGTTTGGGGAAAATAGACCTTGGCATTTGGGAGGTGTAATTGCTGGGATTTATAGTTCACCTACAATCAAAGAGCATTCTGAACTCCAAAACGATAGAATTGAACCAAACTTGGCACACAGAACTCCCACGACCAACAGAAAATACTGGAAGTGTTTCATAGGTATTGACCTTGAGTTTTGGAGTTGTAGTTTACTTACATCAAGGGAGCACTGTGGACACAAGCAATCATGGATCTGGACCAAACTTGGCATGAATACTCAAAATACCCAAATGTGAATACTGGTGGAGTTTGGGGAAAATAGACCTTGACATTTGGGAGTTGTAGTTGCTGGGATTTATAGTTCACCTACAATCACAGAGCATCTTGAACTTCACAAATGATGGAATTGAACCAAATGCTTAAGTGGCTGAAGGGGAAAAAGAAAAGGGCCTGGGGCTGTTAGGAATGATGGGAGTTGGAGTCCAAAACACCTGGAAGGCCCCAGTTTGCCCATGCCTGGTCTACACTGTCATATAACTTAGTTCAAAGCCGATAATCTGGAATTAACGCAGTCTGACACCACTTGAACTCCACTGCCCAATGCTACCCATGTTGCATGCTCACAAAACTCATAGAGAGCATTCCTATCCAAAGCTGGAGCAGTAAAAGCGGTTTCAAAGCGGTACAATTCTGCAGTGTGGCCTCAATCCCCCCCAAATGGCTGTGTCTTTACTCACCTCCGGGCAGGAAAAGCAGGAGAAGGAGGACAGGAGGAGCCCAAAACCTGCGGAGAAGAAAGAAGAGAGAGGGAAAAGAGGAGGAGAAGGAGAAGGAAGGAAGGAAGGAGGGAAGGAAGGAGGGAAGAGGAGTGGAAAGCAGCAAGCAGCCCAGGCTCTGCTGGCGCCGCCGCTGGGTCCTAAAGCCCTCCCGCTTTCCACTCCACTTGGATAAAACTTCCTTTTTGGGGGACACCAGATGTTGTCAACAGCGACCAAATGAGACAGTTGACATTCATTTATTTATTAATTATTTATTTACTATTCTTGTATACCGCTGTATCTCAAGCCCGAGGGCGACTCACAGCGGTTTCCAGACAGCAAACAGCAAAGACAATAAAAACAGCAATAATTAATATGCAATAACAGTTAAATTACACATTTCCATTACTAGCTAATAAACAATCATCAATACACAGTTATCACAAATCCCACCCCCGATCGCCTCATCATCCAAGCGTGATCCAAATTCGACGTCCATTGTTCCGTTCCTATGTTCAAATTACCAGAATTGCACTGAATTACTCAAACGCCTGCACAAACATCCAGGTCTTCAACTTTCTACGGAATGTCATGAGAGATGGTGCTAGCCTAACGTCTACAGGAAGGGCGTTCCACAGCCGAGGAGCCACCACTGAGAAGGCCCTATCTCTCGTCCCCGCCAACCGTGCTTGAGAGGCTGGCGGGATCGAGAGCAAGGCCTCCCCGGAAGATCTCAAAGTCCTGGTGGGATCATAGGCCGAGATGCGGTCAGATAGGTATCTTGGGCCGGAACCGTTTAGGGCTTTATAGGCCAGTACCAACACCTTGAATTGGGCCCGGTAGCAAATCGGCAGCCAGTGGAGCTGGTGCAACAGGGGGGTTGTGTGCTCCCTGCGCTCCGCTCCTGTTAGAATCATGGCTGCGCGTTGGACTAGTTGCAGCTTCCGGGCCGTCTTCAGGGGCAGCCCCACGTAGAGAGCGTTGCAGTAGTCTAGGCGGGATGTGACGAGCGTGTACCACCGTGGCCAAGTCAGACTTCCCAAGGTACGGGCGCAGCTGGCGCACGAGCCTGAGCTGTGCAAATGCTCCCCTGGTCACCGCCGAAACCTGGGGTTCCAGGCTCAGCGATGAGTCCAGGGTCACACCCAAGCTGCGAACCTGCGTCTTCAGGGGGAGTGCGGCCCCATCCAACACAGGCTGTAACCCTCTGCCCTGTTCGGCCTTGCGACTGACCAGGAGGACCTCTGTCTTGTCTGGATTCAATTTCAATTTGTTCGCCCTCATCCAGACCGTCACAGCGGCCAAGCACCGGTTCAGGACCTGGACAGCCTCCTTAGTAGCAGGTGGAAAGGAGTGACAGAGTTGGACATCATCCGCGTACATATGACACCGTACCCCGAAACTCCGGATGATCTCCCGCAGCGGCTTCATGTAGATGTTAAACAGCATGGGAGACAGAATAGAACCCTGAGGAACCCCACAAGACAAAGGTTGTGGCGTTGAACAGGTGTCTCCCAGCAACACCTTCTGGTACGACCCTCCAGAAATGACCGGAGCCACTGCAAAACAGTCCCTCCAAGACCCATTTCCACGAGGCGTCCCAGAAGGATACCATGGTCGACGGTATCGAAGGCCGCTGAGAGGTCAAGCAGCACCAACAGGGACACACTCCCCCTGTCCAGCTCCCGGCGAAGATCATCCACTAAGGCGACCAAGGCTGTCTCAGTTCCATGTCCCGGTCTGAAACCAGACTGTGCCGAGTCTAGATAATCCGTGTCTCTCAAGAATACCTGGAGTTGTGAGGCCACCACGCTTTCCAGGACTTTGCCCAAAAAGGGGAGATTGGAAACTGGCCGAAAGTTGTCAAATTTAGTGGGGTCCAGTGATGGTTTTTTCAACAGCGGTTTTAAAAGTTTTATGTATTGTCGAAGGCTTTCATGGCCGGAATCACTCAGTTCTTGTGGGTTTTTTCGGGCTATATGGCCATGTTCTAGAGGCATTTCTCCTGACGTTTCGCCTGCATCTATGGCAAGCTTCCTCAGAGGTCTGCTGGAGCTGGAAAAAAGGGGTTTATATATCTGTGGAATGACCAGGGTGAGACAAAAGGCTTTTGTCAGTTGGGCTAGGTGTGAATCTTTTCAACTGACCACCTTGATTAGCATACAATGGGCTGACTGTGCCTGGAGCAAACTCTTCTTGAAAGGTGATTAGATGTCCCTGCCTGTGTAGTCTGACATGGTGGTTGTGAGAGTAGTCCAGCATTTTTGTGTTCTCAAATAAAATGCTGTCTACTTCAGCCAGAGAAGTCAGCCATAGCAGAGCACCTGAGGAACCAGCCTGGACACAGCATATTATTTGAGAACACAGAAATGCTGGACCACGCTCACAACCACCATGTCAGACTACACAGAGAAGCCATTGAAATCCACAAACATGTGGACAATTTCAACAGAAAGGAAGAAACCATGAAAATGAACAAAATCTGGCTACCAGTATTAAAAAATTCTAAAATTAAAACAGCAGAGAGAAACACAGGCAGGGACATCTAATCACCTTTCAAGAAGAGTTTGCTCCAGGCACAGTCAGCCCATTGTATGCTAATCAAGGTGGTCAGTTGAAAGATTCACACCTAGCCCAACTTACAAAAGCCCTTTGTCTCACCCTGGTCATTCCACAGATATATAAACCCCTTTTTCCCAGCTCCAGCAGACCTCTGAGGAAGCTTGCCATAGATGCAGGCGAAACGTCAGGAGAAATGCCTCTAGAACATGGCCATATAGCCCAAAAAAACCCACAAGAACTGAGCTTGTTTTAAGCTCGCTGGAATCTTGCCTTCCCGAAGGGAGGCATTAACCACCACCTCCACCCACTCAGCCAATCCCCCTCTGGCCTCTTTTAGAAGCCAGGATGGGCAGGGGTCTAGGATGGACGTGGTAGGCCTCATTCCTCCAAGTATCTTGTCCACATCCTCGGGCTTCACCAACTGAAATGAATCCATCAAAATAGGACAAGCAGGTGCTCGTGTTACATCCACAGAGACTGCATTTAACATGGTGTCCAGGCCGGAACGGATCAAAGCGACTTTGTCTGCGAAGAACTGAGCAAAAGCTTCACAGCGAGAGGTCGAGTTGTCACCCATGTCCCACCTAGATAGTTTTGAACGGCATACATTGATGGGGCCCCAGCAAGAAAAAGCTCCTTTGGGATCTACCCAAAGCCCTTATGTCACTATGTAACACTATGTAATTTTTTTTTTGTTCTTGGGTTACAAATGCCATTTCCGAATTGGTTCCTAATTAAACTGTTGATTAAAATTTTATTTGTATTTTATTATTTTAATATTTTATTATTATTTATTCTATAATTATATATAAATATAATTATATACATTATATATAATTATTTATTTATTTATTTAGAACTTTTCTATCCCGGTCTTCTCACCTCCGATGAGGGACTCAGGCCGGTTTACAACAGAGGAGTTCATACACAATAGTTAAAACATCACATCCTATAAAACTCTAATATAAACATATTAAAATACAATCGTATAATTACATAAAACCAAGCCGTTAGCATAAAAATCACTATTCATCCCCATCCGTCCGTGTGGTCAAGGGTTATTGACTCACTCATCAAATGCCAGGTTCCAAAGCCAGGTTTTCACCAACTTTCTAAAGGTCAGGAGGGAAGGGGCAGTTCTAATCTCCAATGGGAGAGAGTTCCAGAGCCAAGGGGCCACCACCAAGAAGGCCCTGTCCCTCTTCCCCACCAGACGCGATTGCGAGGGTGGTGGGACCGAGAGCAGGGCCTCTCCAGAAGATCTTAACAACCTTGATGGTTCGTAGGGGAGAATACGTTCGGACAGGTAAACTGGACCAGAGTCGTTTAGGGATTTATAGGTCAACACCAGCACTTTGAATTGTGCTCGGAAGCTAATTGGCAGCTAATTGGCAGCCAGTGGAGCTGGTGTAACAGCGGAGTGGTGTGCTCCCTGTACCCAGCACACGTTAGTAGTCTGGCTGCCGCTCGTTGGACTAGTTGTAGCTTCCGGGCAGTCTTCATAGGCAACCCCACGTAGAGAGCGTTGCAATAGTCTACACGGGATGTAACCAGAGCGTGGACCACTGTGGCCAAATCTGACTTCCCAAGGTACGGGAAGTTTTATTATCTTTATTTATTTTAATATTTTATTATTATTTATATTATATTATATATAATTTAAATAAGTATTATATATAATTACATATATTATACTTAATACTGTTTTATTATTCATTTATTTTTATTTTATTATTGTATTTTATTATTTTAATATGTTATTATTATTAATTCTATAATTATATATATATATCATTATATACATTATATATAAGTATAATTATATTATAGATATGATTATAAATAATATATTTTATTATCTTTATTTATTTTAATATTTTATTATTATTTATATTATTAATATATATAATAAAATAAATATTATACTTATATATATATATATATATATATAAATAATACACACATTCATTACTTTATTCTATAATTATATATAAATATGATTATGTACATTATATATAATCATAATCATATTATATATATGATTATAAATAATATATTTTATTATCTTTATTTTAATATTTTATTATTATTTATATTATTATTTATATTATTATATATAATTAAATAAATATTATATATAATTATATATATTATAATTAATACTGTTTTATTATTCATTTATTTTTATTTTATTATTGTATTTTATTATTGTATTATTTTATTATTATTTATTCTATAATTATATATATATATATATATATATATATATATATATAGCCTGTTAAGGGCTGAAAAATGCGGTATAGAAATAAAGCAAATAAATAAATATACATTATATATAATTATAATTATATTATAGATATGATTATAAATAATATATTTTTATTAACTTTATTTATTTTAATATTTTATTATTATTTATATTATTATTATATATAATTAAATAAATATTATATATAATTATATATATAATTATAATTAATACTGTTTTATTATTCATTTATTTTTATTTTTATTTTATTATTGCATTATATTATTTTAATATTTTAATATTATTTATTCTATAATTATATATAAATATAATTATGTCTTTGGAGGAGCCTGAAAACGTGGCTGTTCCAGAGTACCTTCTCTGACCAATTCCCTGAAAAATGTCCTCAGAAGCAATTTAACTACCCATTGGGTTGCTCTCCCTACATTATCCTTTAAAACCCTCCTGCTTAGATACACCCTATCTTGTTCACACACAGTGCTTATTTAAATTTTTTAATTACGAACCATCAAGGACCTTGAGATCATCCGGGGAGGCCCTGCTCTCGGTCCCGCCTTCGTCACAATTACGTCTGGCGGGGACAAGAGACAGGGCCTTCTCAGTGGTGGCCCCTCGGCTATGAAACACCCTCCCTGGAGAGATTAGATCTGCTCCCTCCCTCTTATTGTTTCAGAAGCAAGTTAAAACATGGCTAATTTGAGCAAGCGTTTACAAACGCAGAGTAACGGATATAGGTAACTGATATAGGAAACCTGAGGACTTGACGATGGAACTGGGCAATGCTTAACAATACAGGAATCATAGAATCCTACAATCAAAGAGTTGGAAGAGACCTGGTGGGCCATCCTCCAGTCCAACCCCATTCTCTCAAGAAGCAGGAATATTGCATTCAAATCACCCCTGACAGATGGCCATCCAGCCCCTGTTTAAAAGCTTCCAAAGAAGGAGCCTCCACCACACTCCCTCCGGGGCAGAGAGTTCCACTGCTGAACGGCTCTCACAGTCAGGAAGTTCTTCATCGTGTTCAGATGGAATCTCCTCTCTTGTAGTTTGAAGCTAATGATGCTAATGATGCTAATGATGTTGTTTTTATTGCCTTGTTGTGTGTTTTATGCTGTTTTAATGTTTTAATTTGTATTGTGATATTATGTGTACTGTTTGGTTGGAAACCGCCTTGAGTTGCTGATAGGCTGAGAAAAGCGGTATACAAGTAAATAAATAAATAAATAAATAAATAAATTATTACATCTGGTCTGGCCATAGGTTTTTAATTTTTTGCATGTTATTGTTTATATGTGAGTTATATTAATTGTACTGTTTTATTTGCTTGCTGCTGGTGTGTTGTTGGGCTTGGCCTCATGGAAACCACCCCGAGTCCCCTTGGGGAGATGGTGGCAGGGTATAAATATAGTATTATTATTATTATTATTATTATTATTGGGTTGTTGTAGGTTTTTCCAGGCTATATGGCCATGTTCTAGAGGCATTTTCTCCTGACGTTTCGCCTGCATCTATGGCAAGCATCCTCAGAGGTAGTGATGTCTGTTGGAACTAGGACAATGGGTTTATTCGCCTGCATCTATGGCAAGCATCCTCAGAGGTAGTGAGGCCTGTTGGAAGTAGGAAAATGGGTTTATATATCTGTGGAATGACCAGGGTGGGACAAAGGACTTTTGTCTGCTGGAGCTAGGTGTGAATGTTTCAACTGACCACCTTGATTAGCATTTAATGGCTTGGAAGTGCCTGGGGGGGAATCTTTTGTTGAGAGTGATTCTTTTTGCACGGTCTGCCAAGGCTTTAATGGTGCTTCTTTTTTGACTTGACTTTTTTGACTTGGGTGATGGTTGGAGTTTCAATGCAGGAGAAACGTCAGGAGAAAATGCCTCTAGAACATGGCCATATAGCCCGGAAAAACCTACAACAACCCAGTGATTCCAGCCATGAAAGCCTTCGACAATACATTATTATTATTATTATTATTATTATTATTATTATTATTATTATATTATTATTTCATTTCTAAAAAAAGCATGACTGCGCACTACTCTACCCAACTCTTCCCTGCTTCAATGTGTCCCAACACCAGAGGCATTTTGAGATGTACTTTTCACATTCCAGTCAACTACAAGCAGGAAATTGGGATTCTTTATGAGCCACCCTGGGATTCTGTCAAAGGATGGAGTGATAAATTACTTCCATAAATCTGACACAAAATCTCATCTCCCCAAAGAGAGGCAAAAGTGGGGTTTTTCCCCCAATGCTATAATTACACCTACAAGTCTGGTGTTGATGTCTAGACTAAAAAACACTATACTCAATTTGAAGAAAAATGCATTGGATTATGCTGGAACCATACAGCCCAGAAAACTCACTGAAACCAACTGGCATATTATTATTATTATTATTATTATTATTATTATTATTATTATTATTATTATCTCAACTCTCAGTGCCTGGAGGCCGTGACTGGATGGCTGCGTGCCAGCAGGTTGAGGGTGAGTCCAGCAGAGACGGAGATCCTATGCTGGGTCGACCGGGCAGTGGGGACGTCCATCTGCCCACCCTGGATGGCGAGGTGCTACGCCCGTCATCGTTGGTCAAGAGTCTGGGAATCCTTGTGGACCCTCTGCTGAGGATGGAGGCCCAGGTCTCTCTCCGCCGTTAGCAGAACCGCCTTCTTTCACCTGCGGCAGGCTAGACGGCTGGCCCCCTCCCTGTCCAGGGACGACCTGGCTACGGTCATCCAGGCCACAGTCATCTCAAGACTGGACTACTGTAACGCCCTCTCCATTGGCCTTCCTCTGTCGGTGATCCGGAAGCTCAAGTTGGTACAAAATTCAGGTGGGAATTCCGATGAGATGCCACATCACCCCAATCTGACTCCAGCTGCATTGGTTACCCATTGAGCACCGGATCACTTTCAAAGGGATGGGACTCACCTTGAAGGCCTTGCATGGTCTGGGGCCGATGTCCCTGAGGGACTGCCTCACCCCCTCCCAACCCCAGAGATCCCTCCGCTCTGAGGACCAAGATCTATTGGAAGTCCCCAGTGGCAAGACCTTGCGCCCGACAGCAACCAGGCGCAGAGTCTTCACAGCAGTGGCACCATCGCTCTGGAATACTCTGCCACCTGAAGTCCGCGCCTTGCGGGACTTACCAGCTTTCCGCAGGGCTTGTAAGACATACCTGTTTCGACAGGCCTTTGATCTGTGATATTGCTGATTTTAAATTGTTTTAAATTGTGTTCGATTTTAGCCTGTTCTTGTGAGCCGCTCCGAGCCCCAGGGGAGTGGCCGCATAGAAGTTCAATAAATAAATAAACAAATAAATAAATAAATAAATAAACGGTTGCAAAAGAAATGAATGAGGTTTACCTGGCGGGCCAGCTGCCGCCTTTCAATGGCTTGGATGTCCTTGTCCAACTCCTCGCTGAGCTGCTGGAGCTCCTTCTCCAGTAATTCCTGAAAGGGAACGATGCCGTGAGTGGGGTGAATCAAGAGAGAAGCATGACGTGGGAGCAATGTGCTCTGGTCACACAAATGTCACGGAATAGGTGTGTAATGCATGATGGCATGCACTGCCCCAGGGTGCAATCAATACCACACAGAGAGGTTATGCACCTCCCAGGATTCCATAACATTGAGCCATAAGCGGGAAAAGATATGGGCCTGAGCTCTTAGGAATTGTGGGAGTTGAAGTCCAAAACACCTGGAGGGCCGAAGTTTGCCCACGCCTAAGTTAGACCCCCATGAATGTGAAAGAGCGCAAATTAAAAAACTACTACTTTTATGCACATGTGAACACATCCGTGGGAATTTCTTCCAGCTCAACTCTAAAGCAGTGCTTCTCAACCTTCCAAATGCCGCGACCCCTTAGTAGAGCTCCTCATGTTGTGGTGACCCCCAACCATAACAGCATTTTCGTTGCTACTTTTGCTACTTTTATCAATTGTAATGCAAAGATCTGATGTATTCACTGGACCAAATTTGGCACAAATATCCAATACACACAAATTTGAATACTGGTGGGGTTGGGGGGCGGGGTTGATTTTGTCATTTGGGAGTTGTAGTTGCTGAGATTTATAGTTCACCTACAATCAAGGAGCATTCTGCACTCCACCAATGATGTAATTGGACCAAACTTACCGCTCAGAACTTCAATGACCAACAGGAAAAAAACTGGGAGGGTTTGGTGGGCATTGACCTTGAGAGTTGTAGTTCACCTACATCCAGAGAGCACTGTGGACTCAAACAATGATGGATCTGGACCAGAGGCGGCCCTAGGTAATTTTCAACGGTAAGCAAACAGTATTTTGGCACACACACACACACACCCCAACCAATCATTGATATATATTTTCTGTTCGTCGTGGGAGTTCTGTGTGCCATATTTGGTTCAATTCCATCATTGGTGGAGTTCAGAATGCTCTTTGATTGTAGGTGAACTATACATCCCAGTAACTACACTTGCCGCACTTGCTCCCTTGCCTGGCCCGCTTTGGGTCCGGAGGTGTGCCTGAAGACCCCGGCGTGTGCACCAAAAGTCACCTCTTCTCCTGACTTTCTCCTCAGCCATTGGGACCAAGAGAGAGAGAGAGAGAGGTGGAGATGCCCACCTTTCCTGAAGGTAGGCGCAAAAACAAAGGAGGGAGCGGAGGTGGGAGATACCTCCAGCCGGAGGGGGCTCTCTCTCTCTCTCTCTTGGTCCCAATGGCTGAAGAGAAAGTCAGAAGAAGAGGCGACTTTTGGTGCGCATGCTGGGGTCTTCAGGCACGCCTCCGGACCTGAAGCAGGCCAGGCGCAGCAGCTCCGGCCCTTGGCCCACCCGCGGATTGGGGAGAGGAGAGGAGGCGGGTGGAGCGCCGGGGATCGGGAAAGGGAGCCGGTCATGGGGAAGGGATCGAACGCGGAGAACGATTGAGCGCCGGCTCTGCTCGCGCACCCGGTGGCCGGGTGGAGCAGGAACGAGAGGGGCTAGGCGAGGCTCAAGGGCCCGGCCCCTTTGGGAAGAGGATCGCCCGGCAGCGAGGCAAGAAAGCCGAGGCTCCCCCCGGACTGCGAGGGCTGTGGTGAGCGGAGGGGGCGCTCATCCTCAAGTGGCGGTCGAGGGGCATTTACAGAGGCGCCTCTGCGCCCCTGGCAAAAAAAGTGTTCTGCAACTGCTTACTTCGCGCAATGGGCAAGCCGCCCCGATCTGGACCAAACTTGGCACGAATATTCAATATGCCCAAAAGTGAACACTGGTGGAGTTTTGGGGAAATAGACCTTGACATTTGGGAGTTGTAGTTGCTGGTATTTATAGTTCACCTACAATCAAAGAGCATTCTGAACCCTACCAACAATAGAATTGGGCCAAACTTCTCACACAGAAACCCTATGACCAACAAACAATACAGTTTTTTTCTGATGGTCTTTGGTGACCCCTTTGACACCTCCTTGCGACCCCTCCAGGCATCCTGACCCCCAGGTTGAGAAACACTGCTCTAAAGTCAACTTCTGCTGGATGCTGACCATGGGATTGCATTGGAGGACACAGAGATTCCTAGAAATAGGTTCTCTCTCCTGCAATAATATGGAGTCCTGGGAGTTGTAGTATATACAAAGCATTTCTTTAAGAGCCACATCCACTCTTTTAGCGTGGTGTGATGTGTCCCACACTGGGCATGCGTACTCAGCAGCAGAGAAGCAAAGCGCAAGGGCACATGTCGTCGCTGAAGCTGGTTGCGATCTCCAGGTTGTGCCCATCAGCTTCCATATGATATTTATGTATTTATTTATTATCATATTTGCATACCGCCCTTCTCAGCCCGAAGACGACTCAACAGATATAAAATACACTTTAAGACCTCTTAACCTCTGTGGGTGCTTGCCATAGATGCAGGCTAAACGTCAGGAGAGAATGCTTCTAGAACATGGCCATATAGCCTGAAAAACCTACAACAACACTTAAAAACATTTAGCATATAATACAAAAACCACACAAAACCAATAAAAACATAAATCATCAGCGTCTCCTTACTAAAATCATTTTCCAATCGTATCGTCCAGTCGTTCCATAGTTTCATATTTACTTGTTAAGCTGCATTTGTGAAAGCTTGCTCAAAGAGCCAGGTTTTGACTTTTTAATGAAATGTCAGAAGGGAGGGGGCCGATCTTATATCCTTGGGAAGGGCGTTTCATAGCCAAGGGGCCACCACCGAGAAGGCCCTGTCTCTTGTCTCCACCAAACGTACTTGTGACTAAGGCAGTAACGTGAGCAGGGCCTTCCCAGACTATCTTAAGGTCCTAGATGGTTCATAAGGGGAGATGTGTTTGGACATGTAAGTTGGGGCAGAACTGTTTAGAGCTTTATATAGGCTAACGCCAGCACTTTGAATTGTGCCTAGTAGCAGACTGGCAGCCAGTGGAGCTGGCGCAACAGAGGAGTTGTGTGCTCCCTGAGCGCCGCTCCTGTTAGCAACCCGCCTGCCGCTCGTTGAAGCTTCTGAACAGTCTTCAAAGGCAGCCCCACCTAGAGCGCGTTGAGGTAGTCTATATGGGATGTAACCAGAGCGTGGACTACCATGGCCAAGTCAGATTTCCCAAGGTATGGCGCAGCTGGCACACAAGTTTTAGCTGTGCAAATGCTCCCCTGATCACCGCCGAAACCTGGTGTTCCAGGCTCAGCGTTGAATCCAGGATCACACCCAAGCTGCGAACCTGCGTCTTCAGGGGAAGTTTGAGGACCGGGACATCCGTAGGGATGCCAACGTGCTTGTCTATAAAGCTATTGTCCTCCCAACCCTGCTCTATGCCTGTGAAACGTGGACTGTCTACAGACGTCACATACAACTCCTGGAACAATTCCATCAGCGCTGCCTCCGGAAAATCCTGCAAATATCTTAGGAAGTCAGGTGGGGAAACGTCAGCGTGCTGGAAGAAGCAAAGACCACCAGTACTGAAGTGATGGTCCTCTGCCATCAACTCCGCTGGACCAGCCACGTTGTCCAGATGCCTGACCACCGTCTCCCAAAGCAGTTGCTCTACTCCGAACTCAAGAACGGAAAATGGAATGTTGCTGGGCAGGAAAAGAGATTGAAATATGGGCTCAAAGCCAACCTTAAAAACTCTGGCATAGACACTGAGAACTGGGAAGCCCTGGCCCTTGAGCGCTCCAGCTGGAGGTCAGCTGTGACCAGCAGTGCTGCAGAATTTGAAGAGGCACGAGTGGAGGGTGAAAGAGAGAAACGTGCCAGGAGGAAGGCGTCAAGCCAACCCCGACCGGGACCGCCTTCCACCTGGAAACCAATGCCTTCACTGTGGGAGAAGATGCGGGTCAAGAAGAGGGCTCCACAGCCACCTACAAACCCACAAAAATAGTCATCAAGGAAGACCATCTTACTCGTCCAACGAGGGATCGCCTAAGTAAGTAAGTCAGGGGAAGTGTGACCCCATCCAACACAGATTGTAACCTTATACCCTGTTCGGCCTTTCAACTGACCAGAAGTACCTCTGTGTTGTGTTGGAGTTCAGCCTGTGATTGTGTTTCAGGATCAGGGTGCTTTGGATGTGGGAAGTGATGCCAATGAATTTCAAGATGGCAATGGTTTGGTCAATGATACTGATGCAGAGAAGGACCAGGAGACCCCTGTGCAAAGTGTAGTTTCCCATGAGAATGTCCCTGAAGGGTGTGGGGATGATAGTGTACTCCCTGAATTGCTACCAGAGAGTTCCCAGGATTTGGGGCTTGAAAACAACTGGGCACCTGGCCCAGCTGCAAAACTTAATGGGCAAATAGATAAGAGGCAGGAGATAGTCAAAACAGGCAGACCGAACAGTTCCTTCGGCGTTCTGCCAGAATCCGACAGAAAAAGATAAGGGAATCTCAATTAAAGCGAAATCAATTTCTGAGTGCTTGGGATAGCTTAACGGGGAAATTGACAGTGTGGCAAAAGGTTGGCCATCTTGTCTACGTGCTGTAGCTGCTACGGCCTTGTTGACTCAAGAAGCTGATAAGTTGACTTTAGGACAAGAATTAGTAGTTAAGGTTCCTCACTCAGTAACGGCTATTATGGAATATAGAGGACATCATTGGTTTACAAATAGCCGTATGTTAAAATACCAGACTTTGTTGTGTGAAAACCCTCGAATCAAGTTACAGGTTTGCAGTACATTAAATCCTGCTTCACTCCTGCCTATTGAAGGAGAATTGCTTCAACATAATTGTTTGGAAACTATGGATGAGATATATTCCAGTAGGCCTGACCTAAAAGATCAACCTTGGCCTAAGGCGGATGCCACTCTTTTTACAGATGGAAGCAGTTTTGTTGAAAATGGACAAAGGTATGCTGGATATGCCGTAGTAACTGCAACCTCTGTGTGGGAAGCAGAACCACTTCCTCTAAACACATCAGCTCAAAAGGCAGAACTGATAGCCCTAATTAGAGCTCTTGAATTGTCAGAAGGAAAAACAGTCAACATTTATACAGATTCAAAATATGCATTTACTACTCTGCATGCACATGGAGCTTTATATAAAGAAAAGGGACTGTTAAATTCTGCTGGGAAAGAAATACGACATAGTGAGACCATTCTGAGATTGCTAGATGCTGTCTGGATTCCTGCTAAAGTAGCAGTGATGCATTGTAAAGGACATCAATATGGCGAGGATCCTGTGACCTTTGGAAACTGGTATGCTGACACTACCGCAAAGGCCGCGGCCCGAAAGGGACGAGGACAAGAGCCGGTCATGGCCCCTTTGCAGGTAAGAGACTGGTTAAGGAAAGATGACTTGCTATATACTCCAGAAGAAGAACAATAGGCCCAGCGTGAGAAAGCTGTAAGGAAAGATGGATGGTTGGTGTTGCCTGACCAGAGGCTGTTTGTACCCAGACAGATAGCTTGGGAAATGATTAAGGAGGCACACCAAGAAACCCATATGGGAAAAACAGCTTTGGCCTCACTACTGGGATGACAACTTTACATAAATGGACTCACTGCCCTAACAGGAATAGCCTCAGCCAGATGTCATATTTGTGCTAAAAATAACCCCAGAACAGGACCAATGCCACCTCCAGGGGTTCAATATCAAGGAAATACACCTTTTGAATCTTTAGTAGTAGATTTCACTGAAATGCCAAAATGTGGGCCTCATAAGTATTTGCTTGTGTTTGTATGTACTCATTCTGGATGGCCTGAAGCATATCCAACTAGAACTGAAAAGGCAGCTGAAGTGTCAAAGGCACTTCTTAGAGACATTATCCCAAGATATGGGATTCCTTTGCACATTTGTTCAGATAATGGTCCTGCTTTTGTATCAGAAGTCTTACAGTCCTTGGTCCGACTATTGGGAACAAAATGGAAGTTACATTGTGCATATCGACCTCAGAGCTCAGGAAAAGTAGAAAGGATGAATCAAATTTTAAAAGGAAAATTATCAAAAATGTGCCAAGAGACTCACTTGCCATGGACTAGGTTACTGCCTATGGCCTTGCTACATATTAGGTGTACTCCTACTAAGTTTTTGGGCCTGTCCCCTTTTGAACTTATGTATGGAAGACCTCCCCTTGGATTGAGGCATCTTCAAGGAGATATCAATCAGTTGGGACAACAAGCATTAAAAAGGGATGTTCAAGCATTAGGGCTGGCCATAGCCCAACTTCAACAATACACTGAAGAACTAAGACCACCTTGGCCAGCTACTCCTTTACACTCTTTCCGCCCAGGGGATTCAGTGCTGATTAAGGACTGGAGAATAGAACCTTTAAGACCAAAATGGAAAGGGCCTTTTACTGTCTTGCTTTCAACTCCCACAGCTGTCAAAGTGGAAGGAATCAAAGCCTGGATCCATTACACCAGAATAAAAAAGGCACCACCTGAGTGGACTGCGACTCCTGAGCAAAAAGATCCCCTGAGACTTCATACCATCAAACCGACAGCGCCATGAGGACCAGAAAGAGGACTACGGCTCTGGTTTTGACCACATACCTGGAAGCTGGTCAAATAAATCAGACAGAAGATTGAGGAGCACTGTGGAAGTGCCTACGTGTATGGGACATTCTTCAATAATTGTGATAAGTGATTTTGTTTGATTATATTGAAATTGTTGTTAAAATAAGAATTTGATATCCTGAGTTTGCGATGCTACTGTGGAACATTCGCTCGCAAAAGGGGGGAATGTGGTGGCCGTACGGGGAAAAATAAAATAATTATAATTTAAAATGAAAATAATGAGGAGAAAGGCTTACCTGTCCGTTCTTGAGGTAGAAAGTAGAGTCTTTGGTAGAAGGGAAAGTTAACAGATGACTCAGAAACCTTTCAGGCTGGCTCTATCTTATGTCAATATTTGAAGAGGCCAAGGCTGGAACTAAGCTAAATTCGGAAGGTCAAAGAGTGGTGCCAAGAACAAATTGATAACTATTGATCTAAAAAGAACAAACACCTGAAAGTATGATCTAAGAGCGCCATCTCCTGTCTGGTTGAAGTAGACAAATTGAATATACTTTTTTATAATGATCAATTGGAAAACCTGATGTATTATGGATATATTGTGAATGTATTGTGAATATAATTAAGAAGAATTAATAAGGAAAATGCTTGCTTTGAATAAATTAAAGATACCTATATGAAGACATATGTATGAAGAGAAATATATGAAGTGATGATTCATTCTAAAGATTATGTAAGTCCTCTGGGAACTTAGTCAGCTGTTGGAAGGGAGAACAGTGGAAATTATAGTGTTCTGCCAACAAGTGTTCTTGGCTGCGATTCCTCGAGGACAAATTGATGTTGATTAAGATTATGAAAATGTCAAGACTCTTATGCGCATGTGTAACCCTGAGAATTATGCTATAAATGCTGGAGCAAATCTGCCTTCCAGTGTGTGTCAGATATTGTATTCTGAACACCCAATCAAGCTTGATTGAATAAAGAGCCTGGAATCGGTTGCTGTCTCCTTTCTCTTCCTTCCTGATTGCACTCATCTGATCTCGGGTGACGAATCTGCTGCAACAGTATAGTCAGATGAAGCATCATTTGAAATCAAGTGTAGTTCGTGTCCTTGTTTCATGGAAGCCTTGCTGGGAAGATTCTTGTCTAAGTATTTCTTGTTTCATGGTTTGGATTCTTGGATTGTATGAATGCCCATTCATGCCTTGGATTAATGTTTCCTGTTTTTCTGAATTATATTAGAGAAGTGTGGACTTTGTTTTTATGGACTTTGCTGAACTTTACCCTGGACTATTTTTGCTCCTGCTTATCTTCTTACCTAATTGGATTTACCTATTTCTTTAAAGTGCTTTTTACTTTGCTGTTTTTTTTAAAATTATGTCCAGTAAAAGGATTGTTTCCCAATCAATGGTGTGGTGTTTACAGTCAGAGGGCTTTTCCTGTCCTGGAGTACAACATCTTGTCTGGATTCAATTTCAATTTGTTCGCCCTCATCCAGACCATCACAGTGGCCAAGCACCGATTCAGGACCTGCTTATCTTCTCACCTAACTGGATTTACCTATTCCTTTAAAGTGCTTTTTTACTTTGCTGTTTTTAACATTATCTTCAATAAAAGGATTGTTTCCCAATCAACGGTGTGGTGTTTACAGTCAGAGGGCTTTTCCTGTCCTGGAGTGCAACATCTTGTCTGGATTCAATTTGAATTTGTTCGCCCTCATCCAGACCATCACAGTGGCCAAGCACTGATTAAGGACCTGCTTATCTTCTTACCTAATTGGATTTACCTATTCCTTTAAAGTGCTTTTTTACTTTGCTGTTTTTTAAATTATCTTCAATAAAAGGATTGTTTCCTAATCAACGGTGTGGTGTTTACAGTCAGAGGGCTTTTCCTGTCCTGGAGTCCTCGTAGACAACAAGTTAAACACAAGCCAACAATGTGATGTGGCGGCAAAAAAAGCCAATGGGATTTGGGCCTGCATTAATAGGAGCATAGTGTCTAGATCTAGAGAAGTCATGCTCCCCATGCTCTCTTCCGCTTTGGTTAGACCACACCTGGAATATTGCGTCCAATTCTGGGCACCACAATTCAAGAGAGAGATTGACAAGCTGGAATACTGTGTCCAGAGGAGGGCGACTAAAATGATCCAGGGTCTGGAGAACAAGACCTATGAGGAGCGGCTTAAGGAGCTGGGCATGTTTAGCCTGAAGAAGAGAAGGATGAGAGGAGACATGATGAGGGCCATGGATAAATATGTGAGAGGAAGCCACAGGGAGGAGGGAGCAAGCTTCCTTTCTGCTTCCCTGGAGACTAGGACGCAAAGGAACAATGGCTTTAAACTACAAGAGAGGAGATTCCTTCTGAACATGAGGAAGAACTTCCTGGCTGTGAGAGCCGTTCAGCAGTGGAACTCTCTGCCCCGGAGTGTGGTGGAGGCTCCTTCTTTGGGAGCTTTGAAACAGAGGCTGGGTGGCCATCTGTCAGGGGTGCTTTGAATGCAATATTCCTTCTTCTTGGCAGAATGGGGGTGGACTGGATGGCCCAGGAGGTCTCTTCCAACTCTTTGATTCTAGGATTCTATGGAGTGCAACATCTGTCTGGATTCAATTTGAATTTGTTTGCCCTCATCCAGACCGTCACAGCGGCCAAGCACCGATTCAGGACCTGTGAACAGTCTCCATCGTAGCAGGTGGGAAGGAGTGACAGAGTTGGACGTCATCTGCGTACAGGTGACACTGCACCCCGAAACTCCAGATGATCTCCCCCAGCGGCTTCATGTAGATGCCATATTGTTTCTAGCACCCAGGAGGACCTAGATATTCCTAAAGAGAACCTTTTAAATCAAATCCACCAAGTGTGGAGGGGCGGCCGTGCCCACGCTCCTGACTTGAGCACAAAAGGCGCTTTGTGGCCCAACTATTTGCAGACCGCAGCATCGCTCCGGCCCTGAATCCTGACCCTTTCGAAGCACAGCCTGGATTTCTTGGCAGGAAAGCCACGGCGTGGGGGACATCGTTCAAGGCGGAGGGGGAAGAGGGGAGAGGAAATAACAAAGAGCCTTGCTCCATGGAAGCCGGTAAACACAGCTGCGCTCCATCCGTCTTGGGAGAGCCCTGCAGGGAGGGACTCGAACCCGGCACCCCATCCCCTCCCTTCTGGCTGGAGGGGTCTTTCCAACCATCACCTCCACGGAGGTTTATAGCATATGCTTGGAGGGGAGCCAGTCCCAGCTTCGTGGCTACAGGTTAAGAGCATGCGTGTCCTTTGGCACAGGCAAATACTCACCTCGATGGGTGGGGAGGCCGGCCGGGGACGGGACGGAGGTGCCTCGGGGGGCTTCTTCGGCTGCAAAAAGCAATAAATGGCAAATTAAAACACGGCGGTATTAAGAGGCCGTTAAGAAACCTGGCCTTCTTCCTCCCAGCTCGAATCAGGATGGGGATTTCCCGCTCCTGGAAGTCATTCTCCATATGGTGTTGCCTCCATTGTTCCGTGTGCACAATGAGCCGAAATAAACAATGGCTCAGATCCCACCGATGGCCGGAAGTGTTGCAGTTCTGGCACTCGACTACACTTCTATTAACTAACAAAATCTGGGACGACACTCATCCCGCCACGTTTGCAGTTTTGAGCTTTCGGGTGGGATGATTCACAGATTTGACTTCAAATGTTTTCTCTAACCCTCTATCCACTTGGTCACATTTGCTAAATTCCACTGAGTGCTACACTTAAAATGTGCCAAGCCGCTGTGTTCATCACATTAGGTCGGGCTCAAGTGTTGGGTAGAGCATTCTTGGCATATTTTAAGCATGGGGGGCAGCATTAAATATTTCAGGAGGTAGTAAGGAAGGTTTTTTTTTTAATGATCCGGAGTGTTCGGTCACCCAGGAGCCTGATTTGCCTTATTTTATAGTTGCTTGAGGTTGCTTCCTCTTGCATTTTCTCCCAGGGCTGTTGCATCTTTGCAAGAGTCCTAAAGGTTAATAGTATTAGACTCTGCATGCCTCTTTGCAACTATTGGCTTAGAGAACACCTCTTTGAGTTTAGGGACCGCCTTTTCTCCCAGGGAAAGATCTCCATTTTAGGTTCTCCCCTGTCTTTTCAGTTTGAGGAAAGACTTCAGGCGTGCTGATGGCTAAGCAGTTAGCTCTGGGAGAACCATTGCAAAAACTATAAATTGAGTTATAGATAAGTATTAAGCTATACATTATAAACTGAGTAAGATAAGTATTAAGCTATACTGAGTTAGTTTAGATAATATATTGTGTATTGAGCTATGTTGAGATATTTTAGACAGATAAGCTTAGTTGAGAAGATTGAGTTATATAGTTATAGAGAGAGAGTCATAGAATCATGGAATCAAAGAGTTGGAAGAGACCTCATGGGCCATCCAGTCCAACCCCATTCTGCCAAGAAGCAGGAATATTGCATTCAAATCACCCCTGACAAATGGCCATCCAGCCTCTGTTTCAAAGCTTCCAAAGAAGGAGCCTCCACCACACTCCGGGGCAGAGAGTTCCACTGCTGAACGGCTCTCACAGTCAGGAAGTTCTTCCTCATGTTCAGATGGAATCTCCTCTCTTGTAGTTTGAAGCCATTGTTCCATTGCGTCCTAGTCTCCAGCGAAGCAGAAAACAAGCTTGCTCCCTCCTCCTCCCTGTGGCTTCCTCTCACATATTTATACATGGCTCTCATCATATCCCCTCTCAGCCTTCTCTTCTTCAGGCTAAACATGCCCAGCTCCTTAAGCCGCTCCTCATAGGGCTTGTTCTCCAGACCCTTGATCATTTTAGTCGCCCTCCTCTGGACACATTCCAGCTTGTCAATATCTCTCTTGAATTGTGGTGCCCAGAATTGGACACAATATTCCAGGTGTGGTCTAACCAGAGCAGAATAGAGCATGGGGAGCATGACTTCCCTGGATCTAGACACTAGGCTCCTCTTGATGCCTGAGGCCAACATCCCATTGGCTTTTTTTGCCGCCACATCACACTCCTGGCTCATGTTTAACTTGTTGTCCATGAGGACTCCAGGATCTTTTTCACACGTACTGCTCTCGAGCCAGGCCTTGTCCCCCATTCTGTATCTTTGCATTTCATTTTTTCTGCCAAAGTGGAGTATCTTGCATTTGTCACTGTTGAACTTCATTTTGTTAGTTTTGGCCCTTCATCTCTCTAATGTCGTGACTACTTTGTCTCCAGGACTGACCTTAAGTTACAGATAGGGGAAAACCTGCTTTTTTCTAAACCACAACAGCTTCAGGTTAGGGTGTTAAGATTCCAGGATCTTATCTGCCATCTGGAGAAAAAAGGGTTGCCTCTGTAACTATAGGAAAGAAAGAATATCTTTGTAGCTTCATCTATTGACTGTTTGTTTGCAACTGTATGAACTGTGCCAAGTCTTCAAGGACTTTGTGTAAATAAATATTCTTTTTGATGTTTAAAACCAGCACTAGTCTCAGTTGCTTAGTATCTTAAGTATCTTAGTATCTTAAGTTTTCAAGATAGACAACTGCAGTTCGCTCAGCTATAGAGAGAAGCATGTCGCAGTCTTATTTTTTATAGCGTCTGGGCGGACGGCACACGGATAATTTCTGGTAATGATCTGGATGTTTGGCCAATTCTGTAGTGTGATGGCATTTGTTGCTCTCAGGTTTAAAATGAAACGCTTCCCCAATTTGTGGGAGGATAAATTGTGGAAGTACCTTTCTCTGGGTGCATCTGCACTGGAGAAGAAATGCAGTCAGGACCCACTGTAAATGCCATTATTATTATACCAGGCTGTGCGCAGCTATCTGGGAGCCAGCTGCATTAAATCACTAATGACTAAGAGGTAATACATTTGAAGCCAGCCCGGATCAGAGTGAGCTTCCGGCCATTAGTCTAGCTTGCTGTCGACCTTTGCAGCCTGAAAGACAGTTGCATTTGTCAAGTAGGAAATTTAAGTACCGCTTTATGTGGGGAGGTGAAGTTAAATATTTTACGATGCCATAAAACCTCCCAGCAGCATGCAGAAGAATGAGGAAGTACCCCATCAAAGGACTCGGTGTCACAATGGACGGTGAAGTGGCAGCTCCCCCTGTGGCCGGAATCGAGCATATCCTCATGAAGCCGGAAAAGCTTGGACACAACTGGAATGTTAAATGGTCTCTGTGTCTGTCTATATATATCGTATGTCTAACTGACATTGAAGGGCAGAATATAAATACTGCAAATAAATAAATAAATAAATAATGCCGCGTCTGCATGCTGTGCAGTCCTGGAAGTCATAGTTTTCCAAGGTCCACACCCTTCTCTTGGTGCATTTACAATATGGAAGGAATGCCCTTGTACCTCTTCTTAAATATCATAGCTCCATACTAAGCAGTCTGGGGAGATCTAGTTTTCCAAGGTCCACTGTGGGATTTTTTAAAGAGAGAACACCTTTCTAAGAATTTATTTATTTATTTATTTATTTATTTATTTATTTATTTATTTATTATTTGGACTTCTATGCGGCCACTCCCCTGGGGCTCAGAGCGGCTTACAAGAATGGCTAAAATCTAACAAAATTTAAAAGCAATTTAAAACAGCAATATCAAAGATCAAAGGACTGTTGAAACAGGTATGTCTGACACGCCCTGCGGAAAGCTGGTAAGTCCCGCAAGGCACGGACTTCAGGTGGCAGAGTATTCCAGAGTGATGGTGCCACTGCTGTGAAGGCTCTGCGCCTGGTTGCTGTTAGACACAAGGTCTTGACACTGGGGACTTCCAAGAGATCTTGGTCCTCAGGACGGAGGGATCTCTGGGGTTGGGAGGGGGTGAGGCGGTCCCTCAGGTACATTGGCCCCAGGCCATGCAAGGCCTTCAAGCTGAGTCCCATCCCTTTGAAAGTCATCCGGTGCTCAATGGGTAACCAATGCAGCTACAGTCAGAGTGGAGTGATGTGGCATCTCATCGGAGTTCCCACAAGAAGCCGAGCAGCTGCGTTTTGTACCAACTTGAACTTCTGGATCACCGACAGAGGAAGGCCAATGTAGAGGGCGTTACAGTAGTCCAGCCTTGAGATGACCGTGGCCTGGATCACCGTAGCCAGGTCATCCCTGGACAGGGAGGGGGCCAGCCGTCTAGCCTGCCGCAGGGGAAAGAAAGAAGGCGGTTCTGCTCACGGCGGAGAGAGACCTGGGCCTCCATCGTCTGCAGAGGGTCCAAAAGGACTCCCAGACTCTTGACCAATGAGGACGGGCGTAGCGCCTCACCATCCAGGGTGGGCAGATGGACGTCCCCACTGCCCGGTCGACCCAGCCATAGGATCTCCGTCTGTGCCGGATTCACCCTCAGCCTGCTGGCACGCAACCATCCAGTCACAGCCTCAAGGCACTGAGGGAAACAATCGGGTCCAGAGTCCGGTCGGCCTTCCATCTTCAGCACCAACTGAGTGTCATCGGCGTACTGGTCACACTCCCAAAACCCAAAACCTCGAACCAGCTGAACAAGTGGTCGCATAGAGATGTTAAACAAGAGAGGGGAGAGGATGGCCCCCTGAGGAGGAACCCCACAAGAGAGAGAGAGAGGGGGGGGGACCTCTCGGAGACCAGGCCTCCCCTCTCCACTCGCTCTCCACGGTTGTGAAGGAAGGAGGGGAGCCACTCTAAAGCTCTCCCCCTGACTCCAGCAACAGCAAGGCGGTGGGTCCAAAGATGGTGGTCAAGTGGGTCAAATATTAATTAATGCAGTTCGATGCCACTTTATCTGCCATGGTTCAATGCTATGGAATCCTAGGAGTTGTTTACAGCGTCTGCGCCAAAGAGTGCTTGCACTTCACTCTCAGGAATCCATAACGTTGAGCCAAGCAGGCAAAACAGTGTCAAACTGCATTAATTCTACAGTGTAGCCACACCCTAGGAATCTCTGGATCCTCCAATGCAATCTTCTGCTCAGCTTCCAGCAGATGTTGATCATATGCCGGGCCAAAAGATCTAGACATTCATAGATGTTTTCTAAGGTTTGAAAAAAAAATAACAATTTCTTTGTTTGCATTTTTTCCCCACTTTAATAGGCCTCCTGTACTCATAACGGCAGTTAATGTGAAGAGCTGACTATATTTATTATCAGTTCGAATCAATGAATACTATGCATCCAAAGCCAGGAAGGGCTGCTTACCGACGTGGAATCACTGAGGATGGAGGATTTCCCAGGTTCGTAATCATAGATACTCTTGGGCTCGACAACATCATTTGGTTCCCAAGGTCTCCTGAAAGGGAAGAGAAAGAGCTACATGGTTTGTCACTGATCACTTTTCCCTTGGAGTTTTGGAGTTTTTTAAACTCCAACACTCAAAGTCAATGCTCACCAAATCCATACAATATTTTCTGTTGGTCGTGGGAATTCTGTGTGCCAATTTTGGTTCAATTCCATCGTTGGTGGAGTTCAGAATGCTCTTTGATTGTAGGTGAACTATACATCCCAGCAACTACAACTCCCAAATGTCAAGATCTATTTCCCCCAAACTCCACCAGTGCTCACATTTGGGCATATTGAGTACTCGTGTAGAGTTTGGTCCAGATCCATCATTGTTTGAGTCCACAGTGCTCTCTGGATGTAGGTGAACTACAACTCCAAAACTCAAGGTCAATGCCCACCAAACCCTTCCAGTATTTTCTCTTCGTCATGGGAGTTCCGTGTAGAAAGTTTGGTTCAATTCCATCATTTGTGGAGTTCAGAATGCTCTTTGATTGTAGGTGAACTATACATCCCAGTAACTACAACTCCCAAATGTCAAGGTTTATTTTCCCCAAACTCCACATTTGGGCATATGGAGTATTCGTGCCAAGTTTGGTCCAGATCCATCATTGCTTGAGTCCACAGTGCTCCTTGGAAATAGGTGAACTACAACTCCCAAACTCAAGATCAACACCCACCAAACCCTTCCAGTATTTTCTGTTGGTCATGGGAGTTCTGTGTGCCAATTTTGGTTCAATTCCATCGTTGGTGGGGTTCAGAATGCTCTTTGATTGTAGGTGAACTATAAATCTCAGCAACTACAACTCCCAAGTGACAAAATCAACCCCTTCCCATATTCAAATGTATTCAAATGTGGGCAAATTGGGTATTTGTGCCAAATTTGGTCCAGTGAATGAAAATACATCCTGCATGTCAGATATTTACATTAAGATTCATAAGAGTAGAAAAATTACAATTGTGAAGTAGCAACAAAAATAATTTTTATGCTTGGCGGTCACCACAACATGAGGAACCATATTAAGGGGTCATGGCATTAGGAAGTTCGAGAACCACAGTCATAGCGGATGGAGCGACAGCACCCCCCAGTGGTCACAATCGAGCACAACCTCCAGGACGCCAAAGTTGGGGAAAATGCCGACATAATAACTCTATCTGTTGTCTGTCGTGTCTGTTTAACGGTATTGAATTTTTGTTGCATATGTGTTCTATGATCTGCCCACTGTAAATAAATAAATACTTACCAATCCAAGCCATTCTGTTGGCCAAATGAACTTCCTGATGCCAGGGTTGGTAACGGGCTATTTTTCACGAATCTCGGGTGCACGTGATCTGGAAAAGATCAAATGATTACTATTCAAGGCAAAACAGCGCTCGTTCTGCTAAGCTTGTCCTCCAAAACTCAATCTGAATCCACCAAACCTTTCTGGCCTTTTCCCACGACTGTGGGATATTTTTCTCCTCGAGATGTTCCACCATGGAGAGAAGAGCATTTCAATGGTTCTTCTATCCACTATTTTAGCAAATAGTGAGGTTCATTCCCACCTAGCATTTCTGTGTTCTCAAATAACATGCTGTGCCCAGGCTGGTTCATCAAATGCTCTTCGATAACTGACTTCCCTGATTTAATTAGTCTTTCAAATTGTTTGATTCATTTCTGGGTGCTAAGGAGATTCCACCTGAACATTAGGAAGGACTTCCTGACTGTGAGATCTGTTCAGCAATGGAACTCTCTGCCCCAGAGTGTGGTGGAGGCTCCTTCTTTGGAGGCTTTTAAACAGAGGCTGGATGGCCATCTGTCAGGGATGTTTTGAATGCAATATTTCTGCTTCTTGGCAGAATGGGGTTGGACTGGATGGCCTATGAGGTCTCTTCGAACCCTAGGATTCTATGTGAGAGCTGTTCAGCATTGGAACTCTCTGCTCTGGAGTGTGGTGGAGCTCCTTCTTTGGAGGCTTTCAAGCAGAGGCTGGATGGCCACCTGTCAGGGGTGCTTTGAATGCGATTTTCCTTCTTCTTGGCAGAATGGGGTTGGACTGAATGGCCCAGGAGGTCTCTTCCAACTCTAGGATTCTATTATTATTATTATTATTATTATTATTATTATTATTATTATTAAGCAGAGGCTGGGTGGCCATCTGTCAGGGTTGCTTTGAATGCAATATTCCTGCTTCTTGGCAGAATGGGGTTGGACTGAATGGCTCATGAGGTCTCTTCCAACTCTAGGATTCTATTATTATTATTATTATTATTATTATTATTATTAAGCAGAGGCTGGGTGGCCATCTGTCAGGGTTGCTTTGAATGCAATATTCCTGCTTCTTGGCAGAATGGGGTTGGACTGGATGGCTCATGAGGTCTCTTCCAACTCTATGATTCTATGTGAGAGCCGTTCCACAGTGGAACTCTCTGCCCCTGAGTGTGGTGGAAGCTCCTTCTTTGGAGGCTTTTAAACAGAGGCTGGATAGCCATCTGTCGGGGGTGCTTTGAATGTGATTTTCCTGCTTGGCAGAATGGGGTTGGACTGGATGGCTCATGAGGTTACTTCCAACTCTATGATTCTATGTGAGTGCTGTTCCACAGTGGAACTCTCTACCCCGGAGTATGGTGGAAGTTCCTTCTTTGGAGGCTTTCAAGCAGAGGCTGGATGGCCATCTGTCAGGGGTGCTTTGGATGCAATTTTCCTGCATCTTGGCAGAATGGGGTTGGACTGGTCAATTCCAACTCTAGGACTCTATGATTCTATGTTTGGTAGTCCCTATGTAGATACCTCCATGCAAAGACCCTCACTGATTGACTTTGCAAACTTCATGGCTACTCAAATACAAATTCAATCTTGCTTATTGCAACATTAACACTTGCTTCAAAAAACAAAAGAATGGCTCTTTCTCCCACCATGCACATGATTGCACAGGTATATTATTATTATTATTATTATTATTATTATTATTATTTACAGTATTTTATATTCCACCCTTCTCACCCTGCAGGGGACTCAGGTCGGATTACAATGCACATATACATGGCAAAAATTCAATGCCAATTAGACATACAACATGAGGTAATTTAACATTCCAGCAATTTAACATTCCAGCTTTCCAGCTTCATGAGGCTATGCTCGATTCCGGCCACAGAGGGAGCTGCCACTTCACCGTCCACTTGATGGAATATTTCCTCATTCTTCTACATGCTGCTGGAAGGTTTTATGGCATCGTAAATTATTTAACTTCGCCTCCCCACATGAAGCGGTACCTAAATTTCCTACTTGACAGATGCAACTGTCTTTTGGGCTGCAAAGGTTGATAGCAAGCTATACTAATGCCTGGAAGCTCACTCTGACCTGGGCTCACTTTGAACTCATGACCTCTCAGTCAGTAGTAATTTAATGCAGTTAGCTATCAACTAGCTGCACCACAGCCCGGTTCTCCACTATATATATATATTCTCTACTTGCTTCACTGCCAACAGAACCAGCCACAGGTGCAGGCAAAACGTCAGGAGAGAATGCCACAGAGCCTGAAAAACTCCCAGGAACCCAGTATTCATTCCCACAAGACGTGGCACCTCAGATGTGCATTTAGAAGCAGAAACCAATCCTCACCTCTGGCCTTGTAGGAGAAGTCCCAGTCCACTTCTGGTTCTGGAAGAGAATAGAGATGTTCAGGCAGGAAGTCTCTCCACTTTGAAGGGTCTTTAAAGAAGAACTGGGCTGGGCTTGGAAAACTGGGTCCATACAATCCCTCAAAATGATACTAGGCAAACTTGGGCCCTCCGGGTGTTTTGGACTTCAAATCCCACAAGTCCTAACAGCCAAAGTCCAAAACACCTGGAGGGCCAAAGTTTGCCCATGCCTGCACTAGGCTTAGATAGAAGCGGATTCACTCCTGGAAGGTGGCTTTAGGTTTGGGTGCTAGTTGTTCTTTCCTTATTGTTGCGTTTCCCAATTGTGTTTGTGCTTTGACTGGTGTTTATTTATTTTTACGGTGTTGCTCTCCCTTAGATTTTATTAGTATCTTCCTTCGGCAACATTTTTGATACAAAGATCAAACTTACTAATGAAAGATAATATAGTGTCCAAGTATACAAGCTCTCAAAAACTCTTACATGTCTTATCTGCTACAAAACAGGAGCTTTTTTGTTGAGTTCCAGGGCCAGAGAAGCAGATGGCGGAAACAGAAGAACGGCCTGCCTCAGGGGAGCGTGCTTGCTCCATCCATGATCAACATTTACACAAATGACCAGCCACGGCCAGAAGGGACAGAGAGCTTCATCTATGCTGATGATCGTGCCATCACTGCTCAAGCAGGGAGCTTTGAGATGGTTGGACAGAAACTCTCCGAAACTTAAGGCACTCTTACTGCCTATTATTACAGGGAAAAACAGCTGATCCCTAACCCATCTAAAACACAGACATGTGCCTTTCACCTGAAGAACAGACAAGCATCCCGAGCTCTGAGGATTATTACCTGGGAAGGAAGGAATCCCACGGGAGCATTGCAGCGCACCCAAATACCTGGGAGTCAGCCTGGACCATGCCCTGACCTACAAGAAGCACTGCCTGAACATCAAGCAAAAAGTGGGTGCTAGAAACAATATCATACGAAAGCTGACTGGCACAACCTGGGAATCACAACCAGACACAGTGAAGACATCTGCCCTTGCGCTATGCTACTCTGCTGCTAAGTACGCATGCCCAGTGTGGAACACATCTCACCACACTAAAACAGTGGATGTGGCTCTTCATGAGACATGCACATTATCACAGGGCCCTACACCACTGGAGATATGACACTGTCTAGCCAGTAATGCACCACCTGACATCCACCGGGAAGCAGCAGCCAATAGTGAAAGGACCAAGGCAGAGACATCTCCAGCTCATCCCTTGTTTGGGTATCAGCCAGCATGCCAACGCCTTAAATCAAGAAATAGTTTTCTTAGATCTACAGAGACACTCGCTGGAACACCCCAGCAAGTGAGAGACCAAAAGTGGCAGGCTCAGACCCAGAATCCCAACCAATGGCTGATACCCAATGAGAGACTCCCCCCTGGGCACACAGAAGACTGGGCGACTTGGAAGGCACTGAACAGACTGCGCTCTGGCACCACGAGATGCAGAGCCAACCTCAAGAAATGGGGCCACAAAGTGGAATCCACGACATGCGAGTGGGGAGAGGAGCAAACCACGGACCACCTGCTGCAATGCACCCTGAGCCCTGCCACATGATGCACAAGGGAGGACCTCCTTGCGTCAACACCAGAGGCACTCCAAGGGGCCAGAGACTGGTCAAAGGACATTTAATCAACGACCAAGCTTGCAAACTTTGTTTTGTCTGTTTGTTAAACATTTGTTAAAAATGTAATACAATTGTCTGGTTGATACTGACACGATAAATAAATAAAAATCAGCCTCCAAATTTCGAGAGAGTGAGACATCAAAATTATCCATCGACTCTGTAATTTACTGTTTTTGTATTCAACAAGGCAACTTGTTGATGATCTTCGCCGGGAGCTGGACAGGGGGAGTGTGTCCCTGTTGGGGCTGCTGGACCTCTCAGCGGCCTTCGATACCATCGACCACGGTATCCTTCTGGAGCGCCTTGCAGGGATGGGTCTCGGGGGCACTGTTTTACAGTGGCTCCGGTCATTCCTGGAGGGTCGCTCCCAGAAGGTGTTCTTGGGGGACACCTGTTCAACGCCACAACCCTTGTCGTGTGGGGTTCCTCAGGGCTCAATACTGTCCCCCATGCTGTTTAACATCTACATGAAGCCGCTGGGAGAGATCATCCGGAGTTTCGGGGTGCGGTGTCATCTGTACGCGGATGATGTCCAACTCTGTCACTCCTTCCCACCTGCTACTAAGGAGGCTGTCAAGGTCCTGAACCGGTGCCTGGCCGCTGTGACAGTCTGGATGAGGGCGAACAGATTGAAATTGAATCCAGACAAGACAGAGGTCCTCCTGGTCAGTCGCAAGGCCGAGCAGGGTATAGGGTGACAGCCTGTGCTGGATGGGGTCGCACTCCCCTTGAAGGCGCAGGTTCGCAGCTTGGGTGTGATCCTGGATTCATCGTTGAGCCTGGAGCCCCAGGTCTCGGCGGTGACCAGGGGAGCATTTGCACAGCTTAGGCTCGTGCGCCAGCTGCGCCCGTACCTTGGGAAGTCTGACTTGGCCACGGTAGTCCACACTCTGGTTACATCCCGTTTAGACTACTGCAACGCTCTCTACGTGGGGTTGCCTTTGAAGATGGCCCGGAGTGGCAGCCATGATACTAACAGGAGCGGGACACAGGGAGCATACAACCCCCTGCTGTACCAGCTCCACTGGCTGCCGATCTGCTACTGGGCTCAATTCAAGGTGCTGGCATTGGCCTATAAAGCCCTAAACGGTTCCGGCCCAAAATACCTAACTGACCGCCTCTCGGCCTATGAGCCCACGAGGACTTTGAGATCTTCCGGGGAGGCCCTGCTCTCGATCCCGCCTGTGTCACAGGCACGGCTGGCGGGGACGAGAGATAGGGCCTTCTCGGTGGTGGCTCCTCGGCTGTGGAACACCCTTCCCGTGGACATCAGGCTAGCCCCCTCCCTGCTAATATTCCGCAGGAAGTTAAAGACCTGGCTATTTAAGAAGGCATTTGATCAATAAGTGCAATGACTGGCAATTGACCATAGGAATGGAACACCGGAAATGAGATCGGATTGTGGCTTGACGATGAGACGATTCGGATTGTAGTAGTAATTTTGTAGTAATGTTGTTGTCTGATAAGATGTTTTTATGATTATGATGAATTGTACACTGTTTTGCACTATGCTTTGTAGATTGCACTTGTTTTCTTCATGTTGTACACCGCAATGAGTTGCCCTTGGGGCTGAGAATTGCGGTATATAAGCGCAATAAATAAATAAATTGCTTTTGTTTGGGTACCTAAGACATATTATTATTATTATTATTATTATTATTATTAACTTTATTTGTACCCCGCTAGCATCTCCCGAAGGACTCGATGTGGCTTACAAAGGCCAAGGCCTCAAAAACATAGCATAACAAATACACAACTCAAAGCAAATCAAAACAATTAAAGCAATATCAAAAACAACAGAACAATAAAACAATACACCAAACACAATAAAACTGGGGCCGGGCCAAATGTAATGGGTACAGATTAAAAGTGCTGATGTGACAGGTGGTATGTCGGATTTTAGGGTAAGTGCAGTGTGCAAGCAATCTTAAAGTCTAATAAAGTGCTTCTGGGACAGGTTGTTGGAGTTTTCCTATTCTGGAAAGGTACATCGGAACAGCCAAGTCTTCAAGTTCTTCCTAAAGACTGCCAACCTAGGGGCCTGTCTAATGTCTTTGGGGAGGTTGTTCCGGAGTCGGGGGGCCACCACAGAAAAGGCCCTGTCTCGCGTCCCCACCAGACGCGCCTGCGACGCAGGGGGAATCGCGAGCAAGGCCTCTCCGGATGAGCAAAGAGAATGTGTGGGTTCATAGACGGAGATGCAGTCACGCAGGTAGGCAGGTCCCAAACCGTTTAGGGCTTTGTAGGTAAGCACCTGCACCTTGAATTGGGCTCGGGAGATAAACGGCAGCCAGTGGAGCTCCTTGAACAGGAGGGATGACCTCTCTCTGTAAGGAGCACCAGTTAACATCCTGGCCGCCGCTCGTTGGACCATATCTGAGTCTCCTTTGTGGAGAGAAGAAGCAGGGAACACGCAACAACAACAGCAGCAGCAGTCCAACCTCCGTATTTGCAGGATATATGTTACTGAATTTACTGTGCAAACAGGAAATCATGCAGAACAGAAACCCCTATCGAAATGGATGTTTACTATGCCTAGCTGTCTTTGGTGGCCAGAGTTGTACTCCCCCTTGGGCTCTAAAAAGTGTTTCCCAAATCCCGAAACCAGCTGCAAATCAGCAACACAAAAAAGGGGGATGCAGAACAGTTGTAACCACCACTAGAGGCTGCTCAGCAACCATGAGGAAATGTCCCCAAAAGGATAAATTTCAAGAATTGTTCCTTGCTCCGGGTTTCAGAGCCAGATACAAGTACGATGCTCAAACTGAGCAGAGCCATACCATGCAACTTGCTGTGGATCTGCTGAAACATGCTGCGATACCAGTCCCGGGGGCTATCCACGCTCTGGAAGGAGAGAAATCAGACATGCAAAGTCACTAGAGAGGAGGGAGGGGATCAAAGGAATGAGAGTGCTGGGCAGGGAAGAAGGTCACACCCAAACAGACATTGCCATGGGTTGCTGTGAGTATTTCAGGGTGTATGGCCATGTTCCAGTAGCATTCTCTCCTGACATTTTGCCTGCATCTGTGGCAAGCATCCTCAGAGGTTTGTTCAGAGGTCTGTTGGAGGTGAGGCAAGTGGAATGTGTGTCTGTAGGTAGGTAAGTAAATGGAAAGGTTTCCCCCTGACATTAAGTCCAATCGTATCCGACTCTAGGGGTTGGTGCTCATCTCCATTTCTCAGCCAAAAAGCTGGCATTGTCCGTATGGCCAGCATGACTGCATGCAGCACCATTACTTTCCCGCCAGAGCAGTACCTATTGATCTACTCACACTTGCATGTTTTCAAGTGAGTGAGTGCCCATATATGTGTGTGTGTGTGTGTGTGTCCAAGGTAGAAGAAAGAGCCCTTGTCTCATAGAATCCTAGAATCCAAGAGTTGGAAGAGACCTCGTGGGCCATCCAGTCCAACCCCATTCTGCCAAGAAGCAGGAATATTGCATTCAAATCACCCCTGACAGATGGCCATCCAGCCCCTGTTTAAAAGCTTCCAAAGAAGGAGCCTCCACCACACTCCGGGGCAGAGAGTTCCACTGCTGAACAGCTCTCACAGTCAGGAAGTTCTTCCTCATGTTCAGCTGGAATCTCCTCTCTTGTAGTTTGAAGCCATTGTTCCATTGTGTCCTAGTCTCCAGGGAAGCAGAAAGGAAGCTTGCTCCCTCCTCCTCCCTGTGGCTTCCTCTCACGTATGTATACATGGCTCTCATCATATCTCCTCTCATCCTTCTCTTCTTCAGGCTAAACATGCCCAGCTCCTTAAGCCACTCCTCATAGGGCTTGTTCTCCAGACCATTGATCATTTGAGTCACCCTCTTCCTCTGGACACATTCCAGCTTAGAGTCAATATCTCTCTTGAATTGTTGTGCCCAGAATTGGACACAATATTCCAGGTAAAGTGGTCTAACCAAAGCTGTTTAAAGCAAGTGTGAATGTTGCAATTAGCAAGCTTGAATAGCATTGAGTAGACATGAAGTTTGCAAAGTCAGCCAGTGAGGGTATTTGCATAGCAGTAGTATAGAGGTAGCCTGGCAGTTGTTGCCTGGAGGCATGCTCTGTTTGGGAGGTGTTAACTGGCACTTTGCTGTCTGGGGTTCTCCTGTCTCTGAGTGGTGTTCTTTATTTACTGTCTTGATTTTGGTGTGTTTTTAATACTGGTATCCAGATTTTGTTCATTTTCATGGTTTCCTCCTTTTGTGCACATGCTTGTGGATTTCAAGGGCTGCTCTGTGAAGTCTGACATAATGGTCGTCAGAGTGGTCTAGAATTTCTGTATTCTCAAATAATATTCTGTGTCCAGGTTGGTTCATCGAGTGGTCTGCTATGGCTGACTTCACTGATCGACTTTGCAGCTTCGTGGCTGCTCAATGCTATGGAAACTTGCTAATTGCAACATCCACACTTGCTTTAAACAGACAAGGGTTCTTTCTCCCACCCTGGATAGATAGATAGATAGATAGATAGATAGATAGATAGATAGATAGACATATACATACATATATACTCCCACTTGCCTCACTTCCAGCATACCTCTGAACAAACCTCTGAAGATGCCACAGAAACAGGTGAAACGTCAGGAGAGAATGCTACTGGAACATGGCCATACAATCCAGAAAACTCATAGCAAGCCAGTGATTTCAGCCATGAAAGCCTTTGACAAGACATTGCCATGTTTTTTACATTTTCATGTTGAGCATAACATGCAAGTATCGTTAGGAAAATACAGCAGCCAGTACAATCTGCCCTCAACATTAGTTGAGACTAAAAGACACATTTACATTTATTATTTTACTCTATTTGTTATTATTACATTTATTATTTTACTCTATTATTACTATTTCTATTATTATTATTATTATTTTACTCTATTTATTATTATTGGAGGACATGTAAGCATATTTACATTGAAGAAGGTTAGAATAATGGTTTAATCAGAGTTGGACAGTCTTATCTTGAATTACAGTTTTATGTAAATACTAGGCCTGTGCGGTTTCGTTCGTTAATTTCGTAATTCGTTAAACATTCGTTAATTTTTGCATTTATGAAACGATAACAAACCATATTTTCAAACCCGGAAGGGTTTTTAAATATCGAAACGGCAACCCCCACAGTTTTAACGAGCTTTCACCCGTTTCGTAAATGGGGCGGGCAGGGGCGAAGGGGCGGCGCGAGCGCGCACCCAGTGAGCCAAGCCCCGCGCCTGCCTGTTGGGCGCGAGCGCGGCTCCCGATTGGCCGGCCCGCGCGCGCTCGCCCTTAGGGAGCCAAGCCTTGTTCCTGCCTGTTGGGCGCGAGCGCGGCTCCCGATTGGCCGGCGCGCGGAGGCCGGTTGTCTCTTTAAGGCGCCTCTCTCTCCCAGCTGTGTTGCAGGAAGTGCCAGGAGGAGGAGGAGGAGGAGGGCGCAGGAGCCGGAGCGCAGGAGCCGGGGAGGGGATTCCTGCAGCACCGGCTCTGCCTCCGTGGCCCGCCTGAGATGAGTATTTGTGAGGTTGGGACTGGATACAACTGGAGATACATGCAAGAATTAGTGAAATGGTGAGAATTCATGCCTCCTGCCATTTCACAGCATTTCTCTCCAGTTGAATGAATGAGTAGTAGCATCACACCCACTGCCTCAAGAGCAGAAGCAGGCAACTGCCAACCCTGCTGCCACTATCAGAACTGGCTGCTCATTACTGTGTTTCCATCAATCATAGGAGGGACACTAACTTGGTCTGAGATCCAACAATGGAAGCAAAGGGGATAGGAGAAGAAAGCTGTTGATTTCATGGGGTCTCTCTTCCAGGCCAGGATGGGAGGTTGTTGCCATCCCACTCTCTATACCTCACTTCCGCTGAGTGGTTGCAGAGGCACAAGAACCAGGCATCCTTCTACTAAAAAGAATTTTAACGAATCGATTCGTTATACCCTTAACGGATCGACCCCGCGCCAATAACGAAGCTTCGGAAGTGTTTTTGCGCATGCGCGGGGGTCCGCCATCTTTACAAAATGTTTTGTAAATATTTACGAAATTTCGTAAATACCGAAACTTTTTTTTGGGAAAATTTTGTAATTATTTTAAATATCGAAACAAAAAAACACCCCAATTACAAATCGATTTTAGAACCAAATTTTTTCTTGATCAACCAGGCCTAGTAAATACTAGCCGTCCCTTGCCATGCGTTGCTGTGGCCCACATGGGAGTTCTGTGTGGGAGGTTTGGCCCAATTCTATCGTTGGTGGTATTCAGAATGCTATTTGATTGTAGGTGAACTATAAATTCCAGCAACTACAACTCCCAAATGTTAAGGTCTATTTCACTTAAACTCCATCTGTGTTCATATTTGGGCATATGGAATATTCGTGCCAAGTTTGGTCCAGATCCATCATTGTTTGAGTCCACAAACAATCCATCATTGTTTGAGTCCACAGTGCTCTCTGGATGTGGGTGAACTACAATTCCCAAACTCAAAGTCAATGTCCACCAAACCCTTCCAGTTTTTTTTCTGTTGGTCAGGGGAGCCCTGTGTGCCAAGTTTGGTTCAATTCCATTATTGGTGGAGTTCCGAATGCTCTTTGATTGTAGGTGAACTATAAATCCCAGCAACTACAACTCCCAAACTCAAGGTCAGTGTCCACCAAACCCTTCCAGTTTTTTTCTGTTGATCAGGGGAGCCCTGTGTGCTAAGTTTGGCCCAATTCCATCATTGGTGGAGTGCAGAATGCTCTTTGATTGTAGGTGAACTATAAATCCCAGCAACTACAACTCCCAAACTCAAGGTCAGTGTCCACCAAACCCTTCCAGTTTTTTTCTGTTGCTCATGGGAGCCCTGTGTGCTAAGTTTGGCCCAATTCCATCATTGGTGGAGTGCAGAATGCTCTTTGATTGTAGGTAAACTATAAATCCCAGCAACGACAATTCCCAAATGACAAAATCAATTTTTTTTTTAGTGGAGGACATACATTGGACTGTTAGGTGTATTGTGTCCACATTTGGTGTCAATTCCCCCAGTGGTTTTTGAGTTCTGATGGTAGCACCAACTAACATTACATTTTTATTTATATAGTTTCAAAAACATTTAATCTACTGATGCCTAAATTAATATAATTTTATTGGTATCTATTGCTATTTTGAAACTGACCAGTAGCGGCTGCATTTCCCACCCTCGGCTTAGACTCGAGTCAATCCATTTCCCCAGTTTTTGTGGTAAAATTAGGTGCCTCATCTTATATTCGGATCGGCTTATACTTGAGTATATATGGTACTATTTACCTGAAATAGCACCTGTCTTCAGACTTGGGCAGTTTTGATTATTCATAAATATGATTCTTATGGTCTCTCTAAAGAATCTCTAGGGCTGGATTGACTCTGCCCTATATCCCAGGATCTGATTCCAGATTATCTGTTTTGAACTGGATTATACAAATCTCTACTGCCAAATAATCTGGGATAAGAAGATAATCTGGGATCGGATCCTCGGCAGTACAGATCCAGCCGAGGTCCTCCAGGAGAACTCTATAGCCAACTTCGGGCAGATGCTGGACAGAATCACATTGGAGGAAACAGAGATTCCTGGGGAAGTGTTCTCTCTGGTTTGAAGACAAATCACATTCTGATTCATTATTTTCCCACTTTTGCAAAGATCTTGACCACTTAACCCAAGTGAATGTGTAGGATGGACTGCATATGCATCTCAACAATACTTGGTGGTCTGTGGCAACAAAAGAAAAGATTAAGGACCTTGCTATAAGCATTTCCCGTTCGTAAACAATGATCCATAGCGTAATGGATGGCCCAAGAGACTCCCACCTCCTGTTCCCTTGGCTAAAGGATCTCTATCTAGAAGAGCGGAGATGAGAAGACCAGCCAAGGAGCGGGGACCTCTGCATTTGCTCTCCTTACCGATCGGGAAGCGATGGGCATCCCAGTCTCATCCACCGGCCCGATCCCATCATACTTCAACCACCGTTTTTCCTTTCTCCGGCCATCTTTGGTCCAAGTCGCTGACCATCCTGGCTGCGGCGTGCCGTTGACAGCGGGATCCACCGATGAACCAGCGGGACCCACTGATGAACCCACCGATGAACCGTAAGACTGCAATGGCCTGAGTTCTTTAGCCGGCCAAGTTGGGTACCAATTATTTCCTGCAGAGACAGAGAAGGAGTGCGTTAGTGGTGCATCGCTGTCTGGAAGGAGATGTGGCCCAGTTTGTGTATATGTGTTTTGTGTGTGTATATATGTGTATATGTGTGTGTATATATTTGTGTATATGTGGTTTCCAGCTACAGATATATATACTAGCTGTCCCCTGCCATGCATTGCTGTCGCCCAGTCTGTGTATATGTGTTTTGTGTGCGTATATGTGTGTGTGTATATTTGTGTATATGCGGTTTTGCACATGCATTGTAATGTATTTTGTATTTCTTGGCTTTTAAAGTCTCTTCTGCTGTTTTTATCAGTGCTTTTATGAGTGATGATCACAATGTCACAAGATTTCAATGTGCAGATTTGAGAAATATGAATATGATGTGTGGGAATGAGTGGAAGAATGGAAGGATGTGTGGTTGGAGTTAATAATTTTGGAAACACCAGCCTGCAATGACTAACTACCTGCTTGCAGGAACTGTGATCAAAACCTGCTAATGAGAATGGATAAGAACTGTGACAATGGTTCTTTCAAGTTAAGGAAATGTTTGCAACCTTCCTTATGTTAAGAAGGAAGTCAACTTAAGATCCACACCAATCAAGAAGATCAACATCTGGCCAGGAAACTGAGATGGAGCCAGGATGGAAGGCGTCTATCATTCATTTACAACTTTGGGACGACATCAGCAGAATATTCCTATAAGAGACTCAGTCTAATAATGCTCAAAGTGTGGCAGACCTGAGGAGTCTGTCTACGCGTAGGAAGGAGAGAGAGAGTGTACCTATGGAGAGTGTCAGATATGCTGTGGGAAAGTGTGATTGTGGTCACTTTGGGGCTTCTTTCTCAAGGGAAGAGGAAGAAGTGCACTTTTGGAGTGTTGCATTTTGTGCAAGGAGTCGGGTTCTGCTGTAGGGAAAACAGAGATCTGGTCCCTGGTGTTGTTCTTAGGGAAAGGATGCATTTTGGTATTTTGAAGTTATGGAAGTTTTGGAACTATACGTTGGCAGGCTGCAGGAAAGCAGGGTCCGGCCTAAGAGGTGCTTCTCCAAGGAGGAAGAAAAGGATATGGTAATATTTGGATGCATGTGGATGGATGTGTGTACATGTGGCGTGAATGTTGCGTGAAAATGTAATTCCCCTTTGTTTGTTTGTTTGTTTGTTTGTTTGTTTGTTTGTTTGTTAACCAATGTAATTGTAAATCCAATGCAGTTGCATAGAATCTGTGTGTCTGCATGTCCAATGTCATTCTTTGTCTAAATGTTTTTCTGTAATCTGATGTCCCCTCTCACACTGGAAATTGCAATAAAAAGAACCTATGCTGCAAAGTCATTGAAAAGTCACTCATGACATAATTGGGTTCAGAAGTTGGCCTGAGAGGTGTCTTGTGTCCAAATTTGGTGTCAATTCGTCCAGTGGTTTTTGAGTTCTGTTAATCCCACAAACGAACATGACATTTTTATTTATATAGATTATTGTTTCTGGGACATGGCCATACATCCTGGAAGACTCACAGCAACCCAGTGATTCCAGCCATGAAAACCTTCAACACCAAGTTAGTCTATTCTATTCTATTCTATTCTATTCTATTCTATTCTATTCTATTCTATTCTATTCTATTCTATTCTATTCTATTCTATTCTATTCTATCAGCTCTAGTCCACTTCTGTGTTCATTCACATCAGAGTTGCATTCACTAGATGACAGGGTTGTTGTAGGTTTTTTCGGACTATATGGCCATGTTCTAGAGGCATTCTCTCCTGACGTTTCACCTGCATCTATGGCAAGCATCCTCAGGATGCTTGCCATAGATGCAGGCAAAACGTCAGGAGAGAATGCCTCAAGAACATGGCCACATAGCCTGAAAAAACCTACAACAACCCAGTGATTCTGGACTAGATGACATTCTTTGCATCATCAATGGCTTATCGGAGGGAGCCAAGCCATAAGCAGGAGGCATCACAATGAATATCTGGGTCATGTAACATGCTGCTGGATTAACTGCAGAGTCTTGTTATCCCCTCCAATTAAGTTCTACGTCCAAAAAGCACTTTTTCACAATCCCTGGAGAGGTCTGATGGAAGAGAACACAGAGAAAGCTGAGCCTGAAAGCCTGAGTCTATTTCTCAACAGCCATCAAGGCTCAAGTAAGCGGACAACAGGAAGATAAAGCGGCCAAGGCGACAAGGTGTCCGGCTCTTCTTGCCAAAGGGAGTCAATTATCTCTTCCATTCTTGGCTGCGGTTACCTAGGTTGTTCCACTGGGCTGTTTTCTGATGCTGTGGATGGGGTATCCCATTGTACACCGTGCGCGGCGGTGAGTCACGGAATTCAAAATTCAGGGTGTTCGAACCACAATTGCGGATGACGGGTACCTTTAAGGAATGGACACAACAACAGAGTCTGTTAGGACGCAACAGTTCCCCCTCCTTCATGTGTGTTCCACCATCCAGGAGAACTCCCAAGCTTCGAATCTGTGCCTTCAAGGGGAGTGTGACCCCGTCCAGCAGAGGTTGCGACCCTATACCCTGTTTGGCCTTGCGACTGACCAGGAGGACCTCTGTCTTGTCTGGATTCAACTTCAATTTGTTCGCCCTCATCCAGACCGTCACAGTGGCCAGGCACTGGTTCAGGACTTGGACAGCCTCCTTTGCATCCGGTGGAAAGGAGTGATAGAGTTGGACGTCATCTGCGTACAGATGGCATCGAACTCCAAAGCTCCGGATGATCTCACCCAGCGGCTTCATGTAGATGTTAAACAACATGGGAGACAGTATTGAGCCCTGCCGGACCCCACAGTGGCCGCGGGGCCGAGCAGGAGTCCTCCAGCAACACCCAATATTCCCAAATATAAACACAGAGGGAAAATAGAATCTTGACATTTGGAAGTTGTAGTTGCTGGGATTTATAGTTCACTTACAATCAAAGAGCATTCTGAACCCCAACAATGATAGAATTGGGCCACATTTCCCACAGAACCCTCATGCCTTGAAGGGACTTACTGGTGCAAATCTCCCTCCAGCCTCACATGCTCTCCCTTGCCTCGTACATGTGCACCATGCTGCCATGCGCCGAACATGCCTGCTCTCCCCTCTCCACATGGAGTCTCAGAAACGGCTCTCCCCTTGGCTGAGAGGTCAGCCAATCACAGCGGAGGAGGGTTTTTTGGGGGGGGGGGGAGGATTCACCACTGTCTGTTTCCAAAAAGGAAGAGAAGGACAGGCAGAGAGATCTTCAGCCTTCTCTGCCAAAGGGCTTCCTAAGACCACCAGAAATATGTTTTCTGATGGGCTTTGGGGATCCCTCTGAAACCCCCTGGCAACCCCCTCAGGGGTCCCGACCCCCAGTTGAGTAATATTGCTTTTTCTGCAGAAGTTAGATGGCAGTAGAACTCAAAGTGGGGTTGCCTCTGAAGACTGCCCGGAAGCTCCAACTAGTCCAACGCTTGGCAGCCAGACTACTACCGGGTGCTGGGTACAGGGAGCACACCACTCCGCTGTTACACCAGCTCCACTGGCTGCCAATTAGCTTCCGAGCACAATTCAAAGTGCTGGTCTTAACCTATAAAGCCCTAAACGACTCCGGCCCTGTTTACCTCTCCGAACGTATTCTCCCCTATGAACCATCAAGGTTGTTAAGATCGTCAGGAGAGGCCCTGCTCTCGGTCCCATCGGCCTCGCAAGCACGTCTGGTGGGGACGAGGGACAGGGCCTTCTCGGTGGTGGCCCCTCAGCTCTGGAACTCTCTCCCACTGGAGATCAGAACCGCCCCTTCCATATTGTTGTTCAGAAAACAGGTGAAAACTTGGCTATGGAGATTGGCTTTCGACGAGTGAGTCAATATTCTGTGATAGGGATGGATGACGACGAATGACGAACAACGATTTTATTGTGACGACTGACAATTGGAATTATGTGATTGCATTTTGCTATTTTAGTGTTTTAGTTTAATATGTAATATGATGCTTTTAATGACTGTTTGTGATATTACTGTTGGAAACCGGCCCGAGTCCCTCGTCAGAGGAGAGAAGACCGGAATACAGAACTGCTAAATAAATAATAAATAAAATAAAGTGGCAGACCTCAGGAAAGTTACTTTTTGGGGAATTGAGCCCCCCAATTTCTCCAGTCAACATTCAGGGACCTCGTGCCAGTTGCATCTCTTCTCCAAACAAAGAAAGAGACTCTCATCAAGTTACAAAAACAATCCCATCAAATAGGGAAAAAAAAATGACTCCATGGCTGCAGAACATCAAGAGGGGAAAAAACAAATAACAGCGAAAGGAAAGGAACGGAACAAAAGAGCTGGAAAAGAAAAGAGTGGAAAAGATGCGTGGATTGGAAAGGGAGCAGAGAAAGAAAAGCGATTATCTGAAGAGGCCACTTCCTGTTCACATGCTCTGATTCACACTGAGAAACGCGCAGGAGCAAAACAAAAACAGCACAGTGGGACAGAGCGTGATCCAGGGGCACCACACACTGGAGAGGGACCAAGGCAAGGAAGAGAAATCTGGGTTGGAATTGAAATTTAGCACTCTGGGAAGGGTATGGTCGGTGGCTCACAATGGGACACAGCACGAAACATTGCGATTTTTGTCACAGGTTTAGGTTGGCGAGTATGGATTGCAGACTATGGATGCATCTACATCAGGCATTGCTTACTTACTTAGGCGATCCCTCGTTGGGCGAGTAAGATGGTCTTCCTTGATGACTATTTTTGTGGGTTTTTAGGTGGCTGTGGAGCCCTACTCTTCACCCGCATCTTCTCCCACAGTGAAGGCATTGGTTTCTAGGTCGGGGTTGGCTTGACGCGCCTCCCTCCTGGCACGTTTCTCTCTTTCACCCTCCATTCGTGCCTCCTCAAATTCTGCAGCACTGCTGGTCACAGCTGACCTCCAGCTGGAGCACTCAAGGGCCAGGGCTTCCCAGTTCTCAATGTCTATGCCAGAGATTTTAAGGTTGGCTTTGAGCCCATCTTTGAATCTCTTTTCCTGCCCACCAACATTCTGTTTTCCATTCTTAAGTTCAGAGTAGAGCAACTGCTTTGGGAGACAGTGGTCAAGCATCCGGACAACGTGGCCAGCCCAGCGGAGTTGATGGCAGAGGACCATCGCTTCAATGCTGGTGGTCCTACATCAGGTATAAGCAAACATGCGCCCTCTGGGTGTTTTGGACTCCAACTCCCACAATTCCTAACAGCGCTCTCTGGACCATCCTCCAAAAAATTGGGTTCCCTAAAAAATTTGTGAAAATCCTGCGGCTCCTCCATGATGACATGGTGGCAACAGTCTTGGACAGCAATGGCTCCCAAAGTGACCCATTTAAGGTGGAATCGGGTGTCAAACAGGAATGATGTGTTATTGCCCCAACTTTATTTTCCATCTTCATTGCTATGATACTTCATCTTGTTGATGGGAAGCTTCCCACTGGAGTGGACATCATCTATCGGACAATGTATTGTTGAAGGCTTTCACGCCAGAATCACTGGGTTGTAGGTTTTTTTGGACTATATGGCCATGTTCTAGAATACCTCTAGAACATGGCCATATAGCCCAAAAAAACCTACAACAATCCATCTATCAGACAGATGGCAAGCTGTTTAATCTCAGCAGACTGAAAGCAAAAACTAAAATTACAACAACATAGAACTCCAGTATGCTGATGACAACATCGTCTGTGCGCATTCAGAAGAAGACCCACAAGCCACTCTAAACACCTTTGCAGAAGCATACGAGAAGCTCGGCCTGTCATTGAACATCGAGAAAACCAATGTGTTCTTCCAGCAAAAGTCACCAGCCAATCCCTCTCCAATGCCAGAAATGCAGCTTAATGGTGTAACATTAGAAAATGTGGACCATTCTGCTCCCTTGGCAGCCACCTCTCCACCAAAGTCAATATCGACGCCGAAATACAACACCGCCTGAGCTCTGCGAGTGCAGCATTTTCCCGAATGAAGCAGAGAGTGTTTGAGGACCGGGACATCCGTAGGGAGACCAAGGTGCTTGTCTATAAAGCTATTGTCCTCCCAACCCTGCTCTACGCCTGCGAAACGTGGACTGTCTACAGACGTCACATGCAACTCCTGGAATGATTCCATCAGCGCTGCCTCCGGAAAATCCTGCAAATCTCTTGGGAAGACAAGCGGACAAACGTCAGTGTGCTGGAAGAAACAAAGAACACCAGTATTGAAGTGATGCTCTTCCGCCATCAACTCCACTGGGCCGGCCACGTTGTCCGGATGCCCGACCACCGTCTCCCAAAGCAGTTGCTCTACTCCGAACTCAAGAACGGAAAACGGAATGTTGGTGGGCAGGAAAAGAGATTGAAAGATGGCCTCAAAGCCAACTTTTAAAACCCTGGCATAAACACTGAGAACTGGGAAGCCCTGGCCCTTGAAAAACTCCAGCTGGAGTTCAGCTGTGGCCAGCAATGCTGCAGAATTTGAAGAGGCACGAATGGAGGGTGAAAGAGAGAAACATGCCAAGAGGAAGGTGCCTCAAGCCGACCCTGAATGGGACTGCCTTCCACCTGGAAACCGATGCCCTCACTGTGGGATAAGATGCAGGTCAAGAAGAGGGCTCCACAGTCACCTACGGACCCTCTGCCAAGACACCAATCTTGGAAGACTATCCTACTCGGACTATGAGGGATCACCTAAGTAAGTAAGTTAGGAATTGTGGGAGTTGAAGTCCAAAACACCTGGAGGGCCCAAGTTTGCCCAGTCAATGCTGTGGGATCCTGGGAGTTGTAGTTTGGTGAAGCACCAGCACTACCCCCAGGATTCCATAACATGCAATCATGGCACTTCAAGTGGGTTCAAACTGCATTACTTTTGCAGTGTAGACGAACCCTTGGGAAACAAACTACTCTGTTTCTCTGAAATGTTTGCATGGCAAGTTCCCCAAAACTCACCCTGCGACGCGAAGGGACTTGACTGCCTTGCGGAGTAGATGTGGCCTGAGGAGATATCAGGCTGGAGCTGTGGGCAAACGGCGAGCTCCTCTGAAGGTGCGAAGGGATGAAGTCGTCCAGGCTGAGTCCCAGGTTGGCCTCGGGGGCCCCGGCCCTAGAGATGAGGCTGGGCATCTCTGCTGCGACGGAGGAGGAGGAGGAGGAGGAGGAGAGAGGGCCTCCAGGACCAAGACGAGGATGACGCTCACTAGACGAGATGCCCTGGGTGGGTTACAAAAGGAGAGGGTGCCTTTAATACAGTCCCCAAGTTATGAACAAGATAGGTTCTGTAGGTTTGTTCCTCAGGTGAATTTGTATGTAAGTCGGAACAGGTACATTTTCTGAGTGTAACTCCACATCTATAAATAAAAATGTAATGTTGGTTTGTGGGATTGACGTAACTCAAAAACCACCGGGGGAATTGACACCAAATTTGGACACAAGACACCTCTCAGGCCAACGAGTGACCATCACTCAGAAAAACACTGAAAAATACATTACAATGCATGCACAAAACCATATATATATATATATATACACACACACACACACACACACACACGCAAACACACATATACACAAATATATACACACATATATACACACCCAAAACACATATACACAGACTGGGCCACAGCAACTCGTGGCAGGGGACGGCTAGTCTATAAATAAAAATGTAATGTTCGTTTGTGGGACTAACAGAACTCAAAAACCACTGGGTGAATTGACACCAAATTTGGACACAAGACACCTACTAACCTAAGGAGTGACCATCACTCAAAAAATGGATTTTGTCATATGGGAGTTGTAGTTGCTGGGATTTATAGTTCACCTAAAATCAAAGAGCATTCTGAACCCCACCAATGATGGAACTGAACCAAATTTGGCACACAGTTCTCCCATGACCAAGAGAAAATACTGGAAGGGTTTGGTGTGCAGTGTCCTTTGGGTTTGGTGTTGTAGTTCACCTACATCCAGGGATCACTGTGGACTCAAACAATGAGAGATCTGGACCAAACTCTACACGAATACCCAATATGCCCAAATGTGAACACTGGTGGAGTTTGGGGAAAATAAAATCTTGACATTTGGGAGTTGTAGTTGCTGGGATTTATAATTCACCTACAATCACAGAGCATTCTGAACTCAACCAATGATAGAATTGGGCCAAACCTCCCATACAGAACCCCCATGTGGGCCACAGCAACGCGTGGCAGGGGATGGCTAGTCTATCTATATAAATGTAATGTCTGTTTGTGGGATTAACATAACTCAAAAACCACTGGGCGAATTGACACCAAATTTGGACACAAGACACCTAACAACCCAATGTATGTCCTTCACTAAAAAAATGATTTTGTCATTTGGGAGTTGTAGTTTGCTGGGATTTATAATTCACCTACAATCAAAGAGCATTCTGAACCCCACCAACGATGGAATTGAACCAAATTTGGCACACAGTTCTCCCATGACCAACAGAAAATACTGGAAGGGTTTGGTGGGCAGAGTCCTTTGGTTTTGGAGTTGTAGTTTACCTACATCCAGAGATCACTGTGGACTCAAACAATGATTGATCTGGACCAAAGTTGGCTCAAATACTCAATATGCCCAAATGTGAACATTGCTGGAGTTTGGGGAAAATAGAATCTTGACACTTGGGACTTGTAGTTGCTGGGATTTATAGTTCACCTACAATCACAGAGCATTCTGAACCCCACCAATGATAGAAATGGGCCAAACTCAGCACCCCCCGAATCAAAATCCTGGCTACGGGCCTGATCCTGCATATCAGATATCTCCATTACAATTCATAGGTAGGTAAAGGTAGTCCCCTGACATGAAGTCCAGTCATGTCTGACTCTGGGGTGTGGTGCTCATCTCCATTTCTAAGCCGAAGAGCCAGCGTTGTCCGTAGACATCTCCAAGGTCATGTGGCCACTGGCATGACTGCATGGAGCGCCGTTACAATTCATAACAACAGCAAAAACATATTTATGAAGAATGTTCTGGTTGAGGGTCACCACAACAGGAGGAACTGTATTAAGGGGTCGCGGCATTAGGAAGGATGAGGAACATTGCATTAAGAAGAACTTCCTGACAGAGTTGCCGCCTTGGGATCTGGTGCAGTTTTTGGAGGCTTGGATGGCCATCTGTTGGGAGTGCTTTGATTGTGTGTTCCTGCCTGGCAGAAAGGGTTGCACACTGGACGGACTTTGTGGTCTCCTCCAACTCTAGGAGTGTACGAGTTTGTTGCCCACACAGAAACCTTGGCTTCCTCCCCACCCCCGTCCGGTCTTATGCGCCCGGGCAGGAATGCAGCTGTGCAACGGAGCACAGTGTGGAGCCTTGTTTGGGGCTGAATAATTAATGTGAAATGGGTTGCATTGTCACAGCGGAAGGCCAGACACAACAGGCATGCACCCCCTGCGCTGGCACAGGAACGTGGCCAGGCAGTGACCTTGCTGTGGGCAATGCACCAGCTGTGGGAAGACGGCTTGCTTCTCCGCCTTGCTCCTTTAACTCCCTGGCATCATTTTTGGTGTGAGAAGCTCCCTTGGGCAGCTTTGCAATGGAAAGGCCCATTCATCCTGCCACATCCCCATCTTGAGTCTGACTATATTGGAGGGAGGCTATCTTGGTAGACTGCAGTGGCTCCGCTTCTTCCTGGAGAGTCACTCCCAGTTGGTGAAGCTGGGGGATACCTGCTCGGACCCGTGGCCTTTGACCTGTGGGGTGCCGCAAGGCTCCATTCTATCCCCCATGCTTTTCAATATCTACATGAAACTGCTGGGTGAGGTTATCCGGAGTTTTGGAGGTGGGTGCCATCTGTACGCAGATGACACCCAACTCTACTACTAATTTCCACCAAACTCCAAGGAAGCCTCCTAGATCCTGAACCAGTGTCTGACAGCTGTGATGGACTGGATGAGGACTAACAGGTCGAAGCTTAATCCAGACAAGACAGAGGCAATGGAACTTAAAGAAAATTGGTTTAAGATAGCCCCAAGGTGGTATATAACCCCACATAGCTTAGGGAAATTCAACAAAAACACAAACACAAAATGTTGGAAGTGTGGAAAACAGGAAGGGACATATTTCCACCTATGGTGGACCTGCCTAAAAGCGACAAACTTTTGGGAAAAAAAATACAAAAATCACTACAAAGAATACTGAAGATTGATATACCTTGGAAACCAGAAACCTTCTTATTAGGGATGCATAACATAAAAATGGAAAAAAACAAGGACAAAATCTTATTCCTCTTAACGGCAGCAGCTAGAATAATTTATGCAAAACATTGGAAAGAAAAAGACCCCCCGGAGGAAGAGGAATGGCTAACGAAGATCCTAGATATAAGAAATATGGGCAAATTAACTTATATACTTTCAAAAAAAGGGTACTCCAACAGCTGAAATAGACTGGAAACAAGTAACAACATATTTAGTAGAGGGGAAAAAATATGAAAATAATCACATGAAAGAGCCAAAAGAAAATACAAACTAGGGGAGAGCAGAAGAGAGACGAAAGAGGAAAAGTAAAATAGAGGGAAGGAATGAAGGAATAGGAAGAACCTCCGAAAGATACCGGGAAGTCAACGCCAGATTCAAAACAATCACACCCCACTTCCCCCACAATCATCTTTTTCAAATTTCCGTTTCTACACCTGGCACACTATATATTTCCAGTAGCCATAAATCAGACTACTCTCTATCCGTTCTTTGCTTCTACCCCCCTATTTCTTTATACCCCCTTCTACCCTATCCACCCAGTTATTGTATGTTTTTATGAAAAATTAATAAAGATTATTTTAAACAGACAAGACAGAGGCCCTCCTGGTCAGTCGCAGGGCCGACCGGGGTATTGGGTGGCACCTGTGCTCAATGGGGTTGCACTAACCCTGAAGGCACAGGTCTTACTACATAATCTGACTGCAGCTGCATTGGTTACCCATTGAGCACCAGATCACTTTCAAAGGGATGGCACTCACCTTGAAGGCCTGGAATGGTCTGGGGCCAATGTACCTGAGGGACCGCTTCACCCCCTCCCAACCCCAGAGATCCCTCCGTTCTGAGGACCAAGATCTATTGGAGGTCCCCAGTGTCAAGACCTTGCGTCTAGCGGCAACCAGACGCAGAGCCTTCACAGCAGTGGCGCCATCAGTCTGGAATGCTCTGCCACCTGAGGTTCGTGCCCTGCGGGACTTGCCAGCTTTCCGCAGGGCATGGAAGACATACCTGTTCCGACAGGCTTTTAATGTTTGATACTGTTGTTTTTAAATTGTTTTAAATTGCTTTTAAACTTTGTTAGTTTTTAGCTATTCTTGTAAGCCGCTCCGAGCCCCAGGGGAGTGGCCGCATAGAAGTTTAAATAATAAATAAATAAATAAATAAATAAATAGGAGGGCAAGAAGCAATCCCCTGGGGGAAAGATGCCATGTCCACCCCTCCTTCATTGAGAATAATAGCCCCCAGGTGCAACGACACACACTCACTGGAACACCCCAGCAAGCGAGAGTCCAAAAGTGGCAGGCTCACACCTGGAACCTCAATCAATGGCTGATACCAGATGAGAGACTCCCCCCTGGGCACACAGAAGAAGACGGGGTGACTTGGAAGGCGCTGAACAGACTGCACTCTGGCACCACCAGATGTAGCCAACCTCAAGAAATGGGGCCACAAAGTGGAATCCACGACAAGCAAGTGTGGAGAAGAGGAAACTACAGACCACCTGCTGCAATGCAACCTGAGCCCTGCCACATGCACGATGGAGGATCTTCTTGCAGAAACACCAGAGGCACTCCAAGGGGCCAGAGACCGGTCAAAGGGCATTTAATAGAATGCCAAGTTTGCAAACTTAGTGTTTTTTAATTACAATACAAGTGTTTGTTTTTCTCCTGGCATGATAAATAAATGGGTTTCCTTAAGCAAGGGGGTAAATTGCCAGACTCTTCCTCTGAAATATGTCCTAGAGCATTTACTCCCCTATAGCAATCTCCCTTCCAAGTACTCACCAGGGCTGACCCAGCTTAGCATCCAGGAACACACACGGTCTGGTGCCTTTTGGATATTTTGGTGCCTTGTGTATTTTATCTGTGTCTTATCAGTGCTATCCTGGAAGTATTTTTTGCTCACATTGCTTATGCATTGGAAACTCCAGGAAATGTTCAAGAACACATTGCTCTGGGATGTGGGATCCCAGGGGACTGCTTCTCGATTCCTCCC